GTCTCGCGGTGTCACAGACCTGCAGATTGGCGTGACAGAGCGGCCGTCACGCCTCCCTCCGTCCTGCGTCTGCACGCTGCGTCGGCGTGTTTGCAGGAAGTGAGCGAAGTCTCCTCGAGTGGAGGCGAACAAAGGGGGAAAGTCATGAGAGAATCACGTTGACGAGACGTTTCCTGCCGATGGATTTAGCAAATTACCAGCGGGAATTACGTGTTTCATTAAATATTCACGCGACAGGCCACGGCGGCAGTGATCGACACACGAGATTAAGGATTATAACGTTTAATAAGACTTATTCGTTAAAAATAACCAATTTTTAATTATCATGGAAGTGTCTTATTGTATCGTGATATTATGCATTTACTGTTTCTAGCTAATAAGTATATAGTAAATTATTTTGTTTACTTTATGAGTACAAATAGGAAAAATTATTATTATAAATTCCAGCCAGTGCGTCTTACTCGTGGTGTTCTATATTCAAGCCAGACTCTGAATAAAAAAAATGTACCAAAGCCCAAAGGTTGCCTGTGATCTAAAGCTAAATACACCGATGACTTCACCGACGTTAATTCCCCAAATTCCACATGCAGCCGAAAGGACGCTCCTACGCGGCGACGGCAGATGTAGTGCGGCAGGAGATGGTGGGGAGAAAACCATGAAGAGCGGATAGGGAGGCTGGATCGTCCGTCTCAGAGGAGGGAGGAGAGAGATTGTGGAGTGGAGTGAGTGGAGAGAGAGAGACAGAGACAGAGACAGAGAGATGTAATGAAAGAGAATCCAGGGCGCCAGATGGAGAGAGAGAGAGAGAGAGATTTGAAACTCAGACAAAAAAGGTTTAGATTGAGCAAGGAACAAAGAGAGACAGAGGCTTAGTGTGAAAAAGAGAGAGTGTGTGTGTGTCTTGGCGAGTACGAAGGTCTCAGCTTCTTGGCAGGATGCTGCAGCAGAGCTTGGCCCGGACCCTAATGGAGATGTAAGAAGCCTCCGAGTTTGATCACACACACACACACACGTATAGAAATGCACACGCACACTTTCACACCTTCCTCCCCCCTTTTCGAGCACCGTGGCTCCAGACAAACCCGATGCACCGAACCCAAAGGAGAGAAGGGAAAGATTCCCTGAATGGCTCCCGCTGCACAATGTGGACAAAGAGGAGATGTTTCTTCTGGCTTTAAAAGCACTTTTTGCAGTCCGAACGGAGAAGTGGGTCCGTCCGTAAAACGACTTTTTGCTCTTTACAAAATATTCACGGTGCACGTTCGCCAAATGAAATCCCAACGAGACGTTTCCAGAAAATGTGTCGCAGTCAACCGGGACAGAGCCGTGCACGACTTCTCTCGTCTGTCGAGTCATCAGGAAAAAAAAAAACCTCATCGCATCTCACCAGGTGAGATGATCCGATTGTTTCTTTGTTCCTCTTATCACAAACAATCCAAAGCACAGGAGATATTCATCACGTGATCCACCTCGTCCAATCGAAAACAGCTTCTGCTACACGGGCGCTCTAGTCCTGCTCATCCGACCCTCACCGTGACTCGGGTCCCCCAAAGTTAACCTCTGACCCGCTTTAGGTGTCCTGCACCAGATGTGGCTCCATCAGCTCTGCTTCCCCGAGTAACACACACACACACACACACACACACACACACACACACACACACACACACACACACACACAACGGTGGTTATGTAAGGACAGTGGTTATGTCACACAGTTGGACACACTAAGACGCAGGCTGGTTTCATGCGTTGTCTTCTTTGATGCGCGTCTCGTGTGGGAGACACTTCACTCCACTTAAAGGTTGTTTGTTTGCAGCAGAGAAGGGACACACACACACACACACACACACACACAACAGGCTTTCTCCTGATGGTTATTGAGCGAGGGTGAGGGAGTGAGGAGGGATCAGCCGCCATCTGCTGTCTCATGACTCACTCTCTTTAGACCTTCGATCGGTCCGTCGCTCGCAGCACGTGACCTCATTTCTCTCGTAAGCACACGGGACGACGACGGCCCGCTGCCGCCACGGACCCGTGTTCTCCCGTCCACACCGGCCCCAGCGCGTATGTAAAGCAGCTTAAAGGGATCGGTGCTGCGAAGCGTTGCATAAGCAGACAACACCAACGGGCATCGCCCGCCCAGCGGCAGGCGGCGGTGAACTGGAACTTGGGAACTCGTACGCAAAAAGGCCCAAATGGGCCAAATCACACTATTTCATTAAATATGTCAATAAGTGACGCGATGCAGCGGCGGCGGCGGCGGCACGGGCCTCCACCAGGCTGACGGGGCATCGGCCGGATGTGGCCGCTGCGTATTGAATACAGCTTCTACCTCCTTGATCGAGTGTTTTCACCATCAGTTCCATTCAGTCACCGCGCGCCTAATAATCTGTAATCTGATTAAGGCTCATTGACATTACGGGGAGCTGACGAACAGACTCATTAATTCCATTACTTCAATGAGTCAACGAATCGGCGTGCGTCTGAGGTGCTTTCCGCTCAGTCGATGCTGCTGTCTGTAGCTCTTCTTAGACGACGCTCGTTGCAAAGCATAAAAAAAAAAAAAAACCAGACACCCGGCTACCAGCTGCGTGTGCGGCTAACCGTGTCACGGAGTGTTTAGGGAACTGGTTGTGTCTTTCCAGCCCATCCTGCGAACACGGACACAGTTCCCCCCCCCCTGTGCACAGCGCAGGTCATCCGCGAGAGAATGTGACCCATTAAACAGCGTTGAGATCAACCCGTATTGATTTTCTGCAGCGCCGCACGCCACAAAACTGCAGCGCCACAGCCGGGGGATCGTCTTCTCCACTTCCTGTGCTCATGCATGGATGTGTGTGTGTGTGTGTGTGTGTGCGTGTGTGTCCAATACGCGTGCATGTGTGTTCTGGTCCCAATCGGCGGTTTGGTGCGATTTCTTTTCAGCGGAAAAAAAAAAAAGAGGCCCTCATGACTTCGGAATGCTGCGAACGGCTCGGAGGGCCTTAAAGTGGGGAAACTATGCATTGATCCCCGGGGGGGCCTGCACACACACACACACACACACACACACCTCCGCTGTGACCTCTGCCCCTTGCACAGAGGTCACAGAGAGACACCGAAGTCACACACACGGGCGAGAGCCAACCACAATGCATCACTCCGACCTCAACCCCCCCGCAGCTCCACCACGTCGATCTGCTGCCAGAGCCGTTATGTTTTCAACTGTAGTACATCGAGCCGAAAGCTTCACTTCCTCCAACGCGTCCCCTCGCTTTTGTCACCCTTTGATTCCCTCAGTAAAATCCAAAATTTGCAAACGCTCAATGTTTACGGTTTTGCGACTCAAAGGCGGCTGCAGATGATCCGTTGGGTCCCTTCCATCAACACCGTTTGCTCGATGTGAAGGACAAACAAACAAACATCGGACGGAGGTTTTCAGACCACACGCGGATTCCGCCCAAGTTTGTGCTCAGCGCCGAATGCTAACGCGCTAGCGCTTTCCAGCGCGCGTGTTCAGCAGGTGTCGCCTTGATTCCGAGGTGAAGTTCGATAGTTGGAGACACAGATTAGATTACAGCTTTACAGGCGGGTCTACTTCTCTTTTCGTAAAAGATTACGCGGGAACCAAAAAGCGTGGGAGTGGCTTCGACGATGCCCCCCCCCCCCAACACCCAAACAAAGAAACGATTCCATATCTCAAAAAGGAAGCTACCCGCAGGGAAACAAGAACAGAAACACGCCGCCGTGAATGAGCGAGAGAGAGAGTGAGAACTGGACGGTAAAGCGAACGCTCTCCACACACTTGTTGCAGGCGGAGGGGGGGGCTTGGACAATAAAAGGCTGCAATTTTTTCTTTTTTTCCTTTTCTCGGGGGGGGGGGGGTCCTTTAATGCCGGTCGGTGAAAAGCTCTGCTCGGGGGGGGGCCCCTTTCCCCCCCCCTTGAAGCGGGGGCTCTTCCTGACGCCCCCCTGGCTCTGAATCAATAATACACCTGGGGTCACGCTCTCTCGGGAAAAGGAACCAAGTATGTTGGATGGGGGGCTCTCTCGTTCTGAAAGAAAGGACACACAAAATGACCCGGCCTTTTTTGTTTCAATAAAATGAAATGAAAAAGGACGCAGGCGGACGCGCGGCCGTAGAGTAAATCGAACGTTTCGCCGGCTGCCGTCCCCCTCAAGTCGCTCACACGGCCTTTCTCGGGGGGGCGAGACGCGAGACGCGATATTAGAAATAATACAAAAAGAAGCCAATTTGAGCCTAAAGGACGTCCCCCCCCCCCTTTTCAGGAAATCCCTGTTTGTCTGTCTCCTGGCACACGGGCCCACACAACGCAGAGAAGCCGGGCCTTCCCAGCACCACAGTGTAACACACACACACACACACACAAACACACACACAGTAATGTCCCCTGAGGATGGTTTCACTAATCCCAGCACGGTGACCACAGGAGGCTACGGGGGGGGAATTACGCTGCACACAAAAGGTCCCCTTCAGAAATAAAAAAGGCAGAAAGGCAGCCGGGAGCCGTCACGGACGCATCCCCCACGCGAGCGTCGCCGTCTTTTCGTCCTCACGTTACAGAAATCGACGTGTCCGTCAGCTGTCAGCGGGCCAGAAGGGACCCAAACCAACAGCAGGCGACCCGCTGACGTACTCCGGTACAGTATGGGCCTTGTGTGTATTCAGCCTGCAGCAATTTCAGCTCCGGGCACGACCCTCCCGACTTTGCATCACTTCTTTTCCTCGGCTCTGACAGGCAGCATTTTGGACAAATATCTCCTCGTTGGTGATGAGGTTTTTATCCCAGGGGGGGGGGACACACACTATAAAAGGAGACAATAAAAGTGTGCTACCGACATACTGCTGATAGTATTCGGTGCTCTCTGCATGTGGGAGGAGTGGTTCATGCACTCACTTCTATTGCATTGACCTTTGGTGAAACGAGGTTTCGGGGAGCCCTCCCCCCAGGAACCAGGAGGTCACGAGGGGGGTGGGGGGTGGAGCGGCTTCTTACCTCAGCAGGTTGGGCAGGGGGATGGAGCCGGACCCCGAGCCCAGGATCCCCTTCTTCCCACTCAGCAGTTTCTCCACCAGGGCGACATTCCCGGTCCGGGCGGCTTCCAGCAGCTCCTGCTCCTTCCCCATGCCGGACACAAGTTCACAACGACGGGGTGATTTAAAAATCCAACAAATCTCCCTTACATCCCAAAGTGCTCTTCCTCCTCTTCTTCCTCCTCTCCGAAGCCCCTTCACCGTCTGCGGGAAAGAGACACCCGAGAGGTGTCCTTTCTCCGCATGCTGCTGCACGGCGAAACCGCTGTTATGGATGCTGCGGTGCAGCTCGGACGTGCACCCGCCGGCCGCGCCGGGAGCCCCGCCTGCACCTCCCGCCCCCCCGGTGCCTTCTGACCTCCGTCCGTTCTTACGCACGGCTCCGGTAATCTCCTCCGGCGTTCGGCTCCGCCAACAAGCTCCTCGGGGGGGTGAAAACTCCTTCTTCGGCCGTCAACAGGCGTGAAGTGGAACCCTTTACGCCGACGAACCCCCCCGCCCCGCCACCACCACCACCCGCTCCCTCCCTCCCACGATGAGCTCCTCGGTCCCGCGGTGCTCTCCTGCTCTCTCCCCCCCCAGCTGAACCTACCGCACTGACCGGCGCTCCTCTGGATAGCAGGAGACACAGGTGTCAAGTTAGCCATGTTTCAAATGTAGGCTTCCGGTTCTTTCGCTTTCAAAATAAAACGTCCACTGGACTTTCAGGTGCTGAGGCCACAGTGGAGTTCTGTGTACATGTGGTTGCGGTGTACAGTGTGTGTATATGATGGAGGGATAGTCCGAGACGAGCTGTTTGTTGGTTGGATTCATGACAAACTACTTTAGGAATACACTGTGATTTTGACATTTTGACACAAGGATCCAATCAAGTTCACACTTAAATGTAATCTTATTGTTGCGAGACTATGCGTCAGAGGTGCATATTTCCCAAAAGGGTCTATAAATTCAAGGAAACAACTGAACACCTGTTTTTTTGAGGGACCTGGGTTTGGGATCCCTGGGATATTCACCTGATTCCATGTGTCGGACAGCCATCTTTGCATTTTTCTGCTCACATGTACCACAAGGCCATTGAAAGCACTTCTGAAGATAAACACTTGTAACCATAATGGCGTCCTATTTATGGGACAAAAGTATAACAAATATGTTTTCGGTAGCAGCTTTTATTTTGAAATCCAATCAGCCGTCTTCCGCTGATTTACACACACACAAGGTACAGTCTGGGCGTGGATGACGCCGATGCCACAACACCACCAGGAGGCAATGCCTTTGTTTAAACAAAAAAAAAGTCCCTCTCAACTCCAGCAGCTGTGCTTATTGTTACCGTCCTCGAGACCATCAACTTGTTCGATCACTCACGCACATGCGCAGTGGCCCTCTGCGACGCAGGTGAGCTCCCCGCTGCAGGCTTTGAGCACAGGTGAGATCCCCAAAAGAGCCTGTCAATCATCTCAGAGCAGTGATTGCATGAATGGATTAGAAGGCAGACGATGGATTTTATTTTGTACATGCTGCGATCTGCCCACTGACAGCCTGGGAAACAGACCCCCCCCCCGCCCCCACTGCATGCTGGGACATGCCTGATGGCTCTGCTGCTTAATTGGAATTCAGAGAGAAGCGTTGGCGTCAAAGGGCTCCACCCTCAGCTGATGTGGCCCACGACCCAGCTGGCTATGAGTTATTGTTTCAGCCTATAAGTCAACATCACTTGATGAAAGATGAAGTCTGTTAAATGGAGGAGGGGAAAAGAGAAGCATAGATGCAGCTGCATTTCATTGACACACTGCTGCAAATAATGATTATTCTCATTTAAGCACAGAGCCAGAAATAAAGCAGGAACCAGAGAATGAAAACCGGAGCAACCACCAACCTGATGCCTGCTGCTTGCATCATATTTCCAACGATCCACCTATATATATATATATATATATATATATATATATATATATATATATAATGTGTGTATATATAAATGAAAGTGTGCTTTCCTGAAACAAAGTGCAGCCATCATCACAAAAACATTAAGCTACAGTGTGTAAACAGGCCTTTGTTTAAATAGCGCAGAGAGAGCAGAAGTTTTCCCTCACACACACACACACACACACACACACACACACACACACACACACACACACACAGTTAATGCCCTTCTATGACTCACTTCACTACTCCAGCCGTAAAATGTCATGACCATTTATGTGCACAAAGTCCAAACGCTCTCCTTCAGAGGTTCAGGGCGGCTCATTTCAGCACTAAGAGTCTGCACTCAGAGTTTTCCTTCTCTGTTTATCAAAGAACAAACGCCAGCATTGTTAATTTATTCGGAATGAGGAAAAAAAGCTTTAAACAAGACTCAAAACCTGTACTGTACATTTTTGAAGGATTCACGCGCTGAATGCTTTCTGCTGTTGTTGAGGGTTAGGGTTAGTGAAGAACGTTCAAATATCTAGATTTGTGCACAAGTTAGAGGTTTCCTTTACTCTCAAATTGTAAAGTTTATTCTGCTCATTGTGTCTCTGTTCTTGTGCCTGGTCACAACGCTGATGCTTTCCTGATGGAATCTGATAAATTGATACTGATATCATTATACTCAGTGATGTTTCCACTTGAAAAAGTGAATAAAGTAATAAAAATCCATTACATAAAACATGAATAAATGAAACAAATTTGATAGCCTTTTATTTTTCATTAGAATTTCAGCAGCTTCGACAGACAAGATACAACTTATTACTTTTCTCAGAAAATCTTCTCCCCAAAAACAAAATTCTTCAGATACAATCGTGTTAAAATCCTACTTCTGACATTTCAAGTGTTGAAACCGCATCCGTGCGGAGAACCGGTTGTGTTTCATGTCATGGACACAACTCTGAAATGAAGTGAAATGAACTGGGACGAGCTTAAGTACAAGTTATGACCGCTGCATAACTGGGCTGAATCTACTGTTGCTCTGTTACGTTTCAGGATAGAACGTCCTCTCAGGGTCTCTTGTGCAGCGCCAAAGCATGTGGGTGTCATTGGGGAGTCGATTTATAACATTTACTCGGGGGGCTTCCCAGGACCTCATGAAGCAGCAGCAAATATGGTCGACTATCCATGAAAAAAGTACACATGGAAGATTAGAAACGTACACACACGCACATAGGCAGCTTCGATGTGCATTGATTCACCTTTTCTTTCATTTATTTATATATTCTTTTAAAAAAAAGGGGAGCACACGTTTTCTACATTTCTCTCTTCAGCTCAACTGTTCTGCTCACAGTTTTATTTACAGTGCCTCAGTTTTAAAAGTGCTGCACATGTTAAGTAGCTATTTACACATAGAAAAATAAGACGGGGGGTACAGACATCACTGTGGGGCATTTTGCCGACAAAGTTGTGGAACTGACGGATATAAATTTATCCTCTACTGGTAATGAAATGCTTGTTCACGCACACACACACACACACACACACACACACAGCTCTGAAGAAAATAGTCACGTGTTCACATTCCTATACACGTTGGGGAGGCGTGAGAATGATTTGTCTCGTCCCCTCTCAATATGAAAGCACTAAATTACAAGTTTTTCTTTCTGTGCGGTGAAAAAAAAACAAAAAAAAAAAACATTCCTCTGAAGATCCAACATTCAGTTTCACTTGCATGACAGGAATAGTGTGGGAAGGGTTTTCTGTAGGCACGACCCTCACACACACACACACACACCTGTTAAATGTCCCTTTTCAACTCTCTCCGAGCCTCGACAGTCCAAAATGGGGAACATAAAACAGAGGACAAGTATGTAAAACGTGTATCTCTGAGTCTCACACTCTGCATTGCTTTATGGGGGAATTCTTTTCTTTGCTCGTTTAAGCATCGTGACTCGGCGACTGCGGCCCGAAGCGACTAGCTGCTGTTGACTTTGAGGCTCTTCATGCGGTGCAGCAGCGAGTCCTTCTCCATCTGAGCCTCGGCCAGCGCCATCTTGGTTCGCGACAGCTCCACTTTTAAACATTCGTTTTCCTCCGCCAGCATCTGTGAACAAACAGCGTAGAGTCAGTGAGGAGGTTCTGGGTTTGTAGGGGAAAAAATGATAACAAAACAATATCATGTTCTATAAATGTCAAGGAGCTTTTCAGCATCATCTCCAAGCATCCATCACCTGAACTACACCCACAGTTGAGGTCCATTGGATGTGGTTCTGTTCATTTTGAATATTCCACTTTCAAAATACTTAGCTACCCTGCATTAATAAATAAATATCACTTCCACTGTAAACAAAACTTGTACTCCCTCTCTCACATCACATGCGCATCTTGCCTTTTCTCTGGCGGATGGAGGAGGGCTGGTGGGCGGGGCTTGCGTCTGCGTAGCCTTCGGCACGCCGGCGACGCCCACGACCTCAGGGACCGGAGTCAGAGCACCGTCGTCCACGGCTTTGGCCTCTTCCTTTGTGTCCGCTGTGAGGAGGAGACGACACAGCAGAGGGGAGTTTGGAGGTGTGGGAGAGTTACGCAACGGGCGGTGAATCAGCACCGGGAGCGGAGGTGGCGGATGAAAGATGTCGGGGGGGGGGTTCTCACCTCCTATGGAGAAGGCGCCGTCGTCTCTCCGGTGAATGACGAGGCTGTCCACGCGCAGCGCGATGGGCGAGGGCTCCGAGTCGGACGGGTTGTCGCGCGGGCCGTCGTCCTGCAGCGGAAGGAGGCACACGTTTGTCCACATCAGCTCCACAGCGCAGTTACTCACCCGCGAAGGAACCCGAGAGGCAGAAAGACCTCTTTCTATGCCATTAAACATTCAGTTCAAATCCAAATCCCAATTAGGCCGCGGTGGAAAACACTTGACTTGGTCATGGAGGCTGCTGCAGTGAGTTATGGACTCCATTACTGCAACGCGACAAACATCCTGCTGAAATCACGCAGCTGTTGTGGAACAATAACCTCGGGTAAAAAAAAACAAACACAAGCGTCCAAACTCTGAATAACACAACGAGTTCTGACCTTTAAGTTGACGTGCGTGTCCCGGACGCTGATCTCCATGGGCAGCACCTGCGGCGCCGAGTCGTCCTCCAGGAAGTGGGCCAGGTTGCGCAGCGTGGACATCAAGAAGTTGGCCCGGTAGCCGTGGAGACGCAGCTGCAGGAAGCCGTTGCGCTCGGCCAGCGGGGAGTGAGCGGCGGCGCACGGCCCGCTCTCCAGGCGAGCCCGCACCTCCGGACTGTGGAGGCCGCCGGCCGGCACGGCGCCAAAATCGCCGCCGGCTGTGAGGGGGGGGGAGGAGACGGCGCCGGTTGGCATTTAGTTCAAGCTTGCTTGCAGCTAGAATACACGACAAACCTGACATTAAAATACACCCGAGGGGTCATTTTTATAACGGTTTAGTTTTAGTAGAATAAACACTTAAATAGGGCAAAATGAGAAAAACATTTTCCTGAGTCTGTTAATTGGTGTATTTGTGGAAGAGAACAAATTTGGTCTGAGGGTATTTAGAAGGACTGTCAAGATTTTATTAAACAGGACTCGTATTATTGTTTGCCTGTCATGTCGGTTTATGTTGCAATACGTGGCTCTGTTGGAATCTCATCAGCATTGGTTCTAGAAATCCAGTAGTCAAGTCAAAGAAATCGTTCTGCATCCAAATCACCTTTTCATTCTTTCATTTGGTCTTTTCACTATTCCATTTTTTTTTTACGAATTCGCCCTTGATTGTATTAATTTTATTTAATCAGGTGAGTCATTAAGACCAAATTCTAAGGAACAAAACCACTGAGGTCAGCAAGCAAAATTAAATTTATTTTATAAAGCCCCAAATCACCTTTGTTTGTATGATATATTTTAGTCATCTTCATACTGACAGTTCGATTTGATCCAATTTAATGAGGATTATAGTTATCGAATTTAGCTACCTGCTTTTAAAAAGGGTGCATGTTAAGGTCAGGTTCAAACTACAGTTAAGGATGAAAGAAGCAAAAGTATCACAAAGGGGAAACAAAGAAAAAGCAAAGCGCGCTGAAAATGAGAAAGGTTTGACAAAAAGGGGATTTGGAGTCACTAAGTATTGAGGATTCAACGAGAATAATTTTTTCATGAATTCGACACTGTAAGCCTAAAAAAGCCAAATGTGAGACGCTGAAAACTGGAAGGCTTGACGTTGTACTGTGTTGTCTCTATGGAGAATGACTCAAACCCTGATGGAGAGAAAGAGGCAAAAAAGTGAGGATAGAGAAAGAACACAAATTGATAAAAAAAAGTTGGTTTAGTGGCGAGACGATGGGGAGGGTCATTAAAACCCTCCATCCACACACACTACACATATTGCGCCAGCAAGCACACAACTACAAGTTTTCAACAGGAGAAACACACGGCGAGGCTTGAAGACGAGCACTCAAAGAGAAAAATCCTCTCATGATGACTGCAAGAAGTGCGTCTCTTCCCTTTAATATGCACTCTGAAGGAAAGCCAGGAGAGGATTACACACACACACACACACACACACACACACACACACACACACACACACACACACACACACACACACACACACACACACACACTCTTCAGCTCAACTGTTCTGCTCACAGTTGTAGTTTTATTTACAGTGCCTCAGTTTTAAAAGTGCTGCACATGTTAAGTAGCTATTTACAGACATCACTGTGGGGCATTTTGTGGAGTTGTGGAACTGACGGATATAAATTTATCCTCTACTGGTAATGAAATGCTTGTTCTCTCTCACACACACACCAGCTTTTCTCAGATAAAATAACATTCTCTCTCAATGCTGCGTGGCTATAGGGTCGAGGCAAAGAAGGGGGGAGGGGGAGTAGCAGCCAGGGACGGAGCGACTATGAAAAGATGGCCTAGAGTGGGAGGAAGATGAAGGGAGGAAAAGGTGAAGCGTGAGGGGGGTTAAATGACAGAGGATTAGCAAGAAGATGGAGTAGGAGCTGGAGGGAAGGTGCAGGAAGAGAGGAACAAAACGAGGCGAGGAGGAGGGATGGCTCTGGTGAGATAGGAGGAGAGGTAGTGATGGGGAAAGCCGGCATTTTCTCGTTGCCTGAATCACTGGACTGAAACTGCAAAGTCTGCTGCAGTGAAGAGATGAGGGAGGGAGGGAGGGGAGGGAGGAGGAATTAGACAGAGCAGCGAATGGGAAGACGAGGGGTGGGGGGGGGGGGTCAATGCCCAGTCTGCACAAAGTGGTTGCAGTTCATTTGAAATGTTGCCACACACACTTTTTTCAAGGTCTAATGTGGCAAATCATTACTCACAGATTTAACCTCTCTCAAGTACCACACACACCTTTAAAATTAGCAGACACACAGACACACATGTCATGCAATCACTTGAATTGCAGCACACTATGCATCTGCAGCGCACGGCGGCGAGCAAAAGTCTTGAGTCTGAAAAGGAGATCTGACAAAAGGAACGCGCACAAGCTACAGATGGTGAATTAACACGCAGCAGTTACCTTGGCTGCTCTGAGCAGGTATTGGTACTGAACACACCATACCTGTGGGGAGTTGGCAGGGTAAATCAAAGGGAGGGGGGGTGCCTGCGTTAGTGTGTGTGCACTTGGAATGGTGGCAGACATATTTAGGACACTCAGAGTCGGACTATTGTGATTATGGTCATCGGTATTCAGTGAAATATTGTGGCTAAACGTCTTTGTGCCACCAAACAGGCCGGAACTCAATCATATTGAGTTAAAGGACCAAGGAAAGGATTCATTCTCACGTTTGACATCCTGGGACCAGCACCAGTTTTTCATTTGCTGCCCCACTTGGGCGCTTAAATCTCAACAAATGTCTTTGCTTTTATCTTCTGCTTTAGTTTGGACCAGCAGAGTGAAAAGGATGCAGCACACTTCTACCGAGGTCCATCATAGCAGACTTGTTTTATATAATCAACCAGCTCAGTTTTTAAAAAAGGGGCAGCTTGTTCTTACTCCAGTAATTTGCCAATTTTCGTTTAGCCAAGTGGCACATGAGGATTTCTTAACTTTGATAATATTCATAAGGCAGTTGGTTGCAACTAGGAATACTCTCAATTATTAAACGCCCTGTGCAGCATGTTCCTACAACATTAAAGTCCAATCTACGTCGATATCAAATCGGCTAATGACAGATACCAGAACACTGCCTCATTATGGAGCTAATAGTATTATGAGTTTTGACCTGCCACAAAAACCTAATGTGTCAGCCTTTTCTTTGGTCCCGTTTGTTCTGTTGTTCCAGTAATGCTGTTTTTTATTACGGTGGCAATGATGCCATATACGGCACATGACATCTTTGATGTATGATGGGACTCCACGTGTGTGCAGAGGGACTTGTGTACAGGAAATCCCCCGGTCCTCCTCACCCAGGCTGCGGTTGCTGAGGTACTGTCTCAGGCTGACGTTGCCCAGCTGGCTGGGTCTGACCCGGCCCACCTCCAGCGCCACGGTCGTGCTCTCGCCAAACGCCTCCATGGCCACGCACACCGACTGCACCTTCAACACCAGCACGGACACCTGGAGGAGAAGCACGAAGAAGAAGCATCAGCACCACCGTATGCGAAGCACGACGATTAGATGAGAGAAATGAGATCTGGCTCCACAGTCGCAGTGTTTTGGGATCGTACTGTATCTTTGGTGGGATCGTCGGTGCTCTGCGAGGTGGCGCTGACGGTGTCGGGGGACACCCCCCCCTCCTGCTCCTGACCAATTGCAGCCTCGGCAGCGCTCTCTGTGCCTCTCTGTTCGCCGATGCCATCCTTGAAGCCTGAGATGGACACGTCATCTGTGGTAATAAAAGGTACATTATTAACAATATTAATAACAGACAGGACACACATTTGACTCTAAGCGGCGTTAAGTGGGGTCTAAATTTGACCTACCTCCTCATTCCCTTCATCATTTCAAGTGTTGATTGTAAAAACATAAATGCTTTAGTAAATCCTTTTTATGACTAAAGAAGCTCCTGCAAACACGGTTCGCTATAGACTTATCAGCTCAATGCTGCCACCTGCTGGTCAACACAGTAAATGTGATCACTTCACATTAAGCCCCGTACAAGGTGGTCAGAGGTCATTATAAGCTACAAAACACTGATGCTGGAGCCATTTGGAATTGAAAACAGGAAAATAATCAATTAAATACAAAAAAAAGGCTGCTGGCTGTACAATTGTGTGTTGTGAGCGCATCACGGTTTGCTCCACCTCTCTCCAGCAGACTGTTCGTGTCTGCGTCCTCCATCTGGTAGCTGTCTATGGAGACGTTGTCCAGCGACTGCAGGGACGGGCTCTTCATGTTCTTATAGGACACAGAGAAGCTGGACTGGGAGCGGTCCCGCATCAAACGACCACTACAACAAACACGAGACATAGAAGGTGTGAATGGTACAATTCTGTATGGTTTTGAAATCTGCTTCGGAAACAGTGTGTGCCACTGATTTAGGACTGACAGTGTGACATTGATGGCTGTATTTGAAGAGGAAAAAAGACCAAACAGACCAGTGCTTTTATTTTGTCGCATATGTGATGGGGATTTGCTGCGGACACCAAGCAGAGAGCCGACACAGCTGAATCCACAATGCATAGATTAAATATCGCTTTAGTCCTTAGTGTGGTGTTGGTTAAGGTCACGTTAGCAGAACCAGGTGTGTCATCCCTCCGAGCTCGAGAAACAATACGCCGAAAACTCACTCAACGGTGAAAAAACAAAATGGCTCCTAAAAGACTAAGAACACAAGGCTGACAAAAAAATTAAAACATTTTAAAAAAAGGAATCATCACAAACACGGAGCTTGTTTTTTCATCCCAACGGGTAAACAAACAAGACTCATTTAACACGCAGACGAGGACCAGCGTGTCATGCACGCATGCAAACATGCATGAGCCACAGGGGGATTCACGTCACGCACCATTTGTTCATCCAGGCATCACCAAGACAAAAAGCCACACTCGCACAGACACACACGCACATCAACACGGCTAGTCACAGATCCAGTGTCTTACATGTTTGACATGGAATAAAGGGAGGTGGATCTGCTGGAGTTTGAGGAGCTGAGGAGATCAGAAACCACAGACAAACTTCCTTTCCTTGGTAGAGAGAAAAGACACAAACACACACACACACCCGGCAAAGGTCAAAGGAGAGGTCAAGATGCAGAAAAGTGAGGGGGTTAAAGGAAGGATTAGAATATGGAGTGGTGGATATGAGAAGTCACACAAACACACACACACACACACACCCCCGGCAGCTGGAGGGCGGCCAGCATTCACTGAGTCAGAGCGGAGTCACGTTCAAACTGACAAGCACTCGTACGGGAGTTTAACGCACGGCTCTTGTGTTCAGGAAGTGACTAAATCAGAGAGAAACACGTCATCCACAGGGAAGAACAGAACGGAACATTTTGAATCGGTTATGAAATCTATCAACTGTAGCGAAATATTACTTTGAATTGAGGGGGGGGGGCTCATCAAATCACCTGTAAGTTTAAAACCTCGACTATTAGTTTAGTTTAATGTATTTTAATATCAATCTACGGTGATACAAAAGAACTTCCCTCCCGTGTGATCAGCTGAATACCTGGATATCGACTTTGGCATCTTGGGGTCCAGCCCGGCTCCCGCATCCTCTCCTCCTTCCACTGCCATCCCGTCCCCTTCATCGGAACCCCGCCTCCCGGAGTTCTTGCTCAAAGTCTGCTCATCCGCCGCCGCGTTGTGATTGGAGTCGCGCCGCGCAGTCGGAGCGTAGCTGGGGACAAGAGGGGCGGGGCCGTGCGTAGCTCCGCCCCCCAACCCATCGGCACACAGCAGCTGGTCGACGGTGCTCGCCCCCTTGGCTGCTCCTCCCTCGGGGCCGGAGCCTTCACTCCCCTTCTCCGCGACCTCTCCCGCGTCCAGGGTTCCTCGGCTCTCTGACGGCGAGAGCTCGGAGCCCATGGGGGACCCCGAGCCCTCGGGGAGGGGGACGGGCTTCAGGAGCAGGGACACCTCTGCACTTTTCAGCAGCAGGCCCAGACAGACGGTGAAGGGATCCCCCGGATCCTGAGAGGGATCCTTGCGGTCTTTCTTGGAGCTCATCTTCTCCAGGTCCTGCTGCAGCGTCTGCTGCAGAGCTTTGATGCTGCGCTGGAGCTGCATCAGAAACACATACTGCCGGTGGCTCACCTGCGTGCACACAAGCACACACACACACACACACCAAGGCAGTTGTCAAAACGCACGTCAATAAATTTAAGAAGCAGATTCCAAAGATGCAACTGCTGCTGAAAATAGTCAATTGTAATCATTGATACATTAATGTTTATTTGAAGCCATGTTACCAATTTGAGAGGTGAAACACACATTAGTCATGTGCAACTACCAAATTCCACATCTGGTAAATAACTTGAACACTATTCAAGTATCAAACCATCACTTTAGCATTAAAAGGCAGCAGTACATCTGATGAGCAATAACCAAGACATCCCACATGGCTCGCACGTTGATTCATCCTCACATTGCTGCTCAATCCATTAAGAGCAACATTTTCACCACACGTAGTTCACTTATGACAGACAAAAGACATACCTGAGCACTTAAATGCTTCTGCACGTGCACCAATATGTGCACATTTGCATCTTTACTTGATGATGACAACGAAGAGGACGAGGGCAGACTTTCCAACGAGACGGGTTTATGGAGTCCGTTGCTGGCAGGCGGCGCTGCATTGTGCGCATCAGTGCTGTAGTAGTCCTTCAACAACCGCTTCCTCTGCAGCCGCGCCACGGCCTCCCCAGACGTGCTCCTGGACACACCTGATCCAGCGCCGCACCTGAGCTTCTCCTGGTGCTGGACGATCTTCACGGGCTGCGTGGCCCACACAGTCAGAGGGAAGGACTCCACGAAGGGCTGCGGCCGCCCTTTGCCTCCGCGGGTGCCTTCGTAGTCCACCCAGAACTGGGCAAAGTGCAACGCCCAGAAGTCGGTAGCGGCCGGCATCTTGAGGGCGTCCGTGCCCAACGTGGGCACCACCAGGCCGCGGTAGATGTCGTGGAGCTTGGTGTCTTGCTCATGAGCGTGGCGCCGGAAGACGGGGTGGAGGAGCGGTACCGAGGAGGAGGAGCGAGGGAATGAGGAAAAACCGGGAGAGAAGAAGGGCTCCTCCTCGAAGGCCTGCAGAAGGGCCTCAAGGTGCGAGCGGGTGCAGTTGGCCGGGTGCCGGGTGTTCGTGGCCACCATTTCGGAGGTCTGCACTGAGATGGAGCGGGGCAGATCGGCGGGACAGGAGGCGTCCCGGTCGATGGGAATCACCACCTAATGTAGAAAAGATCCAAATCAACCCCCGAGAACTACCACGCTTTTAAAAACCTGGAAGGGTCACATGTCCACCTTTCCATCCCCCCGGGCTCCCTCACCTTGAGCATGAGGCCGTCGACCTTGATGTCGACGTGCTCTTCGGGTTTCTGCGAGTCGCTGAGCTTGTAGATCTCCATGAACTGCTCCAGGCTCTGCCTGAGGTCCAGGGCGAACAGGTTGATCCACACCAGGCTGCGAGGATCCAGAACCAGCTGCAGGGCGTTCAGCTGGACGTACAGGTTAGGACACGGGACTAGAGGGGCAGGGGGGAGAGACGTGGCGTTACGCAGTCTTTAGTCACACAAAGGAGGGAGGAATGAGACATTTGAGAAATCACAAAGAGAAAAAAAAGTGTTTAATGCATGTACGATGCTGGAAGTGAATCCAAGTGAAATCCACAGCATGAATTAATTGGGCCATTCCTCTTTCAGGAACAATGGCCGTAGTTAAGAAAATCTGTCTCTCTCAGCCGCAGCAGTGACTGAATAGACCCAAATGCCTTGCAAAGAGAGAAGAAAACTAAGCCCCTCAAACTTAGAAAAAGGAATGTTTCTACAATGACACACACACACACACACACACACACACACTCACTTGGGTAGTCTTTTCCATCGGGGAAATAGTACTCAGTGAACTCTACGTGAATGGCCGGCATCTCTGAGGGAAGGTACAAGGACTTCTTATTGCAGGAGATCATGGTCTTGGGGCTGGAGCGCCGCTGGTCCGCGGTCGACACCTGCAAATAAAAAAAGTCTGTCACAGACCAGTGAAGAAGATGTACTCAGTAAATCCAAACACGGAGGTGTGTGTTTGTGTGTTTGTGTGTGTGTGTGTGTGTGTGTGTGTGTGTGTGTGTGAGAGTGAGTGACCTGATAGATGCTGAAGTCAGCAATCCTGAGAACAACAGAGCTGGACATAAGCTGGGTCTTGGGGCTTTGAGGAAGAGGAGGACTGAAGGAGGCGCTGGAGGAGGTGCTTATCTTACCTAGAGAGAGAGACACAACAAGAGATTAAGAAGGGGACAAATTAAATGATCATGGGGGGAGACAAACAGAAAACACTCAGTTCTCAGACAATAAACCCTTGTGTCTCGAAAAAAAAAAAAAAAAGCTGTGCACCACCGCACCCGGTCGTGCGCACATACACCGAGGTACCTGGCTCAAGGCACCAGCAGCACTGGGCCGGAGGCTGTGTGTTTGCGCTGCGCTCTAGGAGTTCTCCCGCTGCCTCCCTAAGCCCTACTCCTCTTCCTGCTCTCTCCTGACTTCCTAGAGGCCCATACACATCGTCCATAAGGGACACTGGAGGACAGAAAAATCCACAGGGATGATGTGTGCGTGTGTGTGTGTGTGTGTGCGCGCATTCAACAACAGTGCAACGGCCCCGAGGTTCGTGTGCGCTCACCGTGCTGCGGGGAGCCGTGCGCGGGATCCGGGCCCTGATGGTCCCGAACGGCGCTCTTCAACATCTCCACGTTGGAGTTGAACTCGTCGAGCAGATTTCTCGCCCAGCCCTCTCTGGTCTTGGTGGCCTCGCTGTAGTGCATCCAGTGGACACAGCTGTCGCCTGGAGAGGAGGAACAGCATTGAAACGTGTGGACTGAATGCGGGGACTTCGTGGTGAAGGTCCAGGAGGCACGCAGAGGTTGCAGTAACATCACAGAGACCACGGGATTCACACCTGCTCTGTGGAAAGGGTAGTAGTCCAGAGTGATGGAGCTGAAGGAGAGCTGCATGGCTCCACCTGTAATCCTCTTATTGCTCACTGCACAGAAGAAACAGAAAAATAGTTGCGGTTAATAGCTTAATACAATGTCTGTCTTCAATGCCTGTGCGCGTGTGTTTGTCATGCAGAGCGGATGGAGATCCGTGCATTTGCCACCTTTGTCCTTAACGTGGATGTCGTCGCAGATGTGCAGGTCCAGGTGTGTGATCTGGAGGTGGTGGGAGGTCTCGCATACGTCGTAGGCGCTGAACAGCTTGGCCATGGACGCACTCTGCTCCGCTGCTGTGGACGCCTGCTGGGTGCGTACCTGCTGGGCCGAGGGTGGCGCCGACGACACCTGGCGAGCACAGACGAGAGGGAAGGAGACACTAGGATTAGCGTCGGCGGCTTTAAGTGCTTGGATGCTTCTCATTATTTTTAGAGGGTCAACCGCTGAATCAGGCAATACTGGATCTGTCCAGTAGATGGTGTTTCCGACCAAAACATAAATATTGAGCAAAGTGGGACATTGGTAGGTGTGAACTTGTTTGGGCGGTCAATGTCTGCACAGTTAGTGAGTGTTTGTGTTCAGGGAGCAAAAACTACGAGGTGCTGAAAGACAGCGAGAGACAAAGATCACGTCAGCCAATACACGGCACACGGCATCAGACCATGACACGGATTGTGAAATTCAAGCATTGACATGCGCACCTGGTCTTCTGTGGCCATGCTCTTCCTCTGCTGCGTGGACTTCTCCATGGCCTCGCTGAGTGACTTGGCGTACTGCACCATGGCTTTGAGCTGGGAGTCGGTTAGCACCCACAGCAGGTCGTCCAGGATGAGAATCAGCTTCGAGGCCACCACGTTACAGTCCTTAATCTGTGTCGGGCAGACAGAGAATAGCGCATTAAGCAGCTTCTGTAAATGTAACGCGACACTTCTGGGTGAAATTCTTTAAGCGTCCAACACTTGAAGTGCATCCAATAGAGTAAAACATATTTGCAAAATGTTAAAAAAGACAACACAAACAAGGTTAATTGCTTTCACAGACCTCAAAGAAAAAGGCTCTATGCCGCATCATATCTAATCTCCACATCTCCCAGACATAGTGTTGATGCATTGTTTAAATGCTGAATCACTGTTGTTGGCCCTGCAGCTAGGGAGGCCACACAGAAGGAATCATTGTTCACAGTGGAAATAGTGGAGTTCCTCAGTGCAAGCTGGTCCATCACATTTCATAAAGTGAATGATTCTATGAAATTACATCACAGGTCATTTAGCAGACGCTTTTATCCAAAGCGACTTACATTACACTTTTAAACCCATGGCCTTTTCACATTTTTGCCTGGGGAGCAATTAGGGGTTAGGTGTCTTGCTCAGGGACACTTCGGCATGGAACATGGGGCAGCCTGGACTCGAACCACCAACCTTGTGCTTCCCAGCACACCTTCTCTAACCCCTGCGCCACGACGACCCCAAATGATCTGAAGTGTGTGTGTGTGTGTTTGTTTTGTGACTTACCCGTCTCTTGAGAGTGACTCGGATCTTGGACTGGTTGGTGATGAGGCGAATGGGGGCGCTCAGCATCTCATGCTCGGCGCTCTGGATGGCGTCGGCCTCGATGCGGATCATCTGCCAACTGATCTCCTTAAACGTCAGGATCTGAACCAGACAACAGCAACAGCATGAAGAAAAAAAAACAACAACAACCCATCCTAGAAGTCTTTCAATCAAAAGAATAAATAAAAACACTGACCTCGCCCCTCTGAGGGTCCTGGATGCGGGTGAATCGCAGGTCACCAATGCTCCAGCTGGTGTTGACGCTGTACACCTGCAGCTGGGAGAGCTCAAAGGAGGCGTTAAAGGCCTTGGCACTGATCCGGATGACGATGGAGTTGATGGACAGTGACATCCCCTCTACCACCTTCTCAGCAAAGCCGTATTCACTGAAGCAAACGTTAGGTAAACAAAGACTGTAAGTGGTGCCTGGCAACAGGGAGCAATACTCATTACTGTTGTTTGTCTGTAGCGAAAGCAAATTTTGACATTAATTACAAGTTCAAATAATTGATCACTCAAATGGATACTGGATGAACCTACGCAGACTCTGAATGTTGAACGTCAAACTGAAACAAATGCCACAAACCCTAAAATCTGCCAAAATGTAAAGTGGCACAAATGGTTGAAAAATATGAACCGCAAAAACCCCGAAAGGTTCCAGGTGAGTTCTAAGGGTTCAAACAGCGCAGCAAACTTTCTTTTGGAGCTGCCCAGATTTTGTGGTCAATAACTTACTTTTCTTTTCAGACCAAAAAGAGACTAACCACAGCAGCAAATAAAGTATAAATAAATTATTAACACATCATATAGAGTGATCATTGCGCGCCTCACTCGACTTGCGGATTGTGATATGTAAAAAAAAGCAAACACTATGTGACTGACTTTTTTTGTTTGTGAAAGAGAAAAAAGGAGCCAAATGATTTCCCTCCAGAAGGCAGATAATGGAGCCACATGAAGCACTCAAGAAACCAGAGCAGCGCTCACCTTTGTCCTGATGCGGTTGCTATGGGAGACGGGCCGTTTGGGGGACGGGGCTCATCACAGGTACTCATCTCCATCACCACTTTGTCCAGAGTCTGCAAGTCACACGCTGAGCTTCACCACCAAAGACTTCATCAAGCTGTTTTATTTCTACTCATTCAGTTTAGATGCAGTACTCCTGCACAGCAGCACGTTAAGGTCAGACCACATATTGTTTTTATATTATACAACAAGTATAACATAATTACATTCTAGTGGCTACGCAGGTTGTTTGTGATCCAAACATTTCTAAAAGCTTCAGAGCGCTATAAGCTCGAGAAGTTAAACATTATAATTTACAACATGTTTTTGTTTGTTAAACCTTTTTTAAATCTTTTGTTTTTTGCTGCAGTCACCACACATCGAGAGGCACGCGCTTGTATCACCTCACATGTTATACTCATGAGAGACAGTCTGTTTAATACCATATTTTGAAAAGGGAATTTCAGCTTTTAAATTGATGATTTGGTATTTTTCTGATGAAATACATTGAAAACCCCCAACAGAAGCTCTGAATGTGAAACAGCCCCTCGGTATGGATATGTAACAGACCAATATTTACAGCAACATCGTCAGGCTGCTGTGGCAACGTTTTGACTCCTGTTTTGTCTCCATTAGTCATCTAATCTGCACCTCGCGTGTACAACGCTACAGTGGCATGTGTTGGGATTTGAAGTGAAATATCTCGCTGTAGGCTGCTTTGCCCTTTTTGAAGTGGAGGCCGCCTACGCATCGCTCACTCCATCCATCGAGATAAAATACCTCAAACTTATTCTCAAATTAATAAAACTCTTGACATTCCATTGTTGCCACCTTCAGGGCCTGTCTTACTTTTCCCAATGTTGTTGAAAATTGCCATGCGATTGTTGCCGGTGTGATAACATTGTGTTGAACAGTATAGTGACTAATGGATGACTCAACAAAGTGCTTTTGTGCCACCTTCCATCATTGTAGCCTCGCATTATGTGGTCCTGATAATCGTGGTACTTTCGATAACATCCTCTGCGATAGTTTTGTGTCCCCCTGATACGTTTGTTGAAGCGTGTTGCATAACGCGGCGAGGCGGTGCCAAACCCCGGGTGCGGGCGAGTGTATATAAACGAGGACGGAGGACCACACGCAGCATCCTGCCTGCTTCTGTGTGCAGACGAGCGTCAAAGAAATGGAGCGTTTATTACTTCTGTTGATGTCGGTTTCCGGCAGCCTGGGCTTTGGGAATTACAGCCACCTGGGGGCCGGGACCAGCATGGCCGTGTGCCAGCCAGACACCTGCGCGCTGCTCAGCGCTGTGGCAGCCATGGGGGAGAAGATGGAAGCCGTGACGCAGACGCAGGCCACGCTGGAGCTGAACCTGGGCGCCCAGATGCAGAAGATGGCCACCGTGGAAGCCAGCTTGCAGTTCTACAAGAGCCAGGCCCAGGCCCTCGAGAAGATCAACCAGGCTCAGGACGCGCAGCTGAAGTCCCTGCTGGCAGTCTCGTCTTTGAGCTCGACGCAGATGGCTTTCTCCGCCGCTCTGGGCACCTCGATCGGTCCCTTCGGGCAGGACACGCCGGTCAAGTACCAACGGATCCTCTCCAACATCGGCAGCGGCTATAACCCGGCCACCGGCATCTTCACCGCCATGGCCCGGGGGATGTACTACTTCAGCTACACCATGTACAACAACGACGGCGGACAGCCCAACTCGGTGGTGTCCCTGATGATGAACAGCCAGAAGATGGTGTCGACGTGGGGCACCGTGGCCAAGGACACCCAGGACAGCGCCACCAACGCGGCGGTGGTGCAGCTGGAGGCGGGCGACAGCGTGTACGTGCAGCTCTACGCCAACAGGGCGGTCTTCGACGACAGCTATTACTACAACACCTTCAGCGGCTTCCTGCTGTTCACCTTGTCGTGAGCCGGACGGAGCCGGAGTTTAAATTATGCCGCAGCATTGGTGGTGGATCTCATGTAAAATGGCAATTATTTAAGATTTTGATGATTTGAATTACAATAAAGAAATTAAAAAAAACATCCCAATGGCCTCTTCTGATTATGTGGGCGACAGGTGTGGTGGGTGAAACTTACCAAGGTGATGGGGTGAGTCTTCAACTTGGTCCATGGTATCTGTGAATGAAAACAGAACGGCAGCTTTTAGCTATTCAGCCTCACAGTATTCAGACCCATTCAGCAAGCGTTTGGCCTCTTAGTTGCTCCGGAAAATGGGAAAAACTAAATTACCATCCCATGAGCACAAATCAAATGAAGTGCCACCAAACAGCGCAGAATCACATCAAGACAAAACCGCGGGCAGGTTAGCTCAGCGAGGAAGGAAGGAAAAGGAATCAATGAGTCTAGACGTGACGGGCGGCTCGCTGCATTTAGCTCCAGAGCTCCATTAATACTCGACACGCCGCCTCTCGATTCAAGCGCGTGTCAAATTATATACCGAGAGAGATTAAGCGCCCATGTTCACGCGGAGCGGCTCCGTCTCCCAAGTGTCGTCAATCAAGAATTGAGGATTTTGCGGTTCTAATTGAATTACGGGGACACATACGGGGGGGGGGGGGGCTGTTGCAGCCTACGTCGGTGGATGTGCTTTTATTACTTTTGTTTGTGTCAGTCTTTCAAAATAAAGAGGAGAAACTGGCTCCTCTGTGACAGGAAGACACACAGAAGAGAAGGGGATGTAACGAGTGAGGAAGTGAGATACACATCGGTTCTTTTTTTCAAACAACGGTAAACAACACAATGATCACTTTCAGCTGAAGCCAGAAGTTTTTCATTTCCAGTTCCACCAGTTCGCTGGAGGAGTCGGACTCTTACTGATTAACGTATTATAGTTTTTATGGGTATTAAAGTCACACTAACAGTGACAGCAGATACATATTTCAGGCCACGGATTGGTAGCGAGGGTTCAGAACTGAGCGACAAACAGCGAGTCGGACGTGAGGTGGAGGAGTAAAGGAAAAAGGGCGACGTGGAGAGGTCGGAATCAAAGTCCAAGTCACGAAGGAAACTACTGCACGCACCTCAATTCACTGTTTCCAGGGAGTGTCAGTCTACTCTCATACCAGGACCACAGTGACCACATCGCAGGCAGCTCCAGCAGAGCGCATGAGAGTGTGTGTGTGTGTGTGTGTGTGTGTGTGTTGTGCAGAGACTCAATGGAAAGGTACACGCTAGTCTTTAATAGAGATCTGCGCTGTATCTTATTTCGAGCCTTTCCGTTTGTATACAGTATGTAGCTTCCTGGGTTTCCTGTCATTTAGGCGCGAAATACCATAAAATCATAAAACCATGTCAATACATTTGGGTTTTGACACTTTGGCAAATTAAGTTTTATAGCATACAATTGACATTTTTGTGCTTATTTGCTTAGATAAGAAGACTGATACCATTGTTTGATGTGTACACACGCTACAGCTCGCATGTGGTTAGCTTAGCTTAGCAACTGGAAACAGGGGAAAAATCCTAAATAACAAGTAATTGCTCATTGGTTATTAATAACAGAATGAAAAGAAAAAAGCTTTGTATGTTATTTTGTCCAGCAAAGAAAACGAAAGCTAAGCTCAGCTAAGCTCTCCGGTTGCTGGCTACAGCTTCATATCCAACAAACAGAAAAATCTTCTCACCCAACCATCTGCTAGAGTGTAGCAGAAGAGTATTTTTTTATTTCTTTTTTTAATTGTCAAGCTGCCCTTTTAAAAGCCTCAAAGTCCGCATGCGGCAGGTGGCCTCACCCTGATGGCCGCCTTGTTGCACTCCACTCGGTTGATGGCCAGCCAGGTGGGCAGGTCCAGCAGGCTCTGGAGAACCTCCTCATCCAGCTCCAGGTTGGTCAGCTGACCTTCCCCCTTCAGCGTGCTCAGGTTGATCTTATCTGGCGACAGGTTCTTAGCAAACCTACGAGGTGCATGGAGGAGAAGAAGTAGAATATTGTATAATATTTATAGAAACGGGTTTCTGGGCAAAGCGAATGTCAAACAAACACACAACTGTCTGTTTGTGTTTTGGGGGAGAGCAGAGGGAGGCCTGTACAATGCAACACCTAAACACACACACACGCATTTTTAAAGATAGTCTCATGAATATGAGGCAATACACTGTTTTCTCAAGCAAAATGAATCATATCCATGAACACAAAGAAAATCCTATAACTTAGTATCACTTCAACAGCAATGTATAACCCTTTGAGACAATTGATGGAAATAAATAGTGCATATACTGAAACCTGCCTTCAAGACATTTGTTTGCTCTTAATTCACGCTTCGCAGTCAACTGCACTCGTTTGCTTTATTTCTACGATTGACGCTCAATACGATGACGACAGTACACACTGTAAAAGCCTTTTATTAAGTAACAAAGAGGAATTAAAGGAGGAAAGAGCTGACAGGATGGTACCTCGTGAGGAGGAATAGGAGGCCTCAAGAAGATCAGACATGGGTTCATGTCAGAGCTCAGGATATTTGCACAATAATTGTGTGAACATAAAAAGGACAAAGTGTACTCAAGTCTCAGATCATCATAAGCAAATACTGTAAATTAAAAACCTAAAAGCTTGTATTGATTCTTCCAACCTCGGTGTCAGTGTGTGTTTAGTCTATTTACTTTTAGGGTTTCTCTGCCCGCCGGATTACTGGTTGACGGTTAGCAGAGCGGGCCGATCCTGGATGGATTATTGACCCCAGGAATCTCCGACAGAGGAAGCCATTGACTTCACGTTCTCGGGCCGGGAGAGGCGCACAGCCCTCATCCTACGCGCGGACGCTTGAACTCAGTTGTTGTTGTTGTTGTTGTTTTGCAAACGTTGAATAACATCCATAAGTGAAGCGCTAAAGCAGCACCAGCAATGTGCTCATGGGTAGGTGGTGGTGTTAAAACACACACACCGGCGCTACGAGGAGGCTGGATCTTGCTAATAGCTAATCTCTCTCACACACACATTCACAGAGTGAGTCTATGAACGGGACGGGGGTCAAAAGTTTTGCAGCCAACACTGAGAGTGAGTGGATTGTTTTAGAGACTAGAGACTGACAGTTTTAGCAGTTTACTGCCACACTGGCTCACATGTGCTAATGTAAACTGATCGGCTTAATGACTATTGTTCAAGTTATTGTTTATCAAGATAAAAGTAAAAGGGGACAACTTTTTTTTTTAATCATTGACCGTGTCGCTGTTTCGGTCAGGGTAGACAAAGGGATTCCTTTGTCACGGTCTGCGTCCCTGCTTATGTGAGACAAAGCGAGGCGGGATCCCGGTTGTGAAATGCCTGTGGACACCTTCTCCTGGCCGGGTCGGATTCTCTTCCAATTCAACGTGTCACCTGTTAATTATTCAGCAGCAGAGGACATGGAGAATCATATTTCTCTATTCTATTTAATAACACCACTCTCTTGCAGACACTGAACACGGATGGTATGATGTGCTCACACGGTCTCTGGGAGACGGGTGGCGTTCTCAGCCATGTGAGCAGTGAAATATTAATTCCTCTTGCCGATCAAGTATCCACCGACCTGGCTGCTCGCCCCCCCCCTGCTGCCCCCATGCTTCCTTTGCCCTTCTTCCAAAGTCATGAATAAACCAACGGCGTGATAGCATGTTGATCCGCCGTCTAATATCACGGTTAAATGAGCTGAATTACACAGAAGAGCAGCGAGAGGCAGAGAGGGTGTCAGGTTATCGCTCTCGGTCATCCGCCATTACTCCGGCCAGCAGGGCCAAGCTCACTGGACCCGATCCAGGCCCACGGGCAGGTCAGGACCGGCTGGAGAGGGGCGTGTCTGCCCTTCAGAAGGGAAACCAACCGCTCACCGATAAAAGAAATGAGTCTAATAACTAACCCAAACTACTCATGTGCGGCGTTCTTTGTCTGCGGGACACTTCAGTCTCACGCAGACGCCTGTGGACCCTGCGGATGGAAACAGACACCCTCTTTTTTTTCCTCCCCTGCCGTGACGGCGCATTTGCGGCGCGGCCCGATGACATCAACGCAGGCAAGAGAGGAGCCTGAGGGAAGATGGCGAGAGTCAAATCAGATAACCGGCTCCTTTCAGCAACCAACACTCGACATAGAGAGACAAAGAGAACCAGGCGGTGGTAAGGAGAGAGGCAGAAACTAGAGAGATATAAAAAGAAATAGAGGAAACCAGTCCTGTGGGATTTAGGAGTGTCTGTTGCCACATTCATTCTTGCCAGTCCTCATTACACCGAGCAGCAGGCTTTGGCTCCAACACAAGAATGGAGAATGTGACATATAAATCGGCCTCTTAATCTTTCACTGGCTCATTCCGTGTCAACGGTGGAGTTGCAATGAGTATCGAGGGACTTTGGAGCAGTCGAGAAAAGCAACAGAAACTCAGACCGAAGCGCAGGAGACGCCCGTGGTGGACGTGGCACACAGACAATCCAACAAATTAAATTTGATGTCTTTAAAGTGTTCCATAAAACCTTGCTTTTCTTTTTAACATGGTGGCGGTAAATCGAAGCAACTTCCTCAAAAACAAGCCATTACCGTTTCCTTTAATATGGTTTTATTGGCCCGTTAGATAAATTATATTTCTTGCACTTCTTTAGGGACCATCAGCACGTGGCTGCAACTAAATGTGAAATGAAACCGTCCTGCGAGATGATCTCTTCCCATCGCGTCCCATGACCCATTTACACCTCTATCATCTAAAGGTCTGGCTTATTTGTTTGTTTGTTTTTCAAAAGAGCACAAGAAAGAAGAGAATCTTTTGGTTTTCTTTACTGATATAGCTATAAAATAAAGGGGCCTTGGTCGAAGGTTGCTAAATGCCAAAAATAGCTGCATTGTATTGTTCAGCTGAAAGGAAAACTAAAGATGTTTTCTTACGCTATATACTGCTGGCAATGGAACGAGTCCACAAGATAACATGGAGAGAAAACACAAACACCTTGATGCCATCTCAACCTCGCTTTAAAGCTCTTTGCAGAGTGTCCGTGTTTGGAACGGTAGTTTAAAAGACTGCGTTACCTCCAAGTTCTAATCAAAACAGGTTATATGAATTACCTCCCGGCCCACATACCAACACAAGTACTACGGCACAAACATCTACAGCTGTGCACAAATTCCTATTAACACCTACACACACGTCCACCATTCAACAACACGCGAAGGGGAGCCGTCAAAGGGAAGCGAGTTCATGTCGACAGCTAAATGCTGCCGGAGTCCTGGAGTATCGTGACCCGGTGGAGACGGGGCAGAGACCAGCCACGAGAAGAAGACCGGCGAAGATAGACAAAGGGGGCGCCAAAGCCTGTGGCGAGGCCGCTCAAAAGCCACGCACACGCACGCAGGGTTGTGACTCATGTCTTAATAGCCCACTGACCAGCAGGGCGCCGTCACACTGGAGACGACAGAGTTCATCACGGCGATGCGTCATCCCGATTCCTCCGCTGCTCAAACTCGGCTCAGTCGAGGTTGAAAATGAACCAGTCTCCTCTTTTGCCAATTTTTAAAAAGGGAGAAATTCACGTGGCGGTCCCGAGATCTCCAACAAACAAACAAACAAACAAACGCGCCTTTAATACATCGAACGACAAGCGGACTGACAGGATGAAAACTGAGCCTGATTGTGAGCCTCTAACCTCTCAGGTTGTGAACTCCTTCCATTAGAAGCCACCAGTGATAAGAGAGCTCATTCTGTGTCCGTTTGTCCATCAACAGCTTTGCATTATGGGCAACAGGAAAACGTCGGACACCCACATTCCTCTGGGACTGTGGATGGAGATTATGCAGAAAATCCAGGTCCCCTTTTCTCTACACAGCTCCATGTGGGGATTCAGTATTTCTGTCAACAAAGACGAGTCTCCTTCAAACATCTGGAATCAAGCTCCTGCCTCAAATGATCCACCAGTAAAGCCTGTGACCTTTTAACCTCTCTGTGAAAGCAAGACAAGCTCCTTCACAGGGAACAAAGCCGAGCAAACGAAGAGTCTGACTGCGAGTCTGACTGAGTCTGTTCGGCCGTTCCCCCATCCGTCTACATCAGTGTGTGTGTCTGTCTGCGTAACACAACCGGGGTCCTGTCGATAATCTGAATCTGTCGACGATGCAGACGAACACACCTTGTCATCTAATCACTCCCAGGGGCTTCCGGAGTTTCGACGCACTCTCCCATTAGGAAACCACTGAACAAATGCATGCCGACAACTCCAAACCAACTTATTGACAAACCCATCCTCGCAGATGAAAAGCCACACACACACACACAGAATGCTCCTTCTAACCGTACACGTTGCAGTTAGAAAATAAAACGCCCTGCATGCCTCGGTGCAAAGGCTTTATGCCAGAGGAGGAACACAATCTGCAATGAGCTTTGATGAGGCTCCAGAAGGCTCCTATTGGACGGAACGTGTGTTCTCTGCAAACATTGAGCCCGACGGCTGAGCAGACATGTCGACACCCACAACATCCCTTGCAGTTGTCAAAGCACACCTAAAAGCAGCGTGGGGAATGACTCATCTGGCGAGCAGTGCAATAACTGTTCCCGGTTGGTGCTGACGAGCGAGGAGACAAAATCCTTAACCCATCTTCGAACCTAATCATCCAAAGCGAGAGCATCTACTGCATCTGCAGCCGTACTGCCGATCTGGCTCTCTGACGCCGGCGCTTTTTGCGGTGACAATCAATCAGCTGACACAAAGAGGATCAGAGAAGACGAGACCTCGGGGCGATGACGTCTCCATTACTCTCCGGGTCATTTCCTGTCAGTGTCGACCCTAATGCTGCGGAGGGCGTGCACAGACACACCCGTGCATCGCCACGACACACACACACACACACACACATAAAATGTAGGGTGGTAGACAACAAAAGCTTGTGTGCTGGAGACAAAGCAGACAAAATTGTCAACGTGCGAGGGTTTGAAGGACAAAGCCTAAAACAAAAAAAGTATTGCCAAGTGAGAATTCAACCAAGCCACAAATGAGTCAACACCGGTCCACCTGCACACAGATGAGCTTCTCAAAGACTTCAGTCATCCGCGAGCTGCAATGAAAGCGCACATCTGATATTTCGGGTTTCAAGCTCGGTCTCTGGAACGAATCAAGGAAGTTGTCCTTTGAGGGACAGTGGAAAAGAATAAATAATGCATGTCAAGCTGATGCCGCCTGTGGCAGTAAGGCATTACAGAAATGGGGGGGGGGGGGGAGGTAATAGTGGCATTTAAATAGATCCTGAACCAATAATAGGTTAATTTATCACTAGGTAGATTAAAAGGATCTTTTTTGGTGCCACAATGTGTCACAGTCTGATCGATTGAGGTGACAGGACAGATAATTGCCTTCTCTAATGATCCTGTGTATGTGTGTGTGTTGGGGGGTCTATGTGGTATCAGAAAAGGAGGGGGGGTCAGGCCAGATGAGCAGGGCTCACAACAAACCTGCACCAATTGACCCTTCACAAAGGCAGCCATTTACAATCATGCCAAATGAAGGTCTGGTTATCTGAAACGCGTGCGTTCCGCACTGCGGCCTGTGCCTTATTAGCTACCAGCTACTCGCCCTGTGGGGGAGGTCAGAGATTGTCGTTTTTGACAACCCGAATCCCCCACTTAAACCGGTCCAACCAGCCCCGCGGCGAGTTTTCGAGGGATTAGCCACCACACTCGCTAAGCTAACCCGGTGTTAGCAGGTTAGCTGCGGCCGCTAGCAACGTCGCTCCAGTTGGCGAGGGTTACGTCAACTGAAACCGCAGCTGACCGCCTGACAGACAACGGGGGGCTGGGTTGGCGGGCGGGGGGGGGGGGTGTTATGGACGTTAAAGTGGCATGTTGGTGTTAGCTAAAGTTAGCTAACGTCTGACTGACCGACTGACTGTTGGACGTTTTCTCCCCGGTCGGGACTGACCTGGAGAGATGCTTCAGGATCTGCTTCTTGATGAGCCCGGCCATGGTCGCGCGATTCCGAACCGCCGGTTGGGATTGTGACTTAGCTCGCTGGCTAGCTCAACCGTTTTTTTTTTCTTTCCCTCCCCACTGGAGCTAGAAACACGCACGCGCGCACGCACGCACGCACAGCTCAAATTATCCTCCCCGTGTCAGTCTTCATTTTAACGGTGTTCCCGCTTCATTTCTCCGACAAGACGAGGGGGTCGAGGCGGAAGAAAACAGCATTTCAGGGGTCCGAGTGACAGCCGGCGGAGGAGGCATATCGCGTTAGGCCATGTTGTCGTGCTGGATTCACCGATAAGGCTCGCGCAGATACGGTGCCAGATTTCTGCATCACACACCGGACACCTGGTCCGACGAGCGGCGTAGGGGCGGGGCGTCGTGATGCGTTCAGGGGCTGCTAGGAAATACACCAACTAGAAGATGAGGACCAGGGGGATATTTCGGGTACTTATATTTACGGAGAGATATGATTTGAATGCTTTTGTACTTGCAGATGTTACTTCAGTGTAAGTATAGTGTGTATTCCGTCCTACAACTAACTGGACTGTAACTTACCCATTCCGGGAAACACTTTCTTTACGAGGAAAAATTCTATATTAACACTAACACTACCGTCTTATTTTATCTCCAAAACTGTGTTTTTAATGTCTACATATGAGTATAGTTCTGACCAATGCTAATTCTGCTGATTGCTCAGTAGTACTATTTTACAGCAAGATGCTATAATAGTAAAATTTAGATATGTAACTTGGTCAATGTGACAGTTTTGTATTCGTTGTCTCTACTCCATCTGTCAGTGTTTGCTTTCACCATTAAACGCTCTTTCAGTGACATCTAGTGTTCAAGTAGAGGATGTTTATTTGCTTTTCACATACTTGATATATATATGTATACTGCATGTTATCATAAGCAGAAACAGAAAAGATTTGCACAAAAAAGTAAAACCAAACGGATATAGAAATAATGTATAATTCAGATATAGGAGAATTAAATAAACCGTGCAATAGCAATGTTTTGTTATTTGTTGACTGATGTACTATTTAGAAAAAGTCCCATGCAGAACTCTATGTTCATTCACTTGCACTCAAAATCTAAAGGACTGGAACAAATGACACACTTGCACATTTCCCTTCTTCCCCCTTCGAGTGGCTCTGATGATGTCTGTGCAGAGGCTTAACCCGAGGAGTTAACAGCAGCCTGCAGATGCCACGTATGAAAGGAGGAGCGAGGGAAGAAACAGCCCCTCCCTGCACCGCTGGGCCTCACTTTAAACCAGCTACAGCTTCTTTATAGTGAATTATTACCTCTTTTGTCCCCCGCGTGTCACAGTAAATAAACAGACTAATTACAGTCACAGTTACGGTCATTAATATAAATTACGGATTTCGGACAATAGCGCTGTGTTGGGGGGCGTTTAGACCAAAGTCGGAGCCGGGTATGTCCCTCACTAATTCGCATTCATATATTTTACTTTTTATTTTTAGTTAATTCACGCTAATGGTCGATGTTGATCATCTGGACTATTTTGAAAGTTGACCAAATCCCTTTTCAGGAACAATCATTGCTGCTGCACCATGGATGCTTCTGCAGAAAAGGGATTCTTCTAAAACAATATGCACCATGTGGTTTTAGATGGCAACAAGGAGCATCACTAAGGTGCAATCTTTTTTGGAATGCGGTTCTTGTGCATTGTAGTGGACCCATGCAGAGCCCGAAGTTTAACACGGGACAGCCCCCATCCGCATACCTCGACGCTAGAGACGACACGACGCGCTCACTGATACGCTACTGGGCCAGTTTGTGGGACTGTACTGGAAACATTCGCCATCCACGACTGCAAAACACCAGCAGCCCTCACCCCTGACACACACACACACACACACAGACACACAAACACACTGCTCTCGGTGAGCTCCCATTGACGATGACTGCAAAAAACCGACACAAGAACAGCTCGAGCGAGAAGAGCGCCGCCGCCGCCGCCGCCGCATCCAGCGCGGAGGATGCGCCGAAGAAGAGCCCGAGGAGCACCGGCAACGGGGTGAGCGGCCCCGGGCCTCAGGGGTCAGGATCGGGGAGCTGCCTCAGCCTGGGCCTCGTCGCGACCGCGCTGTTTTACGTCGCGTTGCTGAGCGCCGCCGGCTTCGCTGCTTTTTACATGCAGCGAGTGGTGGAGGAGATCCAGAAGAGCGGCGCCAGACACGAGGAGGCGGCGCGTCAGAGCGCGGAGCTGAGCGGAAAAGTGGAGCGCGTCGTCCAACAGGTAGGAGAAAGCCACGGGAACATCATTGGGCGTGAAGGGCATCAGCAAGGGGCTCCCGAGCTTCTCCACGAACCGCGGCCGAAATACACATTTTGCACAGGAAATGCGTGTTAATGTTAGACATTACATCACTGTTGTACTGGAGTCACTGAAAGGGGGGTTGGGTGGTTTTTGGTGAACTATGGAGCTCGTCCTCCTCATGCTTTCGTTCATTCAGCAAACGTCTCAAAAGTAAATGAAGTTGCAGAGCCTGTGTAAATGAATCATTTGTTGTCTGATCGTCTATTTTTCAGGCATAAAACATGTCATTGTTCAGTGTAATCACAGAGAAACCAAAGCTCACTGGCTCATGATGTCCTCCCCCATTACATTCAGTCTCTCCCCTCCCCCCGAATGCGACATTTGTCACCTACTCACCTACACTTGCTTCAGCTGTGATTAATTGTTCCGATGCAAATGTGTTTGTTGTGTCAGTTTCATTTGGGTGGGAACTCGCTTTTCTACAATAGTACTCAGAATAGAGACACCAAGATGTGAAGATTGCATCGTCACCTTAGTAGTTATTGAATATAAAGTTAACTCAAGATCCACCGTTGGACAACTGAGCTTTCCAAAAAAATCATCAGTAAATGGGTTCATCTCAGTTGACTGAGCCAACGCTGTTACAAACAAACTAATTAATTCACTGATAGATTTGTATTTTACAAAGGCGTTTAAAAGTCCACTGAGAAACATCTCTTGCTCCCGAGCAAAGCAAACCACTTAAAAACACACAGCGTCATTGAAAATAAATGCTAAATAATCTGAAAACCGGGCTGTTCCTCAGCTCCTGGGCGGTTGATGTCGAGTGAATCGTGCACGTGTCCGACCCCCTTCCTGCGGACGTTAAAAACAGTTGTTGTCCCGCAGGTGGAGTCCCTGGGGAGCGTCGTGGACGGACTGGAGTCGTCCCTGGGCGTCACGCGGGTGGAGCTGGAGGGGGCAGTCAGCCGGATGAAGAGGGGCGAGGTGGAGACGAGGAGGGTGGAGGAGGCCCTCCAGCGGCTCCAGAACAACCTGCTGAAGGACCTTTCAGACGGCATCAACGAGGTGAAGGAGGCCCGAGAGCGGGACTTCTCCTCTCTGGAGAACACCGTGGAGGAGCGTCTGGCCGAAGTGAGCCGGTCCATCGCGGCCAACGTGGCGGAGTTCACGGAAGCTCAGGGCGAAGCGCAGAGCCAGCTGGCCGGCGTCAAGGCCCGCCTGGCGGACATTGTGGACCCCGCGCTCGTCAAACAGGAGCTCTCGGCCATCGTCGATGCCGTAGCGGAAATCAAAATGGCCAAAGAGGCTTCGGACGAATCGGCCGACTCGATCCTGGAGCAGATAGGCGCCGTGAGGTCGGAGCTCCAGACTCGTAACCAGGAAGTCGCCTCGCTGTCCCTAGAAGTCGAATCAGTGAGGTCGGTGGTGCAAGACACCGTGGGGAACCTGAGGCAGTCACTGGCCGCGACGGAGGCGGAGGTCCAGGCTCTGAGGGACAAGAGCGCGACGCTGGAGGGCGTGGTGCAGGACGCCGCCGATGCCGTCCTCAGCGTTGAGAAGCAGGTGGCGGCGGAAGCGGCTCAGGTCCAGAGGAGATCGGAGGACCTGGAGGGCAGGGTTAAAACGTCGGAGGAGAACGGTGAGTCCCTGTCGGCGTCCGTGTCAGACATCTCCGCCAAAGTGGAATCCCTGTTCGCCAAGTACGACACCCACGAGAGCGCGCTGGCCGCACAGGGGCGGGCCGCGGAGAAAGCCCATTCCGGCGTGGACCAGGAGGTGGAGGCACTGAAAAGCATTTTGGGGGAGCTCCAATCCAACATGGCCGCTCTGGGCAGCGCCCAAACCAAGCGGTCTTCGAAGGACTCCAGCCTGGGTGAGCAGGTGGCGGCCTTGGAGGAGAGGCTCGGCGCCCTGGAGGAAAGCAACGGCGGCGTGAAGCCGGAGGCGCTGCAGAGTTTGAGTAGCACGGTGGAGGGTTTGGAAGCCAAGGCGGCCAAGCTAGAGCGCCACGATGAGTCGATTTCTGCTCTTCAGAAGGCCCTGCAGGAGACCACGAAGACACTGGAGGGCCTGTCCAAGGGAAAGAAGGGAAAGTAGTTGGGACAATGTGACATTGGGATGCCAGAACATGACAACGATGATTACCAAAGGGTGACCATGGCGCGCGTTCTTTTCCTGTTTTCATGAAGAATTGTTTTCGACAAACTTGACGGTCAGTCGGGGGGGGGGGGCAGAGCTGTAAACTGCTGCTGATCTGTGAATTCAAATACACATTCATTCTGCACTGTAGTTCCTCTTTTTCTAATATCTTGTTTTTGTTGAATTTTCTGCTGTTTCTGAATTTTTTTCTGCTGTTGTTTTTCTGGAACAAACCAAATGCAAGGAGAAGCTCTTTGTTTTTTAGAATAAATAATAAAAACTCTTGTTGACGTAGAGCTGTGAAGAAGGAATTCTTGCTTTGACATTACCGGTTAAACCTGTGATTTGGTGCTCAAACTGCTTTTGCCGTGACATCACGATTGGCATATTTCCTGTAGGCCGCTAAAATGTGTTAACACCCAACGAGGAATTCCATCTCAGTAGTGTAATAATCCATTTATTGACTTCTCACATAGATCCACGTCATTTACAATAAAGTGTAACACATTAAAAACACAGACTGAATAGCAAACGCTGAGCTCTTTCCTCCTTAAACAGCAGTTGGACACAACATGTAATTTTCCCTTCTCAGGTTTACGTTTTGACTCTCGTCCAGGTGTTCTGCAGAAATGTGCTTCCTTGTTGGAAGCCCTCAGGCTGCAGCTGTGACTCTCTGAAGGCATTCGGACACTGATGAACCCTTTAGGACATGTTAGTTGAACAGGGGCTGCAAGAAGCTGCTTTTTAGACATAGTTTTGTCTAAAAGTTAACGGTAAAACACTGTAATGTAAAAACGACCACTCCAAGGGTTATTATTAGAATTGTCCCCAGGGGCACAAGGAGAGGACATCACGCTTTTCTTTTATTGGCGTTGTACAAAAAAAATAAAATAAAAAAAAAAAACTCCCAAGACTGGACTCGAACCCGTGACGGCCAAGTTCATTCAGATGCACGACCTCCAAACAGCAGCTGACCACGCGTAGCCGCGGAGAAGACCCTTCGAGGACGTCAAGGTGCATCCATCCATCCATCTCTCCATCATCCCACGGACACATCAGCCATTGCGCTGACGCGTCGGGACGTCGCGTCCAAGTCTCCCTCCACCGCCGTGAGGTTCGCCAGAGTCTCCCGCAGCTCGGCGACCTCGCGCTCCCTCTGCATGAGCTCCTCCGCGAGCCTCCCAATGCGCAGAGTCAGGTCCGACAGCTGGGGCTCGAAGGCCCCGAAGTCCCGCCTTATGGCGGCGACTTTGGGTTTGAGGTCGCTGGCGAAAGTCGCCGTTCGGACCACGCGCGCTCTGGCGCTCTCCAGCTCGGCCAGGCGCTCGGAGAGCCGTGCGTGCGCGGCGGCGAGCTCGGGGACGCGCGCGGCGCGGAGCTCGTCGATGGCCTTCGTGTTGCGTTCGCTGGCGGCGCGGAGTTTGGAGACCCGGTCGACGCTGTCGGTCAGGACGTCCCCGATGCGCTTGACCATGCCGTGCTCCACCTGCGCGGCCTTGCCTTCGAGCTGCGCCACCTGAGTCAGCAGAGACTCCAGCTCGGAGCGCAGGCCTTCCATCCTGCGCACGTCTGTCCTCACTGACGCCACCTAGTGGGGGAGGGAGGGTCAGACAGCCATTTCAGACTAAACATCTGGATTTCACCATGCCTAATTGAATCTTTATAGATCAAAATATTTAAAATATTTCTGCTGATTATATCCCAATAAATAAATAACAGCACAGAATAAAACAAATTCACATTTCCTTAATAAGTATTGAATTGTTATTAGGAGGTGCCTCCAAATTGAGTGATACATATTTTGTCGTATGTCGTTTTGTTTTCCGTGTCGTGTAAACAATTTTTACTTACCTGCAATGATGAGTTGATCACCAAAAAATGAATCAATCGTTTGTGATTTAGCAAAAAAATGTGACATTTCAAAAATAGACTTGATTGGACGAAACAAAAAAATGTTAAGACGTCACTCTGAGAAGCAACCATCAATTAAAACAACCCGGCACACCTTGTTGGCAAAGTCTGTGGCGATGGCCGAGGTGCGCTCTTCGATCCGTCCCACGGCGTCTCTCAGCGACGCCTGGCTGCTCCGCAGCTGAGCTCGTTTCTCGCCCAACCCGGAGGCCCAGTCCTTCAGCCGGCTCACGTCCTGCTCCAAAGCCTCCAGCCGAGGCCGCAGAGCCCCCCGCTGACCCCCGAGGTCCTCCAGCATCTGCTGGACGCTCGCACACTAAAAGGGGACACACAGGGTCGGGTGTCAGGTATACGAGCACTCACGTTAGAAGACATCATGTCAGGTTATTTCATGTAAAACACTTGGCGGATTTAACACAAATGAGATTTATTTTTCAATAAAAAGGGGGATTTTATTGTGTGAAATCCATTAAAACATTAAGATGTATTACAGTTTATTTTCAGCAACTTGTATTTCCCCAAAAAGTAAATGATATTGTGAAAAAATGTCCAGTTTACAATCACTTTTCTGTCAATCAATCAACTTCTTGCTTCAATTCTAATGTAGTTTCACGTGGAAATACTGTAAGATGGTTTTATATAATTGGGCATGTTTTACAAAAGGAACATCACATGTGTCACTTCACATTCAAAATAAATAACTTAGACCAAATGTAAAACAGTGCATGTCCACCAGAGTTAATGTTGAAACCGAGGTACACTTTAGAAACTATAATACTGAACTTTGATCGCTTCACGGCTGAAAAGAAACCTCCTAATCGGATCAAAACAATGACATCATTCAGGGAGGTCATTGTGCAGAAGTTGAGTTGTCTCATCCTTGTGATCGTCTTCCCACTCCTCCTCCTCTTCCTCATTCCACCCTTCTTCCTCCGGAGCATCAGAGTCCCTCGGGTTGTCCTCCGCATTTCCCCGAAGCACCATGGTGAGCTCTCGGACCGCCTCTTTGACCACCGACAGCTCGTTCTTCATCTTGAGGATGCTGTTCTGAGCCTGCAGGGTGTCCAGCTCCTGCCGGATCTCCAGGATTTCATTGATCGCCTTCAGCATGCCGTCCTCGGTCCCGAACACCTGCAGCGTCACCTCCTCCAGGCGCCTCTCCGCCGCGCTCAGGTCCGCCGCCAGCCTCAGGATGGAGCGCACCGCCTCCTCCACCTGGGGCAGGTGCTCCTCGCACTCCCGCGCCCGGGGGACGTGCTCCTCGAGCTGGGAGCCGAGCTCCGCCGAGCTGGCGGTCAGGCCGCGGATCCGCTCCTCCAGCTTGTGGACCTGCTCGGTGTTCCAGTCCAGGTGCTCCTCCGCCCGCCGGGTGTCGTCGCCCTCGGTGCGCTCCATGGCGCGGGCGTTCCTCCCGGTGCTGTCCTCGAGCTCCTCCAACCGCTCCGCCAGCGAGCGGCCCCTCCGCTCGGCCTCGTTGACCCGCTCCGTGGCGCCGGCGTGAGCCTCCCGGGACTCCGCCTTCAGGGCGGTCAGGTCGGAGGAGACGGCGGCCAGGCGCTGCTGCCACGTCTCCGTCACGTTCAGGAAGTGGGCGTTGACCGTCTGCAGGTCACGGGAGGCGGAGTTCTCGTCGTCCTGCATCGCCGCGACGGCGGCGTGGAGGGTGGAGATTTCCTGCTCGAGTCGCGTCGCCATGGAGACGGTGGAGAGCGCTTCTCGTAGGTCGTCTTCGGAGGCGGCGAGCTGCGGCCGCAAACACAAAGCAGGAGGGCGGTTTCTGTGGGAGCTCTACGGTCCTCGGTTTTCATTTTTTAATGGACACAGCTGGAAACGATGGACATTGAGGATGCAAAGACCTTTTGGGCTCAGCTGACAGTAGTTTTTGTCACATTTTGAAAGAGTCGCCAGCCATCTCGACCTGTGACCTCTAACGACAAATCAGATTCTGCTTGAAAACCGGGGTTTGTGTCCCCTGGTTGCTCCATTGGAATATTTATTCAGCATTTTACAAGACAAGCAAATATAAAACAAATTGTTTGAAAAAAAGGAAAGAAAATTGTGATGGGAATTATCTCACAAACCCTCACATTTCAGCTCCTGACCTCCTGGTTACTCACAGTACTTGTTTCCTTTCTCTCTAAACCACATTAAAATCATTTAGCAGAACATTATCTATTTATAATAATACATTGAAACCATGAAAGCCAACAAAGGACGCACACATACGTAAACCATAGTTTCGTACTAATGACACAAAGTATGATCATATATTCTATCACTTTACCTAAAGTGGTATCAATATAGCTATGCAGATAATCTGGCTATTTAGGTTTTGTATTACTATACGGACTTTTATTTTGGTGGAAACGTGTTTCAGGTCGATTTTAATTACATTCCGACCTTTTGTTATTTGTCATTCGGGTGAAATGACCCTTTAAACCTCCATCTTTGGAGGCTTTCACATGATGCGCACAGCAAACGTACCTTCTTGGAAACCTTTAAGACGTCCTCCTCCATGGCGAACAGGCTGGAAGTCTTTCCGTTTAACGACTTATACTTTTCCTCAATCTCGGAAAACCTCTCATTCTGCTGCAGCACCAGCCTGAAAAGCCGAGAAGCACAAACCGAACTGAAGCAGAGAGACGGAGCGCTACATTTATGGCATTGACGCAAACGCCGATGATCACTTACCAACTGAGAGCTGCGCATGCAGCGAGCGACAAAACGCACATTAAACTCAAAATGTCCCAACCGGAAGACGCTTTATTCTCTCCTGCGAGGATTCCCGGCTCGGCTTTCGGAGTTTCATCCTCGCCGTTCGCAGCCGATGTTTCATTACCTTCGTTGCTTTGTTTTGGGGACTTTTTCCGCTGCTTTAACTCAGTAGGCATTTTAGCACACTGGCGCATTGTACGTGACGCTGACGTGACGTTGAAAGAGGAATTAACGACAGTACGTGAACGGTCCTCGGGAAAATGCCGCCTTCGGGTGCTCAACGATAAAGTCGTAAGCATAACTATTAACAGATATGTTAAATCAAAAACACAAAACGGCCAAACTTAGCCATTGTTTGGATGTCTTGTCTTTTAGCTGAAACAAACCAAGGTTTTTTCTTCTTCTTCTGTTCTTTTTCCAAGTGGCTTATTCATTACGTCTATGCTTTAAACCGTAAACTACTTGTAACACTCCGTTTTCCGACAGCGTGCTGAGTACCCTGAACATCTCAGCCAGCCACGTAAGCGACTGCCAGCATTTATCCTGAAGGTGGCCAATGCTGGCTTGGTAATATCTTCCAAGTGTAAACAATTAACCAATTAGATCGATTGATGACTTTGTTTGCATTGAGACTGTTGGAAGGACAAAACACAACAATTGAAGATGTAAACTCGTCTGCCTTTCATTAATCCAACAGAGAGAACGTGTGAGGTGTCGGCACAAAATGACCAGTAAATGAGCTTTGACACAAGCCATTTATTTGCCAGGTTTCAAAAACATTGTACTTACATTTTGAGTGTCAAAATATGTCAAAACTCTCTTTAGCTTTCTATAAATGGTGATTCAAAGCCTTGTACAGCATTGCAAGTAGCAGTACGGTGCAGTTTTATTGGCCAATTCTGTTACTCGACCATTATAGGGCCCAGCAGCCGGAGCTTTTTGTATTCAGGATGTGTCAGCGATTATTCACTACAAGGGTCATGCAACTTGCTCAGGCTACGTAACATTTGATAATAATAATAAACGGCAGAGGATAAACAATATTACAAAGAACAAAAATTAAGGTCTAATACGGACGCAAAAGTCTAATACAGTACATTCAAGCAAAAGATGCCACATGCAATTTCCAACAAATAATGTGCAAAACAATTACCACTTGTTTCTCCACAATAAAGCAATGTGACACTATGAGGGCGCGTTAATCAGAGATCTTTGGACTAAGGCATAGAGTGATGAATATTTGGTCATTGAAGGATCTACAACTTTCACTTTTAGTGTTCCATATTCAACAACTTGATTCAAACTACATATTAGAACCATTAACAGATTATTCTATTTCATTTAAATGTCCAATCCATAAATCACACCCAGATACCAGCTCACGGTTGCACACTCAGGCCTCGGCAGTATGTTACAGCAAAAACAGAAAAGAGGGCTTTTAAAGGGATTCGTGTTTGAAGTGGACATGTGTTGCTGCACTTTCGCTGTCTTCAGTGAGTGCCGTTACATTTTAAGTAACGACATAACAAAAAGATCTACAAGTTCAAATCTAAAAATCCCCAAAAGGCACCCCCCCCAAAATCCACGAATCTAAAGGTTACACTGTTGACCACATTATCAATTTACGACATCTGTAAGCGTTCAAGCGGCAGGACTGAGACCAAAGAGAGCGCGGAGCTAACTGAGGCGCATCATGTGGCTCATTCCGATGCTCTAAAGCGGATTGCTCGACGGACAGGATGATAGGATCAGATGAGAAGATTGGTGTTATTCAAATAACATTTTTAAAAAGTCTAACTTTTCAGCTACTTCTGCTTCCATGCCGTCTTGTCTTTTTACATTAATAAACAAGTAATGAAACTTCGGTGCTAATAAGGCCAATTCCAGTTTATACAACAGATACAATGCCTGAATAAAGAAATTATATATATATATCTGGTCCCCCGCGGCCTCTTAATCAGGTATTGTTCCTGTCTGTTGACGAGCAAATATAAGTGCACTTCGGGGACAGAAAGGACACTTTCAAACCCTCGGGAAGGTGCAAAACAGCACGATACAGATCGCTTGTGATGAGCGAGAGTATGTCGACCATTTTAAAACAATTTCCTCCACTTTTTTTTTTTTTTAATACCTCGTCAACTAAAGAAATCAAAACTCAAATCCTTCCTTCAAAAAACAACAAACACTGTGCTACATATTATACTTCTACACATTTTAAATCCCACAACCGCAAAGTCAATGAAGCAATACATTGCAAACTAAATATTCTTAATACCTGAACTGTACACAGAGATCCTTCCAGATGCCCGCGGGGGAACGTTACTTCTGCAGAAAATATTGTGCTTGATCCTCTTGATTCAAACAACTGTTGTGTATATACATTATCTAATAAAAAACTAGACATTAGACGTACACAGGGTGGAGGCCCGTCGCACTCATTTAAACCCATCCGACTCCGCCAAACACGGGACGAATATCAGGGCGCCGAGTCCGAGGAGTTCAGGTGCTGTAGTGATCCTGGAATGAGGGAAACACGGTTAGAACTCCCCCCTCCCACAGAGGTTTCCCGTGAGACGGAGCGCTTCCGCGCTCTAGATTCGAGGAGGCGGAGCTCTGACCCACCTGAATGGAGGTCACGACGCCGCTGGCCATGACGGAGAGCCTCCCCGCGACCGAGCGGACTCCCAGTTTGAGCTGCGACATGTCGGGAGCGTTGGGCAGCACGTTGGTCAGACGGTACGAGCTCGCTGCGGGAAAACGTACAAAACATCAACCATCACAGGACGGGACGAGGGGATCGCTTAAGTCTTATTGTTGTTGTTGTTGTTGTTGTTGTGTCACGTGGCGTGAGATGGAATTATTAGAGTGACCTCGAGCCGGTTGTTTCTTACTGGCTTGTTTCTTGGGATCGTCGAAGAGGTCGGCTGAACTTATAGAGGAACTCCCGGAATATCTTTCCAGTCGTGTTTTGGCCTCGTACTAAAAGAGAAGAACACGTTACTCTTCAAGGCTCAGTCGCTTTTAGATGCAGAAATGTACATCGAGAAGAACTTGACTCGGAAGCACGTCTCGCACCTCAGAGTTATCTCGGTTCCCAAAGAACGTGTCCGAAGAGATGGATTTCACGTCGCGTCCATACTTCCTCTGAGCTTCTCCTGTGTCTGGGACGGCTTCTGGTTTTCTTCTGCCCGTCGGTCTAACAACAAACAAATGAATTCATCTTTGGGAGATAACAGGAATAAGCACTAATTCACGGCTCTGTATTTTGGGTGTAATTGTATTACAAAACACACCACATCCTACCTGTCGTTCAGTGATGTTATAGTGGAGGTCAAGAAGAAGTCCGGCTCTGGTTTCTTGCTCTCCTTCATCCAGCCGCCTTCCTCGCCGCGGTCGTCCCACCTCGAGGAGAAACTGTCTGAGGTTTCCGTTTTATCCTCGAACCGGGACAGAACCCTAAAGAAAAAGAAGCCCGTGAATGTGTGAGAACCATTCCTGCAAATACAAACTGCAGGGGCGGATGTTAAAGTTGTACTCAAAACGGCCGCGATGAACGTTCATAACAGGAGTATTATCAATGATGTTTAACCCACTTGGCGCTGAAGGAGCCTTCGTCCTCGTCGTCGCCGGTGAAGCGCCGGGCTTTGGTGCTCTTGTTTCCCATCGGACTCTCCTGCTGGATGATGTGCATGTCCGACGTCACGGAGTGAGACACTCCACTGACGGAGCAGAGACACGAGACAGTCACGTTGAGACAAGGCCACCACCACACCATGGACAAGTAGAGCAATATCAACCACAGGACCACTGGTGTCTTCATCATCATCATCATCATCATACCTCCTCATGCCCATTCCCATGCCCAGTCTCTCAGATTGCACTTTCTTATTCCCCTCCAGTCCCTTCATCTTCTTCTCCTCCATTTTCCTCTGCTGCTCAATGTCTTTACAGGCCAGCCGCAGGGACGGAGAGCTGAGAGGGAAGAAGGGAGAGGAGTTTAAGGGATGACAAAACGTAGAGAGGATAAAATGTCTCAAAGGCAGAAGACGAGAGGAAACCCACATGGATTCCTCGGCTTTGTAGCTCTTGGCACCACCGGTGCTCTCGTCTTTCTCTCGGAGCTTGTCGGCAGCTTGCGCCTTCTTCTCCAGGTCTGAGAAGCTCTTGCTGCTGACCTTTTGTGCACCAAGACCGCCTTTCTTAGAGGCCAGCTGGAGGCAGAGACATTGTCACTAAACATGCTATGAATGCAAAGTCCAACATGAAGTTACTACGAGTACGTACCGTTTTCTTGGCAGCAGTTGGCTTCTTCTTAAAAAGTCCGGAGGGCTCTGCAGGGGGTCAAAGGACAGTAAAGCCACATATTCTACTGTTCAGCTATAATTCAGACACAAAAATAAAAAAGTGAGGAAGATAAACCGACCTGGATTTGCTTTTGGAGAGGCACTCAGCATGTCCACACTAGGACCCTCGTCTAGATTACCTGAAGAGGTTTCATTTGGATGTGATGAGCCGAATCAATGGATTGACACAAATACAACACGTGCATGTTTGAATTAAATACCGTTACGGTCTTCCTCCGTTTCCACGGTTACAGGCTTCTCTGACGTGGAGGCGATGGGATGACATTTGGGCATGTTCAAATTGTCAGGAAAAGTCTGGGCGTTAAAAGAGACACACGGGACAAAATAGTAAATCCCTCTTCACTCTCTAAGTAGGTATCCAACCACCAGGTTTCATACCTGAGAATGCAGACTGAAGAAATCCAACTGCTTGTCGTCTGGTGACGTTGGGGAGAGAGGAGCCTGACTGTCAAGCCACAACTAGACAGAAGAAGAGCAGTACAACTGACACCGGTATGCAAAGTATGACAGGCAAAGAAGAACTACACAAAAGGTCAAACTTTGTTTAATCTAATCTCTCCATTCTGGCTTTATTCCACTCAGTGGAGCAAACTGCGAGCGTAGGATGAGATGAGACACAAATAATGTCTGCATTACCTCAGTGCCGTGACTTTTGGTCGCATGTGTGGCTAAGCTCTTTATCTTCTCCCTGTACAGCTTAGCGGCCCTGCTGTTGTACTTGGTATTGGCGGCGCTGGTTGTGCATCCGTGTTGGTTGAAAAATGCAATCTGCAGATATATTTATTGGGGAAAGACGGCACTTGAATTTAACAAACTTAAATAAGGACCCCGAGTAATGCAACGCTGGCGTTAACATGTGCGTTGTCATATGGTGCCTTTGGGTACCGACCGCGTTGGAATTGCCTCCCACTTGCATACATCTCAGCTGGAACCACGACCAGTTGGAATCCAGCTCAGTGGACCTGTGAAACACAACGGTGTCAGGAGAGGGACAAACAGCATCTCCAGCATCTACTCATACCAACAATCTTGTGCAACGGTGTGCTTTTTTGTCGTCGTTTATTTCATCACTAGCTTGTAGTTCATTATACTCTGCCTGCAGAAAGCTCATGGTGCTCATTGCTCCGGGGTCGGCCTCTTCCTATTGGCCAGTGGAGCCTTGACATAAATACAGTGTCTTTGTCATAATCTCTAAGTAACGCCCATGAGAACACGTTTGACTTGTTGACACTGGATGACCCCGGATCTCGTCTTAAAATAAATACAGAACAAGTGTGTGTCTTTTCCCCCGTATCACCTTCTACTACTAGATGTAAAGAGTTAAAAAACGTGTTGCAATCCACAGTTTGGTATTTCCTGCCAAATACATTAAACCTTTTTCCTTTTTATTTCTGAAAGTGCACTTCGTAAATAGCTCCTGACTTACCTGATAAAGGTGAGGTGCACCCCGAGAGACCTGTGCGTCCCGGAGCAGTCTATGCACAGGAACACACCGTAGGTGATGCTGGCCCAACTGGGGTTTTTGGCCGAGCAGTCGAAGCAAGCCTTTGGGGAGGAAGAGAAACACTGACGTCATGTTTAAACTCACTCCCTCGGCTCAGGTCACACGTGTAAAGTCCATAAAGTAGGAAAAACAACGTGGAAGGTGTTTGTAACCGTGGAGGGTCTGAAGTGCACGTCGCTGGCGGATCATTCTAACAGCTGTTGGCGAAGCGGGTTGGAATTGCGCAATTATATTAACGTTGACTAATATTTTAACTAAAAAAGGGGGAGAGGAAAAAGCGTTCCGATGGGAGTTTAGTTCAGGATGCTCTGCGGTGTCACGCGGACGAAATGCTTAAAAAAAAAAAGACAAGCCTAAACAAACCCAGCTAGCCAACCGTCAAATGTAACGTCAGCTAGCTAGGCTAACGTTAACATACGGTGACGTAAATTAAGCGTCAAGTCGATGTTAGCGGGGTCACGATTCAACCGAAAAAAACACCCGGTTCAGTGAAGTTAAATCACGGTGACGCGACGAACAGCTAACGTCGGTTAGCGGTTAGTTGACGTTAGCTTCGGCGTTCGTCAAAGTGCGACGTGTCAGACGGCGCGGTTCAACTTCCTCGTCTACGGAGAGCAAACCGGGCGGAACTCTCACCTTGTTCGTGGGAACCCCGCGGAGTCGCTTGAAGATAGCGGCGATGTCCGGCTTGCTGGGCTCCGACATTGTTCCACCTGTCGTGAAAAGCGGGGACGGTCAGAGAGACTGGCTCCGGAGCGTGAAATACAGACCTGTGTTTTCCTCGATGATAACCGAATACGACACGTCAATAGGGCAACATCGCGGCCGGGCCGCGGATTGGATAAAAAGATACACGTGGTTATGTTTTGGTAGCAAGAGCTTCTGGGTAATGTAGTTTGGTTCTGCATTCGACGCTCCAATCGTATTCTCAAAGTTGTTGAGTAAGTATGTAGGATATTTACTGAGGTCTTAAAAGTAAAGTCACTTGTTGTCGTTTTTATATACTTGGAAACACTAAGGTGTTAATCATAAAAACATCACGAGTAGGAACGTGAATTTATCTGCAAAATAATCTAAAAAATAAAATGTGTCAAATTGACGTACAGAAAAAATAGAAATAGAAATCTGAAAAAAATCCGTACGACTGGTGTGAAGCCTGAAATGAACTATGTTCATCTTTTTTAAACACACACACACAACACATTTTTTCTATCCGGTAAATATGTCCACATAAGTTGAAGGTTGAAGAATAAAAATATCAGAACTCAAGGCGCAATATATTTTTTTCCAATAAATTCATTTATTATGTTGCGGGACAACATTTACAAACCTCACTGTGCAAGTACAGCTGCCGCTGCGTTTTGACGTCAGCATGCCTGAAAACATAGCAAATGTCTTCCTTCTGAACATTAATAATAATTCGTCTTCCTCTTGTGCTGCAGTTAAAGGAATCAAATAGCATTCTTTCAATGACTTTCTCAATGCACTGGGAAAATAATTTGGAGTCTACAAATGAAAAGCCTGCAGTTCATCTCTGCAAAAACACAAGCCTAAATAAAATACTTGATGATTAAAACATATGTAGGTAATCCGGTAATTAAATCAGGTAGATCCATTCTTATTGAAGCTACGAACGGGAAAATTAACAATTATTCACATACTTGCTGATAAATTCAATTTATATGTCCCTCTGTGACAGGAAAAATAATTCTATTTACAAATATAGCATAGTTACAGATTAAAGGGATATTTGCCATAAAATATAATTTCCATACAAACTGATTCTCAGTCACAGAATTTTAACAAGAGTAGAACAAAAGCACTTGCGGCATCATAAATTAACAATCAATTTCAAACTACATATCGTCTGATATCAATGCTTAATTTGTTCTAATATTATTCATCCAGGCTATTTACATGCGAGTATGTAATACCGTACTCTGCTGTGGTTTATTGCAATAAATTGTAATATACTCCCCCCACCGCCCCCCCAAAACACTACAATACTCTGATAGCTTATAAGTTTAGCCTGAAGTGAGATAAATTACAACATGGAGATTCAAGTGAGATAAACGTTTGTGAAAAACTGTCATTGTTGGATGAGGTGTGTGTGTGTGTGTGTGTGTGTGCGTGTGTGGCTTCAGAAGGGTTTGTTCAGGGGGTTAATGGATCAGTACAAGAAAAAAAACTAACATCTGCAGAACTGAACAATTAAAATTGGCAAAATACAATCAGTGAATGTACATTCAATTGCAATGACTACAGGAACCAAACCACTGTGAACTCAATAAAAACATCAATCATTAATCTCCAATTAATTTGATTATTCCTTATGACTAGAACAGCTAATGAACTGAATGGAAAATACTGAACCCAAAAAGGAATGAACAATTTGAGCACACATTTTAAAAATCAGGTTAAACCTGTCACTCTAGTCTCAAATGGGCCTACTTTGTCAAAGAAAGAAAATCACAAACGAGTTAACAGTTATGGACTGGATTCTAGCTGGCGGAAATGGGTTCAAACCTAGAATAGATAATTATGTTATAAAAAGGGTCCTCTCCCTTAAACAATCCAGAGTGGCTCGCATATTAAGGCTGCATGTAACATCGCAAGACGATTTGTCAGAGTGCCGTCCCAGTGTTTTGTTTACACAATATATATAAATGCATATTCACGCATACATTTATTTTTATCTAATATACACTTGAAAGGCTATTATTTTTGTAACAGCGTAAATGGGATTCTAAGTAACACAAGAGATCTTACAGTGACAGCAATAGTTGTGTGATCTTCTCGGCCTGGAATCGTGTGGACGCTTGTTGCAGACTTCCATCTGAAGCCTGTCGATCTGTGAAAAGCAACATCTCAAGTGGTCCTTTAATAATCTGCCGCTTCTCTCCGACAACAGTCCCGTCTTCACCGACAGGGAGACAAAAGGGTTCAAAATAAGGCAGAAGAGTCCCGGTTTCCAGACGCACTGTCGATTCCTAACAGACCACTCTTCTCTTTCTTCACATTTATTCTTTCGTGATACATGTATTACTGGATGTCTTCCACGTAGTTAGCAGGGTAGAGGCCCGTTTGTCCACTCTTAAGCCGGCCTTTGCACCAACCCTGATCGTCTTCTTCTCCGACTTTGGTAAATTCCTCCCCTGGAGGAAAAAGGAAGGAGGAGGAAAGGATGAATATCTGTATCGCAAAACGAAAAACCTACAGGGATGCAAAATACTTTTGAGGTCTCTAAATGCATCCATAGTCTTTCCCGCCACGTACCCGCTTTGAAGGTCAGCTCGTCCTGCTCCTGCCCATCGTAGTCATAGAGCGCTCTGACAGCCACAGATACGCCCGGAGAAGCCGGCTCGTCTTCGAACGGATTACCGTCGCCGTTGGAGGAGAACGGGTTACCGCCCGTGTCTTCGTCGGACCATTCGGTAGTCTTCTCCACGCTGCTCGCACTGGACGGACGCACAAAAGAGGCCACTTAGAAAACGTGCTTTAGTGTTCTTCTCAGGGCCGTACGCGTCGGCGGGATGATTCAGCATGCCAGACGAAAGCAGGGACCAAAATTTAAAAGTTAGAAAGGCGGCGAGAAAATAAAAATAAAACATAACATGGAGAAAAGTTAAGTCAAACAAACAAAAAATAAGCCAAAAGTGCATTGAAAAATCCAGCTTTGTGATTCATCCTGAAAACATCCTCCTATGTAATAAAATAAGTGCAGATGACGCTGACTTTTGCATCAATGCTACAAAGCAAGCGTTTGGTTCAGGCAGCATGACAACGACACTTTGATGCCACTTTTAAGATCAACAGCTTCAAGTGAGAAAAACACGGCAACACAAGACCAAGCAAGACAAATCAGTGGAGTGAATGTGTGATTGGAGTTTAACCCAAACGGCCAACAGAGGGAGCCACCTAAACACCAGAAAGAACTCGGCTCCCACAGAGTTATGAGATGAAAAACAAATAAAACACACACCAGCACGTATATAGAGTATTTGGCGATTGTGATGCACATGACATCCAATGTTCTTGCGAGAAGTGAGGGACAGACACATTTCGGCTTTGTGTGCCAGCGACCATGCAGAGCAACACAACAAACTGCCACCTGCGGGAGGAGAGAGGCACGTGAGGAGGAAAGGGATCAAAGTAAGGACCGCCTGAGTAAAGACGAAGAAATGGCGCGGAGAGGAGACGAGAATCGGCTCGATCGGCGATCCATGACACAAAGAGAGAAACAAAAGAGGGGAGGGGGCGGAGTGTTTCCCCTCTGTTCACCAACGTTTTTATTTCCTCTTTATTCACACTGATGTGGTTGACTGTGGTCGGCTTCTCCACGGCCGTCTTCTCCTCCTCCTGTTGCTGCCGCTCCTCCTCCTCCTCCTCTTCTTCTTCTTCTCCTCCATCGTCAAAGGGGTTTGAGCCCACTGGCGCCGTGTTAGTGGGCACAGTCAGGCTGACATCATAGGACACAGTGAGAGATCGGTTGTTGCATTGCACACGCACACAGACAGACTGGGAGACACATACACACACACACACACAACCTGGTGATGGACCGAAATGTACGCGGCAAGTGTTAGCATACCCGGCTAACGAGTGCTTCGTTTCTCTGGATAGACGAGCCGGTAATTATTGTTTTTCGACGTCATAATGAACCTGGGAAACATCAGTCAACACCACCACCGTGTTTGAGACCAAAACACAGAAGCAGAAGACGGCTTGACGACAGCTCGACTCGTTCTGACTTGAGGGCCGCTGCTTACACGAAGTTAAACAAAATCATAATTACGGCAAAGCCATAGAAAACATCGAGAAGGCACTTTGTTAGCGACACATGACGCACACAAACACTTGACAGGAGAGCTCTGGTTGGCCTGGGTGCTAAATCTCTCTCAAGAAGCAACATGACGGCTGTTTACTTCCTCCTTTTGTCCCCATCCGCATCGAGGAAGAAACCATTCAACAGTCCTCCACCTGCGTCGGAGGAAACACAAGAATGTTGCTACTCCCTGTTTACCGAACTACCGGGCCGTGAGCGGCTGTGGCTGTCGGTCCTCCCGAGACAGTGTGAAGCTGAGAAGTGTGAAAGCCTTTCTTTGCAAAGTCAGGAACTGCTTTTAATCAAGAGGAGCCTGTGTTTGACCCTCTGTGCTCGTTGACTTTAGAAAGATACCCAGACGTTGTGGGCGGATAAAACCCACCAGTCAAAACACACAAGGATGTGTGTTCGTGTAAATGCTGGATGGGGGAGGGTCGCTCAACAGGCCCCAAGTCCAGGGGTCAAATGCTTTCCGTGCCTGACATTCCCTCAGTTGACTCCTCTACGCGCTCCTCGGTGCTCTCATGAACTCTGCACACACACATTACTTCCTACCGAGGTCCAAACAAGGGGACGGTCGCCAAAACACAGGACAGGATAGTCACCACTAAGCTCGCTTCAAAATAAGAACGATAGATTCAACTCTCCTAGCAACTTGCTCGTCTGTGCAAAACTTTGCTTATTTTCTTTTTCCCGTGGTCGTGTTAGATGCATGAGAAGCTTTTTATTATCTAATCAGATGTTTGTTGTCGTTTCAATGAATCCCTTTTATGTCCTTGGTGCGGTTGCCACAACTGAGGGACAACTGAGTTCTTATCTTATCGCGTTTTAAAGAGATTACATCATGCTATTAAAAACTGCCAATCAAACCCAGAGGGGCTGGAAGCTGGAAGCCGCGTATTCTTTGGAATTCTTGAATTAATAATGAAAACATTAGATTTCATTGAACTTTCTTCAGTTCAGGCGCAGGTGGTTTTTTTCCTGAACTCCTGAAACTCCCCGGTAACATTCATGCCATAAAAGGTGTCCGCGTGTGTGATGTGTTTCCGCATTACTCTTTTGGCTCGCTGTCAAGCTATGTACCAGCCGACTAGAGTCTCGCGGGGACGGATTCTTTCCCAACAAACTGTTGACAGTTGCCACAGAAACGTCTGTACACACGGACGTCACTCCCAGAGTTTCCTTAACGTACCGATTCACGAGCATTCCTAACGAGGAAAACGCCATGTGTGGTGCGGTTGATTACCTCTGATGTGGCGAGTTTGGATGAGACACACACAGAGAGTAAGGGAATGTACTTGTGTGTGTGTGTGAGAGTGAGCATTATGAACATCTGCTCATTTAACTGTGCGTTTGTTAGAGACAGACATATCTGATGAGAGATCTACCTGCTGCTGGTCTTGACAGGCTGAACAGGCTGGTCTGACCCACTTTGACTGATGCCCGTCAGTGTGACGCCGTCGGATGGCTTTTTCTTTTCTCGCTTGCTGAGGGTTCGGTTCAGGTCTATGGACCAGTCCTGGTACACACACACACACACACACACATTACATTAGACCCAAGTGTTACAGTGTAAGAGGCCATGAGTTTAGTTTAAAACGTGACTTAAGAGAAATTGGTAGATTAAGTCACCTGCATCTACACAGCACTGCACACACACACACACTTCAAAACAGTCCAAGAATCTGTGAAACATTTCCCAGGCCGTGACACGGACTGAGGATTGTTAAACTGTTCATGCGTGATGAGTGTTTATACAGCACAGTGTAGGCCTGATAAGATGAGAGGCACAACCATGGACAGAATCCATCACCTGTGAAAGAAACGGCACAGAGGAGTCTGCCCTCCACCAGAGGCTGACCAGGGAGAGCAACGCAGTAACAGAAAAATAAATTGGTTTTAATACACATACAGTTGGATTTTTCTGCCCACAGATCGCAGAACTTTCCAGGATAAATCAAGACACGTCATCAGGCTTCTGAAACCTTTAAAGGTCAGAGGTCTTCCTGTCTGGCTCATGTTCCCTGAGACATCTGTGACATTCCTCCGCCATTATGGCATCATGGGACGTACTGCAGGGTTCACATGGACAGAATGAAGACTGGATGGGCCACAGACAGGTCAAAGTTCAAAGGTTAGAAAGAAAAGAGTCTGAGCTAAAATGTTATAGTTCCGACTTCCAGGAGAATGTATGTAAACATCCCGTTGTTATGAGGTGAAGGGAGCAGAGGAGCATATGACGATGTACTTTGGTGGGGACATTGCTGTGGACTGCCATGTGGTGTCTGCATGTAAAAGTGTGCGCTGTGTCTTTAAATACTTTCGAACTTGATAGAAACACAACCACCTCAAACACACACAGACAGACAGAAGGATTAAGGAGCGTGTTTTTGGAAGAAAAAAAAAAAAATCTCTCCCCATTAGTGTTTGGAAAAAAAAAAAACTCACTACAATGGACCTTCTTCTAAAGGAGCGAGGATGGGAGCAGTCCACATTCTGTCAGACGAGAGGAAAGGGAGGCAGGCGTGGGAAAAGGGTTAATGTGGACAACACCGTCTAATCCTAAAGCTGTGGGGTGTAAACCTTCATCTGCAGACACGTTAGTTTGTGACATGATTTCAGGGATTGCTTCTCTGACATGTACTAAAGAGTCAGTTGGCTGTGGAACATTTGGTGTATCTACTCAGTTGGAGCCGTCTAACCGGTTACGTCACTTTTTTTTCTTTTTTATTGCGTGTGTGTGCACGTACCACGTCACAGAAAATACCTATTCCTTTCCACCGAAAGAAGGAAAACCAGCCCGGGAATGAAGGCAGTGGGAGAAGGTGCTCTCTTCCAATAGCAGTAGCAATACATTGTAGTAATGGAAGCGCATTAAGCTTTCACTTCCTCTCGTTCTTATTTCACCTCCTGTTGGGAAAATGCCATGAAGCAAATTTCCTCCCTGGTGCCGAACAGCACAGTTCAGTGACTGAAATGCCATTGGGACTTAACCCGGGCTTTGGCTGCGTATAACATTGTAAAAATCCATTGCAATACCATGTTTTCAAAAGAACGTACTATTCCACTTCCACTGCTCTCGTTACAGGTGCTTCCTACAGCGACGCCTGGGAGAGCAACAGCATTGTTTGAGAATAGCCTTCAAAGGAATGTAAGCACTATAATTAATTGATCCCCATCTTATTAAACAATGTCTTCAAGTCAATAACAGCAAAGATCCTTCTGTAGTTTATGGATCAGTCCCATAAAAATGTTCGGAGAGGATGTTTCGCCTCCATTTCTCTATCAAACATTAAGCCTTCCTTGTGGTTCCTCCTGCTCTCTTCTTCATGTAAATCGAGGCTGTAACATACCTCAAACTGGGGCCAGTTCATCGGCATGCCAGGCCCGTGATTGGACCGGAACCACTTCAGGTCGTCCTCAGCGTCGGCAGCAGAGACCGTGTCCTCCAGCGTCTGGTAGATTGTCTGGAATCTATGGAGACCACATTGCACATTTTCTCCCTTGGTGAGAAGCATCTCTCACAGCTTTGCTTATGAGATGCAGCAGCTACATTTATGTACTCAGACATTGAATGATCGGAGAGCAGCGACTGATGGGACGGCCCTGGTGCTGACCTGTGATTGGTTGAGAGATCCAGGTGCTGTTTAACCTCCAGCAGCAGCTCTCTGAAGAAGCAGATTCGTGTGTCTTCAAACTGCTGCCACTGTTCAAACACCTGCTCCATGTTCTCCATGTACTGAGGGGTCAACTTGTCGAGTTCCTCCAGTGATTTCTGATAGCGTTCTTTAGTCTGGGAGGAGGGGAGGAATGAGGGGACAATTCAAACATCACAAAAAAGATGAATGCTTGATGATACAAGACATTCTTCGCACTCAACCTCGGCTGGTTCCAAAAAGTAGCCTTACCTTCTGCACCTCCTGCTGACACTTCTCCACCTTTTCCTGGAGCTTCTTTTGGGCTTCGGGGTTGTTGTTGCTCTCCAGTTTGCTGTTGGCCTCCCTGCTGGCTGCCAGCTTCTCTTCTTTACAGGCAGAGTGGTAAGACTTCTTCATTGTCTCCATCTGTAGATTGAACAAGAAAAGAAAGTACAGGCCGCAGCACCATACTTTTAAGGTTACTCACAGCAGAGGAACTGCGAAGGGTAAATAAATCATTTAAGTTTGATATCTGAATGAGGGATTTAAGTAGAAGTTATAAAAACAAAATCGGGGATTGAGATTGAAGAAGTCACTAAAAAGTATTTCCTTTCAACCTGACAATAGCATTTTTGGGATACGGCCCTTGTTGCACAGCAGTCCCCCCCCCCCAAAAAAACTTCCACATCCACGTAGATGTTTAATGTCACTTAATGTTCTCTTTGTGAGCAGGTTGTTGCTCATTATTTTAGGAACCATTACAACTAATATCTCACTTAGAAACGGCCTTTGCTATTTGATGCTCCAGACACAAAAATGCTGAAATGAACGAAGGACTCTTCATCCACAGAAACCAGCTCATGCTGAGGGAGCGACGTGGAAACACCGCTGCCTGATACGTTGATGTCCGATGCATGTAACCACTCATCGACATCACTTTGTTTATATTGCACCTCCAAACAGATCGGAATCACGGATGCAAACTCATCCGCTGTGGTTCCATCTGCAGAGTGTCTCGGCCTGTGTAACCACAGCAGCCACCTTAGCAAGACCCTGAGAGCATTATTGGAGGAGAGCACCCGGTCCGCCCGACTCGATAGCGCTGGCAGTTGTGTGTCAAACAAAACACAGGACCACGAGTTAAATACTGCATCCCATTTACAATGGATGTGGATACTATTGACTTACTGCCCATGCCAGCTTCTCATTATCTAGACTAGTTAATTAGCCCAATTCCCACTCTGCCCCCCTCCTGGTCTCTCTATCCGGTCAATCGATAAAAAAAGCGAGGGCCACAAAACTGTATTGTTCCGTCGCTGCTCAATCACAAGGCCAGGATGTCGCCACCCTTTCTGTCGACATCGCACACGCAACGGAGAGGAACGTGTTCACGCGGAGCGGATGGACGTCTGAAATGAAAGCGGCAGTAGGAAATGCATTGACCTGGTTTTGAACCAAGAAGTGGCGCCCTCGCTGTGTTTCCTCCCCGTACAGGATACGGTTACCAGCCGCCACCGTGGCCCACGGCGGCTAATGCTTGACTAGCTTCTTAAGTCAACATCCAGAGGGTGCAACTGCGGTTCTGCACCGTTGCTGTTGTTGTTTTGTGAGCAGGTAGTCATGGAGGGAACACAATAGTCAGCGACGTGTAATCATGTGAACTGAAGGGTCAAATCGACAGTCATGACTGCAATCAGCGACTTGACAAATAAGCTTGTGTAAATTGCTTGGCTGTTTACAGACAAAAACACATTCGATGGGAATTACTTTGAATTATTCCTTGATTATAATAATACACAGACACGCATCATACTATTTTAAAATCTAGTGAGTTTCCGAGAAGATGGAAAGCCCCACCTCTTTGAGTTTCTTTGCCCAGGGTTTCTGGGCCTTGCGGAAGCCGTCCTCGGCCTCTTTGGTCTCTTTGTAGCCGCCGATCATCTGTTTGTGGTACGAGTCTCTCTGCCAGTTCTTCAGCTTCTCGTAGTCTTCTCCCATCAGGGCCGATTTCACCTCCATGTGGAGCTCGCTCACCTTCTCCGCCTCCGTGCACAGAGCTGACCACGCCCGCTCCAACGTGCCGTACTGAGGGCCTGAGGGAGGAGTTACGCACCAGTCAGCGTCCAATGCATTAATATCTTAATACTAATGTAACTATAAGCACAGGGACTCTTTCCTGCTGAATTATGAAGATTAAAACTGCTACATACACATGTGAAGCTTGAGTTTTTTATATATTTCTACCCTTTTCTATGAGTTGCCGCCAACGCTTTCCCCACTCGGTCAGCTGCTGGGCGTAGGACTTTTCAATACGCGCTCGCTCATGAAGACAGCTCATCAGATCAGTGCAGAGCCGACTGCCATCGTCCACCCGTTTCACTGATCGTTTGTAGTTGCCGACCTGAAAACCAACAATTGACAGAGAAAACGAGAAGATGGTTGAATGGGAGCTGGAACAAGTAGTCTTACAGTGGAGCGTCGCAGTTATGTGGTTATACTATGTATCTATGGAGAGATGTCATTTCACACAGCAGTTTTTCAAAATCCCTACAGAAGGGCTATTTTGGTTCTGGATTTAGGGGTAGAAAGTGTAAATTGATGAATGTGTCTCACCTCCCAAAAACTATCACTGGAGACGTCGATCATGGATTCATCGTAAGAGCCCGACATCGCTGCTGTCCTTAGAAACACTCTGTGAGAAGGACCTGGGAAACGAGACGATTCATTGAGTGAGAGTGATTAAACTCCCCCATTAGCTCTGATTGGTATAAATGCCTACTATTACATCAGATGATCCAAGCAATAAAACGATCATCTGACTAATTATTTTTACATTAAGGAGAGGGAAAATTCAGGTAAATATGGATTAACAATTACTGTTTTTAGTCATTTATCAAGTAGAAATATTGTCAATTGTCAAATAATTGTCTCAAACAAAGCACGGAGTGAGCCAATATTAGAGAGCGTTGAATTATTACATCCATACAGCAACGTTTGATAACTCCTTTTAACACGGTCATGCACTTGTTCGGTCTACGAAACAGCCGAAGAACAACACCAACTCGATATCACAACAACATTCCTCAGACATTAATAGCAGGACAAATAACACATAAGACAAGAAACGCTTCAGAGGAGTAAGGAAATGGAAGTTAAAGTGTGTGACCTGCTTTGATAATCTAAGCAGCAGGTGGGTTTCTAAGATAGACTATAAATGTGTGTGTGTGTGACATAGAAAAATAAATTGTCATGAAGCTCACAGTGGGCAGCTTCCGTTTCCTTCAGACGGCTACCACAGACCGTCCTCTGTTACTCTCCTCTCCCCCCTCGTCTCTCCTCACAGCCGTCACTTTAAACTCAACAGGCTCCTTTATTCCTCCCCTCCGTCCTCTTCCTCTCCTTCCTTCCTCATCAGCCTTCTCCCCTCTCTCTTTCAATATAAATATATATATATATATATATATATATATATATATATAGACAGAGAGAGAGAGAGAGAGAGAGAGAGAGTGTAGTTGAAGGCAGCTCAGACAGCTGCAGTGGACTGCAGAACACGTCAGAACACGTCTAAAATGCATCTGAAGTGACGACTCGAGATGGGATTTTATTTTTACCCGTCTTTTATTCAATTGCAGAAAATTGCAACCACTTCTATAATGGGGAAAGATTTTAATTTAAGAGTGATGCTCGTGGGTCTTCTGATTAAATGATCAATGCGGTGCTTGAAGAATCACAGAATAAATGACTTGATGGAAATAATCATTGGTTGCAGATCCTGTGCTTGTGCAATACAGCAAGTTGTGAGGTATGTTGATTATTTACACACCAGATATAATAAGGATCCCGTATGCTGGTTATTTAAAGGGTTGTGACCAAGATATGGACTGGTTACTTGTGTGGAATGAAATAAACTTAGAGCAGAAGTAGAGCAGAAGCTATTTTAAAGCAGAGTCTCTCCTTCATCCTTTCTTATTCAGTAATATAGTCTTTTACACTAATTCATTCATCAATAATATGTAATGAAGTACTATATCTAATCTGGAACGGTCCCCTTGTGGTCCAATCACACAAAATGCACTTTAGTGCTGCGTGTAAACACACGAGGACTGTTCCAGTAGAGCTGACAGCGAGAGGATGGTGGCTGGTGTGTGTGTGTGTGTGTGTCTCTGTGTGTGTGTGTGTGTTGGCCAGTGGTCAGTGACCCAGGACATGGACAGAGGTAGCATTGTGGTCACTGCTAGCTTGGGAACAATCCTCGCTTTAATGTGTTTGTAGTTTGCAATCAGGTCAGTTGAACAGCTAAATACACACACAAGTGCCGTATTGAATAATATGGGTAATATTGTTTTTGTAATATTATTATATGACACCCCTCCCCAGACTCCAGGGTTTTGTGCTTATTCAGAACGCTCAAGGCATTCGTGACAATATTAATGCACTAATGAAAGAACACGGGAGTCTATTTGTCAGCCGTCCAGCCCAGTCTTGTCCCTCTGGCATTTCCCCACCAGCTGTCCACATTCTTCATTCACCAATCTGTGCTGGACACTTGGATTGAGCCACAAATATCTACTCTCAACATGGGAACCAGTGTTATGTCGTCAGACGCTAGAGCACAACCCCCCCCCCCTTAGGTTTCATCGTCCTTGGAAATACATGTTTGTTCTTTTGTTCAATCAAGTGGCTTAACTGGCAAAAATATACAATCAAAACATAACAACACACTTGTAGATCTATATGGAAAATTACTCTCCATGTCCCAAGAAATGTATTTGGAATTCCTTTTTCCCCCCCAGGCCTGATGTAATCAACAGCAAACAGGAATCCCCGTCTGGACACCCTTGGCTCTGCAGGACGTGGGGAATGTGTTGAACAATTGAACGCAGCTTGACCCACAACGGTAAACAATGCTGTTGACTAAGGCCAGGTCTGAAGTCCACTTAATCTATCAGCCCAACGGAGAACACTGTGCGCTGCCAACCACCACCGCAAAACACATGCATGATTTCATCGAGGCGGCAGAAAGTTGAACGGGGGCTCTTAGATTAAAGGCTTACTGATTACGTAATCAAACACAACAATGATATTCTCTGAGGTCTGATAAGGAGATGTACTGAGCCTGCTGGAATTTGGTTGTCGACAAGAGCCTTAAGATAGAAGTGAACGAACGCATACCTCAGCGCGCCCATGCTTAGACTGGCTCGTTCCACTCACTTCACACATTTGCATCCAAATTTGCATGGAGGCCGACTTTGCCGCTTTAAAGTAGAAGTACGGTTAACCAAAGAGTTTATTATGAGTGGTTTATTAGTTCTTGAACAATGATTCAGAGCGACAGCGTCATGTGACCAGCTGAGGCCTCTGTGTGTTATTAAAAAGCATATGGAAGCTTCCTGTACGATGCTGTTCAAAATCAACATGAGAGGTCAATGACCTTTCGCAACCAACGTGAGGCAGGGAACATTGGAGATGGATGAAGAAGATGAACAACCACAATAGACCCGGTGTGTTTCCCACAAACCACCCGCAGACTATCAGTGAGCTGTTTGTATCCCCCCGTGTTTAGGTTTATCTCTGGGGGTCGTCACACCAAAACCGTGGAAACAACTGCCAGCAGAGGTGAGAGAGAACGCACGCACGCACGCACGCACGCACGCACGCACGCACGCACGCACGCACGCACGCACGCACGCACGCACGCACGCACGCACGCACGCACGCACGCACACGCACACGCACACGCACACGCACACGCACACGCACACGCACACGCACACGCACACGCACACGCACACACACACACACACCTGACAGGTCATCATACCTGACCTCAGATGATGAGTGGAAAACATAATCAGGGTGACACGGCACATAGCTGAGGGGTATTATGTCACAATACTGACAACAGAGACCTTTAAACTCCAGTATAGTTTTCACACATTTGACTCAGAAGATGTTGGAGGTTGCGTTTTCTTTTTTTACACGGTTGTGATTGAGGCGGTTCAATCTTATCAACAAAATATAGCAAGGACATCGGCGGAATAATGTCACACAATCTCGACCTTTTGTTCCGCCTCCGAATCAGCCGGCGCCGTGGGGGGGAAACGTGTGCACAGTAAGTGGATTCATGTTATGTTATGTCAAGTTATGGTTACTGGTCTCCATGATGACAACGTAAATCAGAGGCAACACTGCTTACAGGTTGTCTAAATGAGAATGACTAAATACTAAAAAAATAATTTACACCGTCCGGATGTCTGAGAATGTGACCCAGTTACTTTGTTTTTGTCTTTCATTGTGGCCAATTGCATAAAGACATTCGCAGTTCAAGTTATATTCAAATATTTATACAAACAAATAGTCCATTTAGTTATATATTATAAGTCGCAAAATGTTTTTTTTGGTCCAACCAGCATTCCTTAAAACCCAGAGACATACTGTTTGCAATGATTTACCAAAAGAAGACACAAAAACACTCATCTCACAATCATCCGTACACCAACCAATCGCAGGGATTGGAGCAAGATTACATGACCAGTGTGCTTAACAACTACTGTAGTGCTATACTTTGCCAATGCCCCAACCACATGAAAATTGCCTCTCTAAGCAGGAGTGCTTTTTTGGGGTTAAGTTTCCATTTCCTTCCTTTGTTGCATAAAGCAACGGCAGTACCGCAAAGGCAGGGCGAGCAGCTGAGCTGGTCTATCCCTTCAATATTACAGTTTCCCAGCAGGACGTCGCTAAATCCCAAGTGGGCTGTGGAAGAAAAGGGGATACAACGTTCCTTCGCTTCTCTGCCTCTTGTCTCACACACTTACACACACACACACACACACACACACACGTGAAGGTCAAAAGTTTCCATTGCAATCACGGGTCACAACCTTGAGTTTTCTTTCCCCGTCAGTCATTCACCTCTGCCCTCCTTCCTCATGTGAGCTCAACAGCTGCACGGGGCGGCTGATCCAGCAGGAGAGCGCCCTTTCAGATGTTGGAGCCTTTCGACGACTCTTTTTTTATAGAGAGCGCCGACAATGAAGCCGCCGGCACGCCGACACCAGGTCGACTGTAAGCCTCGTCATAACAGACCAGTCGGGCTGCTCAAAATGAAAAACGTGGTGCAAGGTCGGGAGGACAATGGCATTTGTTCCACACTTTCAGGCGCTTTCCACTGGACAGGCCAGCAGCGCGTAGAGGAACATAATAGAGGGAAATTCAGTATTACATGACATGGATGGGGAGATCCTGCCGTCAGCGACGGGCAAATTCGGGCCTTTTTCCTGAGGAAGCCCCTGTCGCTGTCTCATGTGATGCATTTAAAGGTGCAGTCCTTTCTCAAAAGCTCCATGAACAAAAGTCATCTGCTTGCCCTGTGACCTTTTATGGTGTCGTCTTCTGTGTTGTGTGCGTGTGAGTGTGCACATTAGCAGTTCTCTCCCAGACGGAAATCATTTCAAACAGCTTTACTGTATTTTAAATGACCAGACTTGTTACTGAGGGAAGAAACTGACGGTTTTCATTATCAAAGCATTTGCTGATATTTTTTTTTATAAAATGCCAGAATATTGGTCATTAGAATTTGCCAGAACCCACAGCGTCGCTTTAAATATCTTGGTTTGTCCGACAATCACTCCCAAAATATATTTCAGTTAGATATTTATATACAACTGATATTATATACGGTAGCAGCCATAATTATTTTTTGAAGCCGGTTTTCAGTTAGGCTGTTGATTTTCACTCATACAAACTCACTGATCCCTCCTAATGGAGAGCAGAGCCTTCAGCCTAAATTGGGTCACCCACTCTAAGTTTAGCCGGGTGCTAAGACAGAATAAATCAGCCCACATGGACGCCCCCCACCCACAAAAAAAGAGGAACCACGGAGCTTTCACTACTGCTTTACCTTGAAAACACAACTCCTCCAAAAAAAACACCACAAACCACACTTCTACATTTGTTTACTTGCTGCCACTGGAGACGTCTAAATACTCTGCATGACAATCCACTTCCTCTCATTCAGGGCTACGTCGTGTTCACTGTAATGGGATATTACACCATTGTGTAATGTTGTGTGCACAGCACACAGGATGATACGACCAGAGGGGTTATCTATCTGACGCCCGCCCCGCCCTGCTTCACCCCAGGGGATGAAACGCTGGTCTCTCCCTGTGAAAAGTTACACGGGCGAGGGCAACATGTTAGAGGGTCACACGGATGAACCCGGCTCCGTAACCATGACGGCGCTAGCTTAATTTAACTGTTAACGTAACGTTAACTGTTTGGGACTTTCGATAGTTTGAGATAACAGAGTTACTGCAACGGTGATACGGATATTTAGGTCGTATCTTGACGTTTAATTCACAAGTGAAGACCACGAAGTGTTCCTTTTAGTATAGCCTTCACTAAATAAAACACAACTTTGACCGCAGTCCCAACCTCCTTCCGTCGGGGAAGTAACTTTAACGGTAGCACTCAAACGTTAGCTTCAAATGTGGGCGAATTAGCCGCCATCACTTTGGGTAGAAAAGTTCACATGTACAACATAAAAGTCTTCGTTTCAGCTTACCTGGCGCCGGTTTGTTCCCGTGGACGGGTTATGTTCAACGGGAGAGTTTAATCCTCTTGGCGGGTGTCAATTTCCGAATCTTTTCGTCCGTTTATTTCTGCTCAGCGGCAAACGCAGCATCGACCGACTGACAGACGCGATCCGTCAGTTAGCCGCAGCACGGTCACGCAACATCCGGTCGATATTTTCAAAATAAGAACAGCAGCGCATCACTTACGATGTTTCACCTCTACACTGAACAAATAAAAGCATCAGTGACCCAAATCTAGGAAAAAAGTCTGGAGTATGATTAAAGATAAACCACATATTTCTGAGCGTTTTGTATACTAAGAGACACAATTACAAAAACATATATAACCTAAATTTGACAATTAATGTATTCCCCCCATAACTTTTATCCTCCACTCGTAACTTCCGCCCTGGTGATATCTGAGACTCGCTAACTTGATCATGCAAACTAAGGGAGAGGCGAGGCTGGCTGACGTCACATCCCTCGAAAAGTTTTTCTGGTTACTTTATCCTGAGGCACCCTGGGCACTGGTTCCCGTTATGGAGAATGGGGACTTACAGGGTCCCCTAGAGAGACCCATAGGGGCCGTCAGCAAAAAAAATAGTCTCTTATAATAATAATCTCTTCAACTCTACAAACGTTAGACCCCTGTCATTTCAATTGAAATTGTCCTTTAGTGATGCATATTCCTAAATAGTTATGGCTGCATGCTTGGTACTAATAATCCAAAAGCTTTCAAAATAAAAAAATGATGGCAAAATATTTTTTGTACAGAGGTTATTCATGTCACATATAATATAAACATTAAAGTAACTGAGGCACATGTTGGCACCAGTTTAAGTGGTAGTGTAAACTTGTTTGCGCGTGTGATAGTATCTCAAGGATATTGTAATGACACATATTCAGGCTTGAGCCTTTTTAGAAACAGAGATAAACTTTTCTCATGATTCTCAAAATGAATCCCCCTCACCTCAAACACCGTCTCATTAGTCATGCGGAAGCCATGAACTAATTCTGTAATCTGAACAGAGATATTACCTGAAATGCTATTTTTGCTCCATGTGAAGTTAAATGATGATCGGTTAGAAAGACTTTCTTTAACCTGGAATTCATTCACTTTAAAATGACCTTTCTGTAAAATATTTAAAGGCACTGAAATCACAAAAACATGTTTAGTCGCTCTAAAATGAGCAATATTTATTGTCAAAGCAGCACCGACATGGATTTTATTGAAAGGTAGACACAAACTGAAATGAATAAATGCACTTCTCATGAAGAGCGATCTGAATACTGCAAAGCTGAAAACGGAAAAACGTCACGTACCGAACAAAACCCGCAGTGCAAACCTGTTCTCACATCAGCGCTATTCCTCATTTGACACCTCAGAGTTTAACTAGTCCCTCAATAAATGTGTCCACATTAACAAGGACTTGGGTCAGCAGGGTCAAACCTTCAAGGTCAACAGAGTGTGCCATGCAGAGTCTAGAAATAAAGAAAACCCAAAGCCAGGAACTTCAGAGGTCAGAATTTAACATTTGTTATTTTCGCATAAAGAATTGGCAAATTGATTAATTTATCAGCGTGGGACCAGAAAACGTTTGGCAACCAAGAGCTTGATTTAATTTAATCAGGAACCGGTTGAATTCCCTGGAAACCTTTTAGCACCTTCCTTTCATCCATTGACAAAGTAAAACAAGAGTGATTTTTAAGATAACCGTAATGGATTTATGACTTGATTGATGGGTGAGATTATCGCACCCTCTCTTTTCTTTAAAATCACCACTGGAGTAATACATGCTTTACAAATGGCAAAAAAACGTTCAATATTTCAGTAGTGGCAGGAAACAAACGTCCGACAGCTAACATTGCACACATTCCTGACAAGTAAGTATTTACGATTTTAAAGTTATGACGTCAAGCGCTTTAACTCAAGATGCAACATATCCCTTTTATTTTATTCAAGCAAAAATTAAGTAATGTTTTACAAAGGGGTTTCGCACTGAACACAATGGAACTTAGTGAACCAACCTGCATACAGATAATAAATATATAAAAAAACATTATTAAATTGTATTCTGTGGTCTATACACATTGACTGTTAACTCTACCGATCAGTACATCATATCTTTATGATATCTTTGCACTCGTTATATCTCTTGTTCCTTTTTAATAGAGCACTTCATCTCACAGATCAACTTCTTGGTAGCACCTGTGTGTGTGTGAGGGAGGCTCTGGTTTAAGCGTCAGAACTCGGTAATCATGCACAGTTCGAGCTGTTCAAATCCTTCTCAAACGCGTTGGAATCTAATCCTATTCGACTGCGATCTTTCTCTCACAATTGCCTCTCACGTCTGCATCCGTAGTTACTCATTCGCACAAGCGGCGACCAACCCCCGGCCTTCAAACCCCACATTGTTGACCCCCGCCCACCTCGGCAGCGGTGTTGTCGCCCCCTTGTGAACGCGGTCGGTGAACTGTGGTGTGAGGGAGCAGGGGTTTTTTGTTTGTTTTTGTTAAAAATCCACCTGTTCCCCACTGTTGGACCCTGTCGTAATGTACAGGAAGTCATCGCGAGTCGCCTCCGGTCACCTCACTTCCAGGTGGCGGCGGGGGGGCGGGCGCCCGCACTCCCCTTGGTGCCCTTTGACCCCAGGGACTGACCCGAGCGGGTCCGCAGGTCCCGCTCGCCGTGGTCACTCTGCGCCTGCAGCTCCTCGTCGTACCTGTTTGACGCACGGGGAGGGGAGGTGGGGGTTACAAACAGCCTTATCTGCGAGCACAGTCCGACCCTTCGATAGCTCAGTTGGTAGAGCGGAGGACTGTAGAGGGAGCAGCAGACATCCTTAGGTCGCTGGTTCAAATCCGGCTCGAAGGAGTTTTTTTTTTTTTTTTAAATGTTCAGGTGAATGAAAAGACTAACACAATCCCTCCGATTTATCAAGTATTTAGCAGTGTTACTTCTAGATAGTTTAATTACAGCTTTGTAAATCACAAAGACAGGAACATACAATGATTTTTTGTGACGGCGAACTGGAGGTTCACACTCGAAAACGGGCAAATGCGACGGTAGCGAAATGGCCCTTTTCCTGTAGAGGATCTTTAATAAAAAAGAGCCGGCGACTGACGTTACTTTCTCAGATCCCCCGTTGCTGCGAGTTTGTATAAACCACATTGTTCAAGTGTAACAGTTACAAGCTACGGACTTAAAAGCCGCTCCTTCCAACAGCATTTGAACCGGTGCCCTACGGATGTGTAACAAAGAGGACGCACTCACGCAACGAATTCACTGCCAATATCAACGGCATATTAAAATATACTGACGATAAAACTTCTAAAAAAAAAAAGAAATCCTAATAAGGTAACAACCATCTGCGTGATGGCAGGAAACAAGTTTTATTAGACTGAATAAAAGCTACTTGGAACGAATTTGTGTTTCTTTTCTTGTACATCCGGCCCTTTCCCATTACGGGAATATCAAAGTACTTTTGTTGTAAACTTAAAGCTTTTCATTCATTCACCAAATATCCCCCCTTTGCGACTCCATCACATTTATAATCCCCCGTTATGCAAAATCCAACCACACTTCATGTACCTCGGAGTCAAATCAGTAATGCTGACTTACTCCCTGTCCCATCAGAGTGCATGACAAAGCCTCATTAGCCTAATAGGAACCTGTAACAGATGAAATGGGGCTGCTCTGAACGTGGGCGCCACTCACAGGACTTGGTAGTTGCCCAGAGCCTCTCGGGGCGGACTGCGGTTCCAGCGGCAGTCTGGGACGTCCCCGTTGGGCGCGACGATGTTGAGCGTGTCGTTGATGAGGTTGTACTTGAGGATGCGGTCGTTGGCCGTGCTGGAGGTCAGCGAGGGGGAGGCGTTGACCTGACAGGGACACGGACAAAAGGGAGAAGCCAGATGAACAAGTATTCTTTTTCAGACCGCCTTTGTCCTCCAATCAACGTCCCGTCCTCCGAAAACAGACGGGATTGGTTTCTGTTAGCAACGGACATTTAAAAGACAAGCCAGCAGACAGCTTGTGTTACTCATGCTCAGTTTGACACACCTTCGGCACACATTTGAATACTGAGAGGCACACAAAGAGCCACCTCAGGGGCATTAAACGTTGCTTAACACTGCAGGGGGAAATAAATGTTGCCATGTTAAGTGTGTTGCAATCAGAGGGTTTTCTTTTATTAAGTTTTATGTGTGCGTGTAACAACTCCTCGGGTTACTTGACTCACCTCGATAAGCCACGGCTTGAGCTTGTCATCGATAATGATGTCATACCCGTAACACTCAAAACAGTGTTTGTCATTGTTCATCACAGGCTGGGGGGAGAGAACACAGACAGGCCGAGTTAGGAGGAGCACATGACCCACGTTGCTGTGGGTGAAAGTGACCTGCGAGTCCAGGCCGGTGAGGGGAAGTGAGTCGGATCACTTATAAGAAAAAGGAAGCGCGCATCGAGTTGAGCGCGCTATAAAAAAAGGAAAGGTGGTTTCGACAGGTGTGTGTTTAAAAGTGACGGCCCGCTTAAACGCAATGAAAGACTCCCAACAGGAACAAAGTACTAACAGAAGGACTGGAGCTCAGCTGGGCAGACAAAGAGTCACATTACATGTATATATATATAAATATATATACACACACACACACACACACACACACACACACATTATATATATATATCATGACCATCCAACTCAGTTCCTTTTAGTCAGACTTCCTGCTTTCAGGTGCTATGTGACATTTTCCACAAGTGTCCGTGTGCACTCACAGCCACGGCCTTCAGCGACTGCACCATGATCCAGTGGATCTGGTCGAAGAGGCGGCTCGTCACCTCCTTCCCTCGGGTGCTCTCCAGGTACAAGCGGAAGTTGCTGACCGTCCACTTGCCCCCGTGGACGTGGTTGTAGTCGTCCTGCGTTAAAGGGACAAGGTCTAGCTCAGCTGGTGACATTTTAGACGAGGGGGGGTGTTTGCATGGAGGCATGTTGGAACAAGGAATCACGGGTCAGTGTCGTTGCATCTAGTCAGCAGAAGTAATATGACCTTAATTAGAGGCTCAATCCCGGGAAAAGAGTGTAATTACCATTTAACAACCATCAAGTGTAATTACCATTTAACAACCGGGTCTAACAACCATCAAGTGTCATTATGGGAAATGAGAAAAGAGATTTTAGAGATAAAATTTAAAAAGTCAGGATATCGCTCCCACTGCTGCTTCATGAAAGTGGGATTTGGAATTCACAGAATTCCCCTTCAGAAGATGGCGTTATAATAACAACCCCCCCCCACTACGCGGGCCAGACTCACCCCGTGTTTTTGGATGGCCACGTTGGTGAGGTGAACAAACATGTTGTCCAGCTCACTGGTGCTGGGTGTGTACTTCACTGTGCAGAACCTACAGAAGCCGAGCTTGTACCTGAGGATCGAAGCACAAAAGATTATTGCCTTCATTCAAATATTAATTGGTTCTAAGGCACCAGAAAATAGTGGTGAAACCAAAAGTCTCAATTGCTGATTCATTTGGTTTCCAGCTGATTAATAAATCAACTACTTGTTGCAAATTTATTTCACAATTCAATAGTTCAATTAGATAAAACATTCAAAGCGAGTAAAGTGATGGCGATTTTGCACTGAAATAGTATGAATGTATCACGACAAGTAACCGTCCGTCTTGTGGAGACAATAATTCAATATATAAAAACGGGGGTAATAATCCACATAAAAATGCTTCTCCCTACAGAGTCGGAGCTCACATGTAGCATTTCAGGGGCCGATACGTTGTCACCAGGACGTAGAGACGCAGGTCAAACTTCTTCCCTCCTATCAGCAGGGGGTTGTCGATGTACAGGGAGATGACGTAGGCCTCCTTGCCACTGGACGCCGCGACAAAACTGAGCGCAGAGAGAAACGTAAATAAATCACAAACCGCTTACCAAGGCTCATAAAGTGGATCACACGGGTCGTCGTGGGCAATTACACTAAAAAATATGTCACTTTTGAGGACTCAAATTGGACTCTTGGGTTATTTTGATCTGTCGCGGTCACTCACGTGGAGGTGCGGCTGTCTCTGGACCACTTCTTGATCTGGGACAGTTTGTTGATGAGGAAGATGCCTTTGCCCTGAGCTTTCCCGCAGGGCTTCATGATCCAGGTGCTGGACGGGTTCTTGCGGTACTCCTCCACGAAGAGATTGTAGTCGGAGGGGAGCATGAACGTCACGGGGACAAAATCTGCATGAGATGCAGGAGAAACGCGTGAGCATGCAGCGCTTTGTATGGGACGAGAATGTGCGAATGTCTGAGATCGCCGCCCCCCACCCACACCCCTCTCCTCCTTCATGGATACCTAAGTAGTTGTATTTCCCGTTCTCGTCCTTCTCCGCCAGCGGACTGCCTTCCTTCTCCAGCTCCTTGCGGTAGCGTTTGATGTTCTTGATCATCAGGTCCTTCCTGGTCAGCTCGTAGTGGTTGGGGAAGTGGTTGACCATCTGGTCGTCAGACAGGCGGTAGCCGGTGTCCACGCTGAACACGTTCCTGATGGTCTGGATGCTCATCCTATGTGTGGGTACAAACAATTCACCGTTTTTGTGACATTAAGTGTCTGGAGCAAAGAAATGCATGAATGTGCACCTGCATTTTCCATATGTACCTTTTATGTTTTTAATACAATCGCATACTAACCGAGCACCCAAAATGTGACGTTTCAGATGCATGTACATAGAAAAGATGACGATTTGTTTTTACATCTTTATAAATGATCTTGGGGCCCCACGGACGGGCCCCTGACCCTAAAGGTGTGAACCATGCACTGGATTTTAATGCAGTGTTCAGTGAGCCACGTGGGATGAGGATCATGTGTGAAAAAAAACAACCTCACCAGTAGAAATTCCAGTCGTCGTTTTCTGTGACCTGGACCCATTCCCTCTTCTCGAAGTTGTTGATGAGCACTGATTTCTCGATATCCGTCACCCACTTCACCTTCCCGGCCATGGCGCCTCCCCGCCGGGGTGGAGCACGCGCGGCAGCGGCAACGACAGCAGGTCGAACGGACAGCGACAGAACACGCGCGACGGCGGCGGCGGAGGCATTCGGAGCAGAGCCCCGCCTGCAGAAAGACCAGTCGTCGGGAAACAGCCAGTCATCGGCATCAGCTAGCCCGGCCCGCTGGCTCCGTTAGCATTCTGCCGAGTCCCCGCGGGACTGCTGCGGAGGCTGCGGGGCGGACATCTCCCGAGGCGGCGACGCGACCTCACCGGTCCCCCTCTCCTCCTCCTCCTCCGGGGTCGTTTAGCTAGCTAAAAAAAACCTCATAGCCTCGACGGTTTGTCGTCGTTGGCTCCGGCTTTTACGTCGAATAGGCCGCTTCCGGTCGGGTTGGTCAGCGAGCTAACGTTTCATGTGTATCGATCCGCGGCGTCGTAAAGCTGGACAAAGTGATGAAAAGCGCCAAACCAAGCTACTCTTCACAATAAAATACGGAGTTTGTTGAAGATTGACAACACACACGCGCGCGGGTTTAACTCGCAATGCGACTCGTTTGCAATTAGCAGGATTTGTTTTCCTTAAAAGCTAGAAGGGTTTCCGAGGCGTTCAAGCGACGTTGGTCCACTCCAGAAGAATTACCTAGCAACGGAGGACGCAGTGATGTCATTGCTAGATGTCATGACGTAGGCGTACCAGCAGGGGTCACTGTTGGGTTGGACAGTTAAAGCGCAACGCACGAATACATAAATGAGTGACACATAGTTATGAATATCAGCTTCCGGATATTGAATGCACAGATCGCACAAAATACCAGTTAATCAATTAACTATTCTGAACAGGAGAATAGCACACAAAATGCAACATAGTCTGCAACACAATTGCACCCCAAGGAAGGGACAGCTTAAGAAATAGATTAAAAATATTATTGTCTATGGATGGAAAAAAAACAAGCTTGAAACATCTTTATTAAAGTTGTTGATATTTGAATTTCCCTTACAGGAATAAGATTCTGAGACGATGGAGGAAGGTGTATTAGCTTTTGTTTGGTGGTGCATCAATACACCTTCCTCCATCGCCCCCTGCTGGTCGCTCTAGACGGCAGTATGTAAAGGCGTGGCCAGTCATATTTGTGGCAGTTACCTGAAAGCAACAAGATTAAAGGACGCTGCTGTAAGTACAGGGAAACACTTTAACAATATTTCTTTATTTTTATTACGTTTTAACCATAATGTATCTGTATGTCTTACAGGGCGGCGTCCACTTTAATCGACACAGAAGGTAGGGTTATTTGTATTTGTTTTATTAATTGTGCATGCACCTGTTTCAACTTCCCGAGTGGGATCTGTTTAAAGTCTAATATAATACCATTCCACCATACTTCTATATACTTTTTAAAATATTTTTCAGGCACTTAAGGATTAATTAATATCTGTGTGTGCGATCTATGATCAGAACGACCTTTGTTTTCTGTGTGAGAAAGATGACTTCATCCCTGTTATGACACTACAGTATGGCGGGGGACAATAGACTACATTTAAAAACTCCTCTGGATATTATTTAGGAAATAAAGCCATCGTCATATTATTACCGTTCACACCTGACCTGCTTTACTTTTTTTTCTTCTTTTTTCTACTTTATAGTAAGGAAATAGATATTTAAAACACATGAACGCACTATTTGGAGCCGGTTGGGTTTTATTTCTTCTTATTGAGGCAAGCAGGGCAGTTTGGTAGATTTGAGTTATGGAAATGGTGCATTTGCATTGAGGCACGAGTGCAGGTAAACCAGGAACTGATCTGAGGGCAGTTGCGTGTGAACACACCTGCATAACAAGTCATAAATCCACTAATAAAAGTGAATTAGAGGCCCTTTTTATTGTATACACTAGCTCTGGACACACGCGCGAGGACTTAACAATGTTGATGTTGATGTATACAGTACTAAATGGACTGAGTGCAACAGATGATGTCATCTCTTTTGCACCTGGGAGGAACCTGTTTAACCAACCTGTTGTTTGAATACAGCCACCACCTATCCAAGTCACATGAGCCAGTGTTTACACAGCCAGTTAATGGTTGAGAGTCAAGCAGCGTTAACCCCCCCCCATGCCCATGGAGCTGCTATCTATCTCTGCATAGAACTTGTACTCCTCTGAACCATTTGAATAAAACCGGTTTTCCCTTCTCAGCAAACAACATGGTGGAACAAACAAGACAGCCGGGTCGCGTCGTCTCCCCCCAGGCTGGACCTGGCGAGGTGGGCGCTGACGCCCTGTTTGACGTGAACCTCAGGTACGGCACGAGGAACCTCAACACAACCACAACAACGCACACAAGCAGCAGACCACACACGAGCAAAGATAAACCACAGGCTTTAGTTGGTCTTTGATGTTCGGATCACATAAATATGAAATGAAATATATCATATATTATTGCAGACTTCTTTAGCTTGCTTCTGAGAGCACTTTTCCCGTATGTGTGTGCAGGATAAACGACAGAGCTGCACGAGCCTACGGGCGCTGGTTGGCCCAGATCGGAGATCAGCTGGAGCGGGAGCGGACCGGCGGAAGACCAAACCGTCTACCGACTCCTCTTCGCATGCTGCGACCCGCTCAGGCACTGACCAGGACCATTTATCGGTATGAAAATTAGGGGTAACTAGTCATTTTATTATTCGGCTCGTCTTGGTGCCTGGCTGTTAAGGCTTTGTGGATTTGTTGTCACACAGAGATATCCACAGTCAGTTGTGGGGCATCCAGGGCCTGTCTGCGGCGGTGAAGGCCTGGATAGCGAGCGTGGCCCCGGGGCCCCTACGAGCAGACGCCCGGGTAACGATCCCAAAACACGTTCACTCAATAAAAGAAAATAATTAAAAATTGCCTTTATGAGTGCAAATGGTCACACGTAAAGCCAGACAGAAATGTGCATACATCAAGTTATGAAAAGAATAATTTGACTCTCTTCCATCTTACAGGTATTCAGTTTGAAACCAGTAACCTGCACTGGCTGGACCAGAGGAGCACTGGTGGCTGCGGCACTGGTGGCTGCAGTGACCGTTTTCGGTGCACTCTGGATGGAATGGAAAGCCAAATAAAAGGCCACCAGGAGGGCTTTTAGGCCATTATATATTTGACCAAAATATGTTTGCAAAATGAATGACAATTATTGCTGTTTGATTTCGCTTTTTATACTTTTTGAAAGATGTCTTGAATTTGAAACAAAATAACCATAAATAAGATTTTAAAAAGGAAAACTGTAAAATGTGTAAAAACATGGGGCAATTGTTTTTGCAGTTTTCCCCCGGAGAGGTGGCCAGCGTATTGTAGCAGTTATGTGTTGGTTCAGAGTTGTATTAAAATGTCAAAAAAAGCACGTTTCCCATGACAGGACTGCTGCTGGCCTGCAGTCATTTGTATCCAGATTAGTTTCCTACTGGCCTAAGAGGCCAACATTTTTACATAAGTCTGGCTTAATAATAATTAAAAAAAAAAAATTTAAGGGAGCTGGACTTTCTGTTTCAGGTTTGAATCTTTTTTCATGCAAATAAACCTTAAAATGACACGGTGTAGTCTCGTTAATTAAAAAAGCAACAACATTTAATTTAATTACAACCTCAGGAGCAACAACAGGAGCCTGCGGGTTTAACAGATCTTCCTGGTCATGTCCACCCGTTAGAACAAGCAGCAACTGCTTTCTCAGTCCTCGTGGGCGGTGACGTCGACCTGCGCGTACGTCGTGAAGGCCTTCCGGTTGCACCGCTGGAGCGTGGCGCCGAGCTGCTTCCCCGGACCGACCTCGTACGTGTGAGGGAACTTCGTCCCCTGCGTCCTCTCGAAGATCTCGTGCAGAGTTTGTTCCCACTTCACAGGCGACACCAGCTGCTTCACCAGCTGCCGGCGCACGTGGCTCTCGTTCATGTAGCGCTTGCCGTCCACGTTGGAGTACACGTTGATCTCGGGGCGACGCACCTGAACAGTGCGGTTTATGATAGATTTTTTAAATAATAGCACTCTTCTTCAGAATGTGTGTGTAATTTGTTCATATTTATTTACACTGCATTTTTAAATATTATTTCACAGCATGTAAAATAAAAAAGGCAAATCATAAGTTTAAAAAAACGGAAGAAATACATATAGAAATCTCCATGACATCACAAGAGGTTGCTATGGTTTAAAAAAAAAAAAAAAAAAGAAGTTGGACTGACCTCCACCTGCCTGAGCACCTCTCTGAGGGGTTCAGTGGCCGACTCCATCAGCTCGGTGTGAAAAGCCCCGCTGACCGGGAGGGGCTGGGTCCTCACGAACTGGAGACGCCGCGAGTTCTGCTGCAGGAAATCCAGAGCCTGAGAACACAACACGGCGATACCGAGTGACACTTTGTAAACACTGGATCTGTATCACCCGAAGCAAAGAGCAAACATTCAATCATGTTTTCCGTCCAAAGCTGCGTTTTGGATCAAATCCTTGCCTGTTGGTGCCCTGCGATGACTCTGCCGTCGGGGAACAAATAGTTGGCCACGGAGCACACCGGCTCCTCCACCCCGAGGCTCCTGCAGTGCTCTTTAGCCTGCACACATGCGTGTTTATACTGCGCCTGAGGTCTACCGACGACTGACAGCATCCCACTAGGAACCAGCTCTGCAGCTCTCTGCATGGCCTCCGCGCGAACCTTCACCACATACAGAGCTGGAAGACACAAGGGTGGGAGAGGAAAAGGCACGCGGCGCGTTAACTCTTAGCGGAGCGACGTCCTTGTCAGGCGGGAGGCCGAGAAGCACGCCTACCTTCCGCAAAGTCCATGGCGCCAGAAAAAACCAGAGCGGCAAACTCTCCGACGCTGAAACCTGCCGCAGCGACACACGTCTCGACGGCCTGCGGACAGAAGTGCAATTGGTGGCTCAAAATCGCAGTAAGATCGGCTGTTATCAATTAAACTAAAACATATCAAGTCGAGAGTTTGATTTTTAATTTCGATTACATAGTCATTATAACATAAGTTGTTGTGGATTCACATGTAGAAGGGAAAAAAGGGACTGGTGCTGCAACCAATGAAGGTCTCATCATTGGATGTTGTTTCAAATAATAAGGGCCCCGTCTAAGCTAAGACTTTATATTGCTTGTTTTTTGGTGCATTTAAAGATTTAATTTACAATAAAGACAACTATTATCTTCATAAACATGTTTCTTAATAAATCATAAGTGGAATATTAAAAAAGGTTCTTTGTTTCCACTTCATGCTAGTTAGTACTGATACTCCACTACTATGAGGCAAAGTTTAGGTACTTTGCAGTTCATCATCATCATCATGTACAAATCAGGCACCATTAACGTGCAAAGCAACGCACACATTAACATGATAATGACGCTCATACAATGCGTTTTTCTGTATTATTTCACGGAGGGGCAACCTTCGGGTTTTCGACGTTGAGCCTCTCCAGCGCCGCCAGCGACGTGACGAACAGCGCCGGCTGGCAGCGAGCCGTCTTCCGCAGCTCCTCCTCGGGTCCGTCCAGGCACAGAGACAGCAGGTCGTACCCGAGGATCTCCCGCGCCGCCGAGAACATCTCTCGCACGTTGGGGTACTTCAGAAGCCCCCGGCCCATGCCCACGAACTGGCTGCCCTGGCCGGGGAAGAGGAGGACGGAGCAGCCGCCGGGGTTCTTCGCGGGCCTCCGCGGCGGTCGGGGGGCGGCGTCCGGGAAGGGCGGCGAGTCGGCGGACGGCCCCCGGGTCAGAGAGACCAGCCCGCGGGTCAGAGAGACCGGCCCCCGGACGCTCGCTCTGCAAACCAATGAAGACAACATGGCGTGTCCTCGCAGGGGTTAAAACAGACGCATGCCGTGTCCCGGAAAACACCGCAGCGCTTGAAGTGAAAACTGAAGTTTAACTTGGGAGCTCGCGGTCAGCGTGTCGCGGCCCTGAGCGTCGCCATGTTTCTACGTCACTCGGAGGTTGAGTTTGTTTTGTTTCCGGTTCGCGCTTTCGTCATTTCCTGCTGCAGCAGCATCAACAGTCAGCAGTTTATTGACGTTGTACATAAATACATTTACCATATCATTCCCTAAATAAATGTCTGTGAATAATGTTTGTGAATAATGTAATACAATTAACGTTAAACCATGATCACTATTCATCATTTTTTATCTTTAAAAGAATGCAACGTGTACATTTGTTTAATTTTTTTCTGCTGTAGTGGTTTACTTATTTTCCAGTATTGTGATATTCTAGTGTTGATTCTTCATTATATTGATTGAATAGATGTTGCATTTATCTGCCTTTAAAAAAGAACTCGTCAGATGTATTACTTACAAACATAACTATCAGGATACAATACAATAATGTTAAAGGAGAGGGGTTGTGTTTATTCAATAGTGTTGTCCATAAAAAGTGACAAATTTCATAAATTGATGTTTTATTATTCACTAATAAAATGTATTATACAAAACTATAAATGTCTGTTGTTCTGTATCTGCTGCGTTTTCTTTAAATCATGAATCACATTTTGCTTGTCATTGTTGCTCTCCGTCTTGTGCATGTTAGAATATAAATATGTTACAACGTTTGTTTGCCCAGATACTTTTCTGTATTGTAAATGACCTTTCTTCTTCTAAACACGTGATGAAATTTGATTTGTGACATTTTGGATCACATCTGTCCGTTGGGTTTCCTCTGCGATTCGTCCGATCCATCCGACAGGTCGGCGGCCTCCATCTGCACCTCCAGCGTCTCGATGTCTTCAGGTGTCCCGCTGCTCTGGTCGGATGTTTTCTTGAATTTGGAGATGAACTCGTTACTGGCCAGGGCTCCTTCCTTTTTGGGACACATGTTTTTTGATAATAGGCGATGTTCCAAGCGTTCTGCAAAAAAAACATTCATGGTCACTGACACATTTTACTTTTTTCAGAACCACAAAGTAGTACCGTAATTGTTGAAGTTATATTTTTTTATATCAGTTGGTTTGCTGTATATCTCAAAAAACAAACTTATATTTTCTCAATACTTAGTGATAAATGTTCTGTTCTATTGACTTAAGAGTGCTCATTTTGAAAACTGGACAGATTACAGACTCTACTACTACAAATCCAGCTATGTTTTAAACCCTTGTGCTCCTCTTTGTACTGTTATAATCGGTGCTCTAATTTAAACATTTTTCAAAAATTGACAACCAAAGGTGTTGTTACTCTGATCAACAAAGTGCCAAATCAATAAAGCTACCACAGTAGATAAAACCACCCCAGATAGGTGAGATCAAGAGCACACTGCACCTCCGGGGCCGATGGGTTTCATCAGGCGGTTCAGCTGGACGTTCCAGTGCCGTACGTGTTGACTGGCGTACCTCAGCTTCTCTTGCAACTCCTGGAACGAGAAAACGAGAACCGGCGTTTTCGAACGAACGCCGCAAACTGAGCCGATCCTGACGCACCTGCCCCCTTCTCACCTCCAGGTGCTGGTGGCTCCTCTGGCGAGAGGCCTGCAGATCCTGGAGCTCCTGCGAGGCAGAGTGAAGAGCTGAGGGGGTGGGGTCCTCCGGACTGCTGTCCAACGCCTCCGGTATGGGGCTGAGGCACTGCAAGGCCCTCTGCTGCTCCTGCAGCAGCTGGAACTGCTTCTTCTTTGCTTCTTCCGCCTCCAGCAACCTGGGGAAGGTGAGGATTGGAAAAAACATGGACAATGAAACTGATAATAGAAGTTTTACAATTCAAAAACTACCGAAATTCCTGCCGGACTTGTGTATAAAATCAGTGCATTCAAAAGTCCACAATTTGCAATTTGCGTGGCAATTTGTGTGTTTTTCTCACGTGTGTTTGCCGTCTCCATGGGGAAATAGTGGGTGTGTATGTTTATTACCTCTCCAGCTCCTGCCTGGCCCTCTCCTCCTCCAGCCGAGCGTGGATCTCCATGTTGAGAGCCGCCTCAAGTTTCCGCTGCGTCAGCTCCAACTCCTGGATCCTCTTTCTCTGTTGCTCGGCCTCCTTTTTCTTCTCCTGCATCTCGGCCTGCATGCTGTCCCTCAACTAGAAGGACACACACCTGAATACACACCCATTCGGTGGAAAGAACTGACCTATTCCCAAATCACCTTCTTCCAGGAACGTCCTTGCTGTTTCTCCGCCACTAGAAATCACTGAAGGTTAAGCCTGACTTTTATAATGCCAACGATTTTGTGCTGTTTTCAGAACTCTGAATCCCGTTTCAGCAAATAATAAATTATTATTATTATCATCATCTGCAAAGCCTTCTCTCACCGTCTCGGCCTCTTTCAGCTGCCTCTCCAGCTCCAGCTGCACCTCCCTCTGTTTCCTCCTCTCTTTTTCCTCAGCCTCCCTCCGCCTGGTCTCTAATTCGCGTGCATGCTTGAGAGACAAAGGTCAAAAAGGTTAAAAGCCGAACCGTCAGCAGTCGGCACTCAGCCGATTCCTGCCGCATCTCACCTGTATGATGCTTTCTATTTCCGTATCCTTTCTGTCTTTCTCCTTCTCCGTCTCGTGCACGTTGGAGTCGTCCGATTGGCTGCTGCGGCTGCTGCAGCTGCCCCGGTCGCTGCGGCTGCGCTCCCGCTGGCTGTGTTCCCGCTGGACGCGTCTCTTGAGCTTAAGTTCGTGGTGGAGGGAGGACTTGCCCTCGCTCTGCACGCGGAGGGCTGTCTGAATAGCTGCGGGGATAGAAAAGAGGCACACTGTAAGTACTAAAGATGCAGTGGTATTGGTGTGTTTTTTAAAATCACCATCACAATGAAGTTCATGGAATGATTTGTTAGCTTATCTCGAGCAGTATGAGCAATAACATACGTTTTGCTAGTGATCCAGGTGTACAATGACGAGCCAAATCAAATATTGATTCATCAGAAGATTCATAAAGAATGTTCTGTATCTGTTTCAAGTCTTTGTGCTGGACTAAGGTAGTGGTTTGTGTGAAGCATCTTCTCATCGGACACCTCAAAATGTAAAACCAAGTAGTTTGTGACTCTGCTTACTCTTATACACACCAACACACCTTGAGTCCACTCCACCTTCTGCCTCTGGTCAGACGCGCTCATCTCAAAGGTTCTGTTGTGGGTTTTCACACAGAACAAACAGCGTTTCCCCTCCCTGTCCGCAATGGGCTGAACCAGAACAGGGAAACTCAGAAGAGTATCAAAATACAACAATTACGGGACGTCGTCTGAACACATTAGAAGCACGTTTAAACATGCAAGTGTTTGCATTTCCTCACCCACCTCTACGATGCAGCTCTTATCCAGCTGGATCTCCCCTTTCTTGTCTCTTAAGTTCTCGCTGACGTAGTAAGCCATGGATGAGGGCTTCAGCACAAACCAACGCTCGGTCCAGTTCCTGCGTACGTGCCCCTTTTTCCACATGTAACCCTGGAAACAAGGGACGCAGTTTCAGAAGAGCAACAAAGAGGACGACAAACGGCAACGGGAAGACAGACAGAGCGCTCTCTACCCTCTTCAGGACGTTGTGATACATCTCCAGAAAGACCTCGTCCAAAGCCAGACTGAAGGCCTCGGCGCTGGTGACCCTCAGCAGCCGGCCTGCGGCCATGTGCTCCAGGAAGGACCACACGGACATGTCGCCGCCGTCCCACGCGGTGGCATCCTGGGACATGATCTCCTCCAATGGCTTCCCGTCCCACTCCTGGTTCATCGCTGTGGAGATTTTCTTAAGGAGGTACTCCATCTAAAAGCGTTTAAATGTGAGCCGAAAAAGACCACAAAAAACACACCTTTACCAAAGTCAATAACATATTTTATCAGTGCGTTTCAGTGGAAAGCTACTGTGTTGATGGCACCAAAGCAGTTTATTTTTGTCCCCGTCGACAGGAAACCAAAAGAATTATGAAGGAAGCGGTGGAAGGAAGGAGCTCATTAACTTACTTAAGAAAAAACTGTGCTCGAACACATGAGAACGACGCGTCTTTCTAGCAATTTGGAGCTCACGGCGGTAGATTAACATGTTTTACCTCCTCTGGTATCATCACCAGCGGGTAGCGGTCCTCAGACAGAAGGTTAAATAAGCAGAAGAGCTTGAAACAGTCTCTTTGCGATAGCAGAGCCCCCTGTGGTAACCCCTTGAAGTTCTTCTTCATGGTCATCATCCAGCACAGGTCGTCGAACTTCTCCTTATCAAACATCCCCTCTTTGACCTGAAACGAAAGAGTCTCATTAGGCCGCATATTTCTGCACTTACTGACCTGCTGTTGAGGCAGCGATGCCACAGTACCTTATCCAGTATGTATTTGTTGAGGTAGGGCATGTAGCCGTGGTTAGACACCGGCCCGTCGTCATCGTCCTGGAAGTGCTCCTCCAGGGCCACGGGGTTGTGTGGGATGTTCAGCACCGTGTACAGGTTATGAGAAAGCACCTGAAGAACAGACACGCATGTACAGGTGCACAGTTTGCATTGAGAGGGTTTCATCCAGGTTTCTTCACCCGCACACAGACAGCTGGTTTCTCAGCGTGTCAGGACAGCTTTCTGCTATTTCCCCTGGATTCCTCTCTCCTAAGGGGGCCGCAGTGAGGCATGTAGCAACTGGACCGAGAGGGCAGCCAGAAAAATAACACTCACCGAGGGAGGAAATGGCTGAATAAGATCCGTTGCTCTGTCTCCACGTTCATTTGAAACACTGATAGCGTTGCTGATATCTCACTATATTGTGTTTCTGGTCCACAAAGAGAGGTTGGACTTTGAGCTTTTGCTGGGCAGCCATTGAGAGCAGGTTATGCGTGCAGCCCTATGTTATAAAAAGTGAAGCCCTTTTCAAATATTTGCACTTGTGTGGGACCACATAAGGCGGAATTGTGTGTTTAGAGGTACTCCAATGTTAAAGTTCATTCCCGAGTAGAATAACTGCTTAGACTTAGTCTTCAGAAAAAGGGATTTAAATGAAAAGCACCGCAGTTAAGACGCGTTTCTGTGTCCCGTGGACGCCCCCCTCGCTCCCCGTTTCCTTATCTTAAAATGACCACATACATTCCTGCTTACCTTTAACTGCGACTTGGACACTTTCCCGCATTTCTCGACGTCCAGAGATGTGAACGCGTACCAGATGGACTTGAGGAGCTCGGCTTTTAAGTCCATCGTGGAGACCTCTCTGTGCGCAAAAACCAGTACATTTCCAAGCGCAGCGCGGCGGCTTTTACGCAGCGACGGGGGAGCGAGCGGTGGCGAGAATTGGCAAATAAACCGTGTGGCAGAGTAGGAAAGACACAAAGAGGCGGAGAGAGCAGAGGCTCACACCACCTTACCGCAATATATAGGTTTTTAATTGCGCTAGAAAAGACGAAAACAAAACGTCAATCTCAAGACAATTTTACAATCGTCTTAACATATTTCGCATGGTTTGCTCTTCATTCTTGACAACGTGTTTCCGACGAAATTGTGTAGACTTACAAGGTAGAGCTACACAAATCCAAGGTAGAGTCTGAGGTGTAAGACATCTATCCAGGGTGCGGTGTGGATTTCTTATTTCTTAAAATAAGGACAGTGAAAAAATAAATGGAGGAATCCATGATATCAGATCCAGGAAACTTTCCAACTAGGCTTTAAAGACACACCCATTCGGGAAGGAAGCCTGGGGCAACGTCTTTTTCACCTACTAAAAGGCTTGAATAACAAAGGAATTGAATTATATTCAAGGGTTTTAAATCCAACGAAATACAAAGTGGAGAATGTAATTCCATGATTTAAAACCTGACCGGTTTCTATGTTTAATATAAGTTTGCATATACACCTTAAACCTTAAATCATAAAATGTGATTATTATAAGTAAACCGTGCACATTAAAACACCCAACCCAAAATATTTACAGAGATATAAACAGCAAAATTCCTCCTGTGGTTTTCTTGACTCGAGGCGTTGCTCTCAGAGCTCCACTTTAGATGAAGCACTCTGCACTGGATGTAGCAACCTCAGGCAAAATAGTCTTAACAAGGACAGCGTAATCAGATAGAAAGCGTCCGCAAGCCTCGTTAGAGCCCAATGTAGGCTAATCAATACCACAATTAGGTCATTCAAACGGTAGGCCTTGTTGATAGGCCACTGGCCAATGCCTCTGTCTCTCTATATGTAGATATATGTCCTTTAATGGTACAAGACCGGGCCTCTAGTTTCCAGAGCCAACTTGTCGTCAGAGAGTGTTGCATTGCAGAGAGCAGATTGGGCTTTGGACCGGGTCCTTCATGCGATGACTCTTTCCGTTCGTCACTGCGAGAGAAAAGGCCCAAACGCCTCTCAGAGCCCTGCAGCTTTCACCCGAGAGCGTCGGCATCTTTCAGCTCATTGTTTCGGTTGGTTCTCACAGACGTTGTGCAAACACACAAAACGAGTGGCTAACTTCTAAATCGCACACGAGCGAAGCTCCAGTCACACCCTTTTATTTCGACGTCCTGGCAGCTGCTCGGAAATACGCATTCCCTCAGACAATTAAGAGAAGCAAGGTTCCAAAGCTCATTCAAAACGAAAACGGGAGGTGCCGTCCTGACGCTTGTCAGGATGAAGCATACAATCTTCACTTATTTTCACCTCCAAGAGCAAAATACCTGAAACCCCTTAAATTACAAGAATGCTGTCGCCATTTTTATATCTGGTGGTTCCATCCAGTTGGTCAAATCAATATCACATTGTGTAATGACGCAGAGACTATTTTTTTATTGTTTGACACATATAGTTTACAATTTGAGTCATGCATATTTGCAGTGTTATTAATAGAATACAATATACGTCACTCGGGGGTTGATTTTACAATACGTACGTGTACTGTACATCAGCATAGAATGCGCTACGACTACAAGAGCGATACAGAGGCCAATCCTAAACAGGAAAGCTAAGAGGTCGAGGCTGGAAGCAAATGGGCTCATATCATCTCAGTACGTATGACGTAGTAATACAAATATAAGTTAATTTGAGTAAAAACCCTTTCACATTCATTGATGGATAGGCATTTTGATTGTATCTTTAAATGATTTCCTGCAGGCAGTGAGTTGAACAGATCAATACCACCCTCACAACACTCTTATTTCGCTGCTGTTTTGTGCTTGAATGGATTTATTTTTTAATTGTGATAATCTCACTTGATGGTGCATTTGAGATATAAAAAACACACCAATTTAATGAATGCTACACGATCCATAGCGATGGTAGTCAACATACGACTGTATATGATTACGCCTTATGTTGAATGATTTGTTCACTGCAGCAACCTATTGTACAGTGACGATTTGTATATTCCCTCCAATGGGAATGTATTTATCCACTTCAGCGATTAGAGAGAGTACATCCAGCAGCATATTTGTGCATCAGTGCAGCTGCAGCCTCTAGCGATTCAAAAAACGGCATCCAGATTTTTTACTTGGATAGAAATGTCCCTTGTGTGAGATTTGGCAAAATATGAAACAGTATGTTTCATGCAAACTCAATATATTGGTCATACATTTTTTTCACAATATTCAGTGATTTTAAATCAATTTGTACTTCAGAATACACAAACTCTAGCAATAGAGATCTCTTTTTAAAGCAGTCATTATTTCACCTCAACGTTAAAGCCTGTCAGATATAAACAGCAGAAAATACCAGACACCAACGGCTTATTTATCTCTCTCTAGGTGCACATTTCAGCACAAAATAGTTTTTTGTGATGGAAGAACTAAATGATGCGAACACGAACATCTGCTGAACTCAGCTCGAATGAATCCTCCGAGGTGGAAAACGCGAGTGAACGTTGTGTGTGTTGAGATCAGTCAACCCAATGTTTATATGTATTTACATTTCCTATAAGGATTCCCACAAATCTATGCCGATACTTTAACATCTCTGAAACAAAGTCTCATTGTACTTTCCTTTAGTTTCTAAGGTTGACATGGTCGTCAACCAACGTCGGACCTCTCCTTTGCAGATATCAAACGTACAGACCGCCAACTTTTTTAATTTTTATTGTGCGGAAGTAAACAGGTGCGAGAGAGTGAAATGTGAGGAGTTGCTGTTTTTTTTCGCCACTAAATCTTACTTACTTTACTTACTTTAGTTACTAAGAAATCCTTTTTTTCCTCAACACACTATAGTTGGCCAAGCCACTGAACATAATTCAATTTTCATTTTTACCCCGGAGGACCTCCGAATGCCAATCCCGACATGTTTCGTGGAAACCTCGGCACCTGAAACAACTCCCGATACCTTGCAACCCCATAACCCTTTAAGGGAAAAGTCTCATTCCAAATATTAATCATCTACAGATCTGGTCAAATCCTCGGTGCCGGTTGCCGACAGTTAACCGTCAGTGAGCCACCAGCCGGCCATGTGGTCTCGGTGCCAGTTTGTTGGCCAGCAGACAGGCCATCGCGATGCCTCCGACTTGCGCGAAGGCCAATCCCAACACAGTGGCGGCGATGTGGAAGACGTTGTCGTTGACCAGACTGAAGACCTTGCCGAAGCAGCCGTGCGGGTGGATCCCCGCCGCTTCCACCCCTTCGGCGGCGTCCGACGGGAGGGGTCGATTCTTGCAGCCTTTGCGCCTCGCGCAGCAGCTGTCCGGCAGGGCCGCCGAGGTGCCGTTCTCGTCGGGCGGGAAGGTTACGCGCTGGATGGCCCAGTCCGACGTGAGCCAGTCGCGCCAACCCTCGGCCCCGCAGCACGCCAGGGCCCTCTGCAGGCCGTCCAATGCGTCGGCGCGGCCCTCGTCCTCGGCGTACCCGCCCACCGCTCGCTGTAAGCCGCTGCGAAACCCCCCGGCGATGTCCTCGCGATAGAAGAGGCCGGAGAGTCCGGCCGCCAAGCCGGCCACGAGGGCCGCCAGTTGAAAGAAACCGTAGGCCTTGAGCACGGCGGGCAGGTTGGCCACCACCCCGAGGCAGCCCAGGAAGCCCCAAGCGGTGACGGCGGCGCCCGTGGCCAGAAGGATGAGAGGCGCGTTGGGGTAGCGGTTGGCGGACAGCAGCATGTAGTCCGCCAGGGATATCTGCGCCCACACGCCCAGGGTGAGGATGGCCAGGCCCGCCGCCCAGAACAGGCAGCTGAAGGCCAGGAGGCCCAGGCGCAGGAGGTGCATGACTCCCACCGGCCGGCAGCAGGGCCCGGCGGCGCCCGCGCGGGGCGGAGGTGGGGGCGCGGGGGGCGCCAGCGAGGCCTCCGAGCACACGGACGACGAGAGTCGCTGCTGCTGCTCGTGGAGCTGCTCCTCCAGCTGCACCTGGTAGGGGGACAGCAGGTAGCCGGGGATGGCGGAGGACCGGCGAGGAAGAGGGGGCGCCGAGAGCGGGTCGAGACCCCGCGGGGAGGAGAGCCGCCGCACGGCCAGCTGCGGGTGCTCCCAGTCCAGAGCTCGTCTGCTGGGACTCGGCCGAGCTGACAGCGAGTTGTACGGCAGTGCGGAGCTCATGGTCTCGCCGCCGGTTTTATTCACTCCTCTCTCTCTCTTTCTTATTGGACACACTCCTTCTTCCTCTATTAGGGCCTCGCTATCGCTGCCCCGCAACACACAATCACCCCCCCCCCCTTGCCTCGACTTCTTTACGGCTGCTCATTAATCCGCCATCGCCACCGCCAACGCAGACTGGACTGTAAATCTCACGGTTGGTCGTGTCGCCGTTATCTGCATCCACAGCTTCGGCGTCATCATCCCCCGGTTTAAATGTTTATTTCAGGCGCTCGGTCCACCTGCGTGGTCACCGGCTCTTCTCATCCAGGCATCTGGGCTGCTCGCTGCGGCACCACGGCACCTTGGCACGTGGTCGAAGCGAGAGCCGACTGCAGCGGGAAGGACCTGAAACCCACCCATGAACACCCTCTCGCGGTGTGGAGGAGACATCCCCTTTAAAAATGTTTGATTTCCGTTTGGTGAAGTGAGGAAAACTCTGCGTCTGAGTTTGTGTGACGTCTTTGTAGGATGCAAAAACCTTTTGCATGATTTACTTCTATGATTTTGTGATACATTTAAATATAAGCAAGTGACTCAACAGTGTCAGTGAGGGAAATTATGAAAGACGCCGTTTTAGTTTTAGGTGACGCAATAATTATTTTTTAACTTACAGTTAAGTTACAGTGACATAACTTTTGCCGTCTAAAATCGTGACTGCAGACTAAATACTCCAGAGATTTGCTTTTACACAAATTGGGGCAATCTTTGTTCTTCTGTGACTTAATAGCAATTCCACAGTGCAGAAAACCAAACCAGGGAAGAATGAATCACAAGTGGATTTTGGCCAAATCTCCCTTCAATAAATCAACTTTTCTTCACTGTGATACCAGTTAAATAAAATAGAGCAAAAGTAGAACCATGACCCATGTTGCTGATATACGGCAAAACGTGTTATTTCTGTTGATAATAATTTAAAATACCTAAAAAAAACATAAAGCAATGCTTAGCAATGCTATAAATAGATTTCCTAACCACTGCCCGCCATTCCTGCTCGGCTTTCAGCCCTACCCTCTAAATTACGTTTAGGCCGCAGGAAGAAGCTCAACAATAAGGCGGCACTGGCCACAAATAGCTCATTTATGGATTTCTCACGTGTTTGCCAGGTTACAAATACGGATTAAAGGAGCTTTATCTCCCCAACGGCGAGCAGGATGAAGGATTTTAGTTCTGTTGAGGAAACGGGAGCCGTGTTTATGACGTTTATAATTAAGATTTGCACCATAACCATCAGGTCACCGGGTTTTATGTGCAATCTGGAGAGAAATGAAGGAAATACGACACATGCAGGAGGAGATTTCAGAGGCTGTGTGGGGAAGCCCGGGTCGCGTTGCCCTTTCCAAACCGCCACAATAAAAGCAATGCCTTAAAGTAGATTCTCCCCCATCTGGCTTGTGGTGACCATTAAAACCAACGCTAAGATCATGATTAGGAAACAACTGTCATGCAATCAGCTCTGAGAGGCTGTGCTTCTTTCTGCAGGTATTTACAGATGTACATTTAAGTAGTCTAGAAATTAAAATCTTTGGCTGGTGATGATTCCAGAGGGTGAGCTTTGTTAAATTCATCCATCCAATAGTTGTTGAGACTTTTGCCTCGAAAGCAAAACTCACTCATGGTGGCACTAAAATCTAATTTTGAGAATTCAAATTTTTTGTTGTATTTCCTTGCTAATTGTCCAACGAAGAACTGTTTAGTTTAACTAAAGTACACTGAAAAACAAGGTATACTATGTTATAATATATATTATCTTCATAATATGTATTTTTTCCTCATGTCATCTTTGTTAGTTTGGATTAACGCGACACTGAATGAACGCACAACGTCATGTCACTTTATAGATAAAGAAACAGACAGTTTACAGGGTGACAACAGTTATTTGCTGCGGACACAGAGTGGTCTCCCCCCCCCATCGCTCCTCTACGGGTTCGATTCCTCCGCCTCCATCGACTCTGCTGCCTCCGCCTCCTCCTGCCGGTGTTTCTCCGCGTGTTTCTTAAGCTTGGCCTCGGACGCGAACGTTTTGCCGCACCGCTCGCAGCGAGGCCTCAGGCCCGAGTGGCTCCGCCGGTGTCGCGCCAGCTCCGACGAGCTCTTGAACTTGAGCTCGCAGGCGCCGCACGGGTACGGCCGCTCGCCCGTGTGAATGCGCCGGTGCAGCTGAGCCTCGCCCAGGGTGAGGAACGACTTCTCGCAGTGGCCGCAGGGGAACGGGCGCTCCCCCGTGTGGATGAGGTTGTGTCTGGTCAGCGCGTACGGCTTGGTGAAGCCCTTCCCGCAGTAGGCGCAGGGGTACGGCCGGGCGCCGCTGTGCGAGGCGATGTGCTCCTGCTGGGTCTTCTTGCTCTTGAAGCGCTTGTCGCACAGGGCGCAGGGGTACGGCCGCTCGTCCACGTGGGACCTGTGGTGTTTCGAGAGCTCCCCCTGCGACAGAAAGCCCTTCCCGCACTGGGAGCAGAGGAAGGGCTTCTCCCCGGTGTGCATCCTCTCGTGTCGGGCCAGCACGGACACCAGGGTGAACCTCTTGGGGCAGTGCGAGCACTGGAAGGGCCGCTCGCCGCTGTGAACCCGCAGGTGCTTGGCGAACATGAAGCGCAGCGAGAAGCACTTGCCGCACTGGCCGCACTGGTACGGCCGCTCCCCGGTGTGGGTGGACAGGTGCCGCTTCACGTCCGACCGCCGCGTGTACGTCTTCTCGCAGTGCGGACACTTGAACTGGCTCTTCACCTGGTGCGCCTGCCGGTGCTGCGAGCGCGCCAGCAGGGAGTCGAAGCCCTCGCCGCACTGCCGGCAGATGTAGCGCTTGGCCGAGACGTGGCACTTGCGGTGCTCGAGCAGCTCGGAGGAAGTCGGGAAGCTGCGGCTGCAGATGGAGCAGATCTGGGGGAGCTGGCTCTCCCGCGAGTGGGACTTCTTGTGGTGCACGGTGAGCGTGCGCAGGTTGGCGAAGGAGCTCCCGCACAGCTGGCAGGAGAAGGAGACGGCGGCGCCGTGGTGTTTGCCCTCGTGCTTGGCCAGATCCCACGAGTGCTGGAAGGTGCGATCGCACTGCGAGCAGCGGAACGGCCGCTCCCCGGTGTGCGTGAGCTGGTGCCGCCGGACGTCCGACGAGCGGGTGAACGCCTTGCCGCACGTTTCGCACGAGAGCGCCTTCCGCCGGCTTTGGGGCTGAGCGGCGCCGGCCTCGCCTGGAGGGTCGGGTGGTTCCGCCTCGCTCTCGGTTTTGCTCCCCTTGGGGAAAAGTTTGATGGAGGTGAAAATCTCGTCCGTGCCGGAAGGAGACGGCGTGAATTTGGCCCCGGAGAGAGTCCTGTACACCTCGGTGCGAACACTTTGCATGTGGAAGTGAGGAGGGCTGTTCTCCTCGGAGGTGTGGAAGGCGCAACGAGAGCAGGTGAAGATGACGGACGTCATCTCCTCCGCGTCTTCTGCAAATAAAACACACAAGTGTCAGTATGAAGTTGAATTTTCACTTCACTTTTCTATTTTTTTTACATCATAAAGGGACCTTTGTTGATTCCTTTGATGGCGATGACAGAGGGGGCCACTGACACGTCAGCGTGGCTCCTGGTGAAAGAAGAAAGTTGAGATCGGTAAATGTACATCACTCGTATAATAACTAGGAAGAGAATTCCCTAATGAGTTGGATGAACGGTTGGTGCCGACGTTCAGTAAATATGAAGCTGGGTGCCCGTTAGCTTAGCTTAGCACAAACACTGGAAACGAGGGGGTTATTGTGAATCGGCTCATTGAAAGATAACCGATCCAACCACCAGCTTGTCGAAGGGCCACAAAAAATTCCCCGAGAGGAGGACACATGATACACATGATAAATTGTTTTTATACATTTTTGGAGATTCTTCAGCGCGTTCCGCAGAAGACGTCTGGACTTCGCACGTCACTTGCCGACTGGGACGAGTGGATCGCGGCGCGTTAGCTGACCCGGGAGACAGTTCCGTTTGGTCCTCGCTGGGGACACCCGGCGCTTCTTCGTGGACAGAAACGGATTCCTCGTCGTCCCTCAAGTCTGCACCAGATTTCAAAGCGCTCTCTAGTCCTGCAGTTTGCCGATCCGCATTCGCCGCTTCGACATTTTCTCCTTTCTCATCCATTTGGTCACTTGTTCCATGTCCTTTGTGTGTTTTCCCTTCATCTGGTGCATGTCCCGACCCAAAGTCATCACTGAGGAACGAGTCGTCGCTCTTTTCTGTCGGCGCATCGTGACCAAGGCTCTCCTTCCTCAGTGCAAAGGTCTTGGTGAGAGTCTCCAGAGCTTTGGCCACGTCCACAGTTTCACTTTCCTCCGCCCTCGAGGCGGGAGCCTCCTCGGCGCCGGCGTTGTCCGCGGTGACGGCCACTATCTCCTCTTCGTAGAAATCCGTTTGAACTTGCACTTCGGCCGATCCGATCATTTCTTCGTCTACTTCGGACGCTGCGACCTCGACTTCGGTGTAGACGGCGACGACGCTGTACTGGTCCGTTCCCACAAAAGAGACGGGGTTCAGCACGTTGGCGTAGTTGTGGATTGAGTCCAGGCCGACGGAGATGTTCGTCTTTTGCGAGGGAGGAATGGATAAAGCAGACATGATGCAGCTCCCGATGGTGGATGAGGGACCATCTACCGGTTAAGAAAACAGGAAATCACTGGTTGAAAAACTGTACTTTCAAGGCAATTTAACATCACTTTGATCATTTAAATATCTAACTGTCAAGTCTAAATATATATATATATGTCAGGATATTCTCAATTTGACATATATTGACATAAAGATAACAAAAGCTCTACTCACGTGGCATTTTCAGTAGTCCTGAGCTTTTGTAGTGCTCGAGGATTAAGCTCAGCTCTTCAGGTGACGACTGAACGCATTCCTCCACCACAGAAGGAGCCGAGCCGAGCCAAGCCGCCGTCTGTAATCACAGTTTGTGATGACTGACACGTTTCTCTGGAGAAGAAAATCCACCTGAGACAACTGGACGGACCCCCTGACCTGTTTCAAGTCCGGAACTGGAAGCAGCTTTTCCAGCTTTGAGAGCAGCTCCCACAGCAACACGTGCAGAGCGGCGTCGTACTGTGGCCCGTATTCCACTGGGAACACCTCCTGTGAGAGAAAACGAGATGTCAATTCACCATCAGACTTCACGAGAGTATTCTCAAACAAAGACATGATTGAAATCCGTCTGACCTGGAAGAAATACGCTCTCTCAACTGGGTCTTTGAGCAGGCTCTGAACGAGTGCAACGAAAGTGGACTCTGTGGTTCTCACCTCTGCGTCCCTGTACTGCCACGGATAGGATCCACGTCACACAAGGATGATCATGATTTGTTTGAAAAATTAAAAGAAGAGCTATTCCTTCGCTGTACTTACGTCTGAGTCTGCAGCGGTTATTGGGAGACGGTCCAAATGGCTCTGGATCGCTTGAGAATCGACAAAACCACGAGCCGAGCCTTTGCAAAGCTCCAGGATCAACTGAAATATCAACAAGTCTTTTACGCGTCAGATGATTAGGAAAGAGAGATTGTACAACGCGGTTCGATATAATGACTTGTGCTCACCCTGGCTCTCAGACCCAGGACGAGCTGGGCTCTCTGTCTGTGGTTGATCAGCCCAGGGACGGCCTCCGTCACCATCAACACGAACCCCTGAAGCTTCTCGTAATTCCCCACATCTTTCCGCTTCGCCAGCTGCCACATGGCTGCAGAGAGGAGCCTCAGTGGGGGGACCAGGAGGCGCAGGGAGGACAGAGGGAGGCTGGGGTCTGAAACATGGAGGCGTACTGTGAGAGATGGTCTGTACAGAGAGAACCTGTGAGCCTTTCATTCAGGAGAACACTGACAAACATACTTTTCAATGCCAAATTAAACTATTTTTTGTTGAATCTTCTCCTTTCACTGGATATATAAAAAAGGGAATATCTTGTTTAATCAAAGCAATGGCAAAATTGCTGACAAATCTATTTTAACCATCTCAACTGAGAGTCTGCATTAAGCCTGTGAACCCGTATAATGACTGGAGTAACTACTTGATGTGAGTTTAGAAATAACAAACTGGTAAAGTATCTGCAGCTGTGCTTAAGGTATCGTAACAACAGACTGCGAATATTTATACTATAGTCTAGAATCTAGTTGGACCAAAGTTATTTCTAGAGCAATTACAGTCTGAAAGCTTCTGACTGGCATGCTTCCTCTAAATAGACGGATCCCGCTAACTGTGTAACATAAACACAGCCTGCATTAAATTACAACGGGATCTAATTATTACTATACCTACCGTTTATTTTCTCTATCAATCCTATAACCTCCATTAGGGCAATATTTCTTTTCCGTGGCGCTTATAAATAAATGTAAAATAATGTTAGATTTTTTTTTTTACAGCTAACATGCGTTGTTAGTACGCAAGCACCCGTTTCCTCAACCCTGTGCTTCCTCTTTTCAAAATAAAAGTTTGACAACGCCGCTTTGACTGCTCCCCACAGCCATGTGTCTGTCCTCCTGTAATGCAACGTGGTTAATAATATTTGACAAACGCGTACTTTAGGTTTAGCACCACTCCGTGCATTAAAACGAAATACGGGTTAAATGTTTTTATTCAATAAATACATCCGGTTGAATTAATTATAGGAATTAATGCTGTGGTCAAGACACAAATAACACATTTCTCCGGTGAAAAAATCTAGGTGTTACAAAAGTGGATAGATGGTCCTTCCATTTTATAATACAAAATTGCCAAACGTAGCTCGAAGACATCACCGGATGTTTTTATTTTCCACGGACACTCCAAAATAAAATGTCGAATCGCAATCCCCGTGCGCTGCCACTGACGTGATGACGTCACGGGTCACATGAGCTTTCCCTATGTGACCGTTGCTGGCGTTTTACAGGCTAAATTTTCACGTTTACAACCGAAACCGCTCCGCGATCTGCGGGAGGTTTAAGAGTCCAACATGGACGAGGACGGGCTGCCGATCGTCGGGTCCGGTGTGGATCTCACCAAGGTGGATATGTGACGTTAGCTGACGTGAACTGCAGCTAACGTTAGCTAGCTGCCGCGATGCTAGGAGCAGTTGACACTGGGTCAGCAAGTCAGATAGTGATTGTAACGTTGGTTAAACTGAACAATTCAGCTGGAATCGACGGCTTTTGTCCTTCTAGTTAACCGTTTTGTGGAGCAGTCGGTTCGGAATCGTTAAGGGATCTCGTCTCAGTTAAATATGTATGGTACAAGGTGGCTCAGCTGCAGCTAGTGCATCTGTTTGTGGATACATGTGCATTTCACAGTATTCAGCAACAGCTTCGAACTTTGCATTAAACTTGAGAAATGACACCACTGTGATAGTGTGAATGACTTCATTTCCTCCGCACATCTAACCTTGGGTTCCTACTTTCAAACTACTTTGCTTGATGTCTTGTTTTCCTTCAGGTTCCGGCTATTCAACAGAGGAGAGTGGTTGCCTATCTCAATCAGTTCGTCGTGCACACGGTCCGCTTCCTTAACCGCTTTTCCACAGTGTGTGAAGAGGTTTGTGCATCTTCTTTGTGCTCCACACAAACAACCTTTTTTTTATAACTCAAATCCTCCATCATCGTAAACCCGTCGTGCTTCTTCTCCCTCCCGCAGAAACTGGCCAACATCTCCCTCCGCATACAGCAGATTGAAACAACCCTGTGCATTTTGGAAGCCAAGGTGAGTCTCTCTCTTTCAGGTCGTTCTGTCTCTGACGCTTTTCACGTGCACCATCGTACCTCACGGTTTGTGATTGTTTTTTTTCCCCCTGAGCAGCTGTCCTCCATCCCCGGCCTGGAGGACGTCACAATAGAGGGAATCGGTCAGCATCCACCCGCTCGGCCCAATGGTCCCACTGCCACCGTCCAGAGTCAAACAAATGGCCCGCCGGCCGAGACCCTGCCCCCGCCGGAGGTGAACCCGCCGGCATGCGTGCAAAACGAGAATAAAGTAGATCTAGTTGACCATCGGTAGGATCAGCATCACGCTCTCCGGCTTCAGACAAACTCACAGCTTCTGCAACCCACAACACCACCTACTAAAAAACACTAGAAACGGCGCAACACCAGGCCTCGTGTTCCGTCTTGGCTGCTTTCATACATTACTACTTTACATATTTTTTTGTTCTACCCTTTACGCTTCCTGTCGCAGCCCACTCAGACGGCTGCAGAAGCCGCAGCGACGCCAAAAGCAGAAGCCTCGGCAGAGAACGTGAGGACGGTGGCCAAGGACCCGCGTTACGCCCGATACCTGAAGATGGTTCATGTGGTAAATCATCACTAACACCTGCTTAAGGACTTAAGGAAAGAAAAACACCTGCATCTTCTGTATCTCAACGCATGTTTCATCTGTCACAGGGAGTTCCGGTTATGGCTATAAAGAATAAAATGCTCCTGGAGGGTTTGGATCCTAACTTGCTTGAGTGAGTGTTTTACTGGCGACGATCTTACATTATTCCCACCCCCTTTTCCATTTTTGAAACTGACCAATAACATTGCCCCCCCCACTGCTGATGACAGCACACCGGACGCCCCCGTGCCCGACGGAGGAGCGAGGAGCACGGAGGACCCGGACGCCGACGCCACCAGCTCTGACGGCGAGTCGTCTTTCAGCGACTGAATGTTTTTTTCCCTCCGTACCCGTCGCCCAGTGAACCCCCCCCCCCCCCCCCTCCCCCCGTAGCGCCCCCGTGGGCCTGCACCGAGAGAGGGAAGCAGGTCGCACGTTGCTGCTCGTCGAGGAGTTCCAGTCAGGAGGTGCAGATGTAAGTGCCTGAAAAGAGGAAATTCCAACCAGAGCGATTTGTAATTTGAGTGTGAAAGCACCGAGGTCGCTCCGCCTGCGGTCGGTCAGCTCACTTTCGATACGCTCATCATTATTGACCAAGAGGGAATAATTCCCTGTTGATTTATGTTTGCAGTAGACCTCAAAACACGGCAGTAGCAAGACATTTATATACTATAAAAGTCCTTTGGTCTTCTTCGATGCCTTCAAGAGATATAATGAAACATGTATGTTAAATATTTTGAATGTATGACTCATGCACTCTGTGTGTGAAGCAATGGGAGGATACATATCACTATATACTTTCAGTTTTGATGTACTGTATATAACAATACCAGTTAAATGGGAAGGAGAATCACATCTGAAGCATTTTAATTATTCCAGTATGTTTTGGTCTTTTAGAGAAATGCACTTTTTTCCTTTTCTTGTGATGAAGAATATCAACAGATAATAGTCGTCCCCGATAGTTTTATTTGGAGGAACAAAAGGTTCAGTACATTCAGCTGGAAGCCCCTTTAATCTTTTTTTTTAATTTCAAACCACATTCAAGTTACTTTTGAATTACTCAGAACTCCTTTTAACATTCTGAACCTTGTTTCTGTCAATCAATCTACACATAATATTGCAGAAAATACACAAGCTGTTAAAAGAGGTTTGAAAACTCATTATGAGCCAAATCTAAGTGAGTAGTAGTGTTTTGTCCGGCTCTGCTTTACGTACTTTCGTAGCCAACATTTTCCCAGGGCCCCTTTTGTGAATCAGGGTCAGTAGAGTTGTAATGCGTTTTTCCAGGATTATCTGTATTGGACACCAAACTTTAGCGCGAATGAAGAGCACTGAGAGTCAAAGCGGCGATGAACACGGTGATTTGTTTTTGACCGTGTTAGTTGTACCAACTAGTTAGTTGTCAGTTTATCGTTTCGTAGGTCAGGTTTTGTGACGACACGCCTGAAAATGCAAACGCTAAAAAATAAATATGCATTAGATTTCTGTGAATGTGTTTTACACTGACGGCTGAATAAAAAAGAAAAAAAAAAGAATGAGAAGTGCGGAGATCCCTTTGTGTGAGAGATCTGTAATGAACTTAGTTTCTTTCAGATTTAAAAAGTGAATCTTTATTTTCCATGTGCGGTACATTATGTGGCACAAGCAAAACAGTTCAAATACAGTATCCAGATAATTGTAAATACACACTCTGTAGTGGACGAGTTAATAACCCGGGTCATGTGACCACCAACAGCGTTTCCCTTTCAGGGACTTTGTTAGTCCCGTATTTGCCTACAAAGAGATGTTGCAAAAATACTGGCCAGTAAAAATATCAGCTGTTACTGAAATGTGGTGGTGGTCTTTTATTTGGCCAACGACGTGACGCAAACATCTTTCACACCCGCGAGCGTCACACGCTGAAATGTTCCAGGTCTATTTCCTTCAAATTTGCCTCAAGTTACTTACAACATTAGAATCAATCTGTCGGACGGTCTATTGTCAAACGTTAAAAAAAAATATAGATCTCTAGCTCTTCTAATGAGCTTCAATTCAAGTTAGATGAATTACAGTCATTTCTCCAGCCCTTCTTCACTGAGCAAACTAATGCAGTAAATCCTGAGCTGCCAAATGTATCCGCCCCAGAGCTGCACGGTGGAACCGCAAAGCAGCACCTGCTGAAACTACCGAAGCACATGAGCAGCACACTCGAAACCGTGAGCCGGAGCGTCGATAGAAAGTCGATAAATGAGTGTGCATTAAAATGAGACTTTGGTGAGGTAAGAACCGGCAGCATTAGAGCAGTGATCCCATTTGAAGTCCTGTTTCCGACAGGGTGCTGGTTCGTCCCTGCACGCTCACTGACCTGTTTGACAGGTTTGCTCTGCAGACCACGCGTGCGTTCGCCGCCCTGATGAACTTCCCTTATTGCTCGTCACGCGTCTGACGGGCCGCGTCACGCGGGTTTGCCGAGTGGAGAGCAAAGTGCAACGTGGTGTTTGAACAAAGGTACAGGTAAAAAGTACTCTTGTAATAAATGATTAGACATTGTATAAAAATGTATAAAGATACAGATAAAGATACGTCGTCCAGTTGATTAAAACTCTGTCAGGTAATGCAAAAGCGCAACGTGGTATAAAATGCAAGAGTACAAAATGCAGAAAAGCTTCACAAAGTACATTTTGCGACACTTTTTTTGACTTGAAGACACATATTTCGCCGGCTACTGCTCCAAATCTGCTTTCACTCGTAACGTAAACAGCTGCAGGAAAACAGAAGGGTGGAGAGAATTGAGAAGTGAGTACATAAAAAAAATGTAAAAAAAAGAGCCTGAAAGGGGGGGTTTCCGCCTAACGGCGTGACCCTCACCTTGAAGTCGTCGATGTACGTGAGGAAGAAGCAGATGAAGCTGAAGGCAACGATCCACTCGCACACGGCGCTGGCTACATGGAAGGGATAGTCCTGAAAGAGGGACACACACACACACACACACACAAACACACACACATTCTGATGAACAAAAGACACCCGATTATTCATCCCGCCTGTTGGCTGGTTGTCTCGGCCTCACCTCGTCCCCCACGTCTCTGTGCAGGGTGGTCTGTGTCACGAAGAACGCACAGATGACCGCTGAATTCATCCATGAAGGAAAGAACACCTTGCTTTGTCTCCCGCTCCGTTTGAGACGGACCAGACTCGGGGGGGTTGAAAGGATACTGGGGAAAAGAGCCACGGCGGCGAGGGCGGCGATGCCCGATCGCGCCCGGCACACGGCCGGCGAGGAGCCGAACGGACGGGCCCGGTAGGACAGGAGGGACTGCAGCGCGATGTAGCAGACGCCCGGGACGAAGAACAGCAGCGCTCCGGCGTCGTGGACCTCCGTCACGGTCGTTTCCTGCAGACCCCCCCGACCCAAATAAAAGTGGAACAAGCGCTGGATCAAAACTTCTTGGGGGGGAATGTGGAACATCTCGTTCGCGAGCGACGTACCTGGAAGGTGGCGACGATGCACATGCCCAGGCAGGAGGACATCCCCAGCACCAGGGCGGTCTTATTGAGGCCAGGGTTCACGACCTCGGTGTCCCCGCCCAGCTTCTCCACGAACTTGTAGCGGGCGTAGATGGTGAGGGTTCCTGTGCGCAGGTGCCAGCGTGAACCTTTTGGGATCCTCCATCACCAACAAATAACTTCTACTTTCACTTTTTATTTATTAAAAAGAGGAGACCAACTCTTTTGGAGGCCTTTTTCCCTCCCCCCGGGGGAGGGGGGGGGGGGGGGGGGGAGGCCAGAGTTGCCTCAGCTTTGCGATGTGATTCTGGGTGGGAATGCACGTACCTGCGCACGCGGAAACGAACGTCATCAGGCCGAAGATGCAGCTCTCCGGGGGGTTCGCGCCCGTGTCACTGGGGAGACAGAAGTGCGTTTCAAACCCTCGTTTGGAGCGCGTCGGTCGCCTCTTTGTTGAAACGAGGGAGAAGCGAGAGGAAGAAGGGCAGATGTGTCGCGTTCACGCGCAGCTGGAGTTCGCGGAGGAAAACGAAACTAAGCGCTGCTGGCTCTTAGAAATCCCAAAAAATAAAAAATAAAAACACCCACACGCGCTTTCGTACTTGAAATGAAGCTGAACGTACAACAAATAGCGCCTCGCGTATATTCAGGAAAAAAAAACAAATGCACGAATAAGAAGAAAACGTACCTTATGTATGGAAAGATTACATCCACGTCATGTCTGAAGAGCGCGATGAGGTAGGAAACGATAAAGGTGCTGGAGGACCAGACGACCAGGAACACGGGCAGGAAGCACAGACCCTGCTGGAACCAAAACATGTCCGCACCTCCGCGGGACGCTCGCGCACGGAGTGGCGGAAGGAGAGCTCGTGTGACACGCTGGTGCCCGGGGTCAGTTGCGGAGTCACATGGGGGAGTGAGCGAGGAGGAGGAGGAGGAGAGGGAGCAGGAACCTCTTCCTCAGAGAGACGCATCACTATGGGCCGACCCCCCCCCCCCACCACCAGCACACCAAAGCACCGTCACATATAAATATATATAATTATAAGCTGTTATATTCGACACTTTCTCTCTGTTAGTCTTTGGATCGCAGGTGAGAGAATGTTTGCGTCGTTCTGTGCGTCAGTGATCACAACCTTTGGGGAAGTATTCTCAAGTTCCGTTTTTCAACTTTCAGAATGATTAAGCCTCGTGCAGAATTGTTAAAAATGACAGTTTTGTATTTATTTATTTGTTTTGAGTTAGCTGTGAAGCTACTGCAGTTTGGGTGTTCTTCCTCTTTATCTGTAACAGCCTGTTACATGTTAATAAAGTAGATATTCAACCAAACTGATGAAATATGTTAGTTATTACACAAGGAATTGGAGCAGGCGTAGGCAGGAGTTCTTTAAAGCTGTGATTAACTACAGTACTTTAGTAACTTTATACTAACAACAATGAAAGTATAGTACTTTTATGGTCGTTTTATATTTAGAATCTGATTTCTTAAAGCCGTCAGTCCTACTTGGATTTGTACATGGCAGGGGAGGAAAGTTAACACAGTTTAAAGTACTAATGTCATACTGCAACTGCATTTTTATCTAAAAAAAGATATACAGCGCTCGTACACCTATCTATATATATCTGTACACCGTGTGGCCTCCACCACTGCTCTCTGCTGGAGAAGGGGGTTGTTGCCAGACTAAGAATATGTGGCCTCTGGCTGGGATCCCAAGGACGGGTTTGTGTGGGGACACCGGGGTCCTCTTGGCTGAGAAACAAAGCAGGCCAAGTTGTCATGGATGTCGATCCCTTAGCCAAACAATCTGTTCCAGGCTGCTACTCTCTGTTTTTACTCTCCAATTCAGAGACAAGGGTTTGAAATAATTCATGCAAAAAGCATGTTTACTGGGCGAGCAGGGAGAGCGTTGCACAGCTTGTTGAGTGAGTCCTCATTTCAACAGATATCTGCTCTCTTTGCACAGCTGTATTGGGCTGCTAGATGTGAATAATAAACAGGGGGTCCCTACCAACCCCCCATCACTGATAGCTTGGGATACATTCATGTGTCACGGTTCATTTGTGCTAATTTAAGTCATTCAGAGGAACATACATCGTAGAGACGTAATATTAATTCTAACAATTGTATTTGCTTGTCTACATTTCTTATGGGCTAATTAGCAAAAACTGGGCTTCTTTTGGATTTGATAGTTCAGGGCCCCGAGGAAGTTTCAAAAATAGGACACAGCCAGATGTGTTGAGGGTGAACTTGAACATCTGGTGGCTCTTTTTAGCAGCTTTTTAGCTCACTGTTTTGATTTTCACTCCCCAAACATTTAATGCTTGGATGCAAACTCCTCTTATCTAATTACTTATTTTCAATGAAACAGCGTTTAAAAACCCACTACCTGTCAGGAAAAGCAAATGGCACACACACACGCACACACAATTTTACCAACTAAAATCCAGCTCGCAGGCACACAGGCTATGCTAACACCAAGCTAGCCGGGGAACACGGCTAACGCTCCCTCTCCCCGCCAGAGGGCGACAGCGGGCTCCAAGCGAATAGAAGAAGAAGAAGAAGCAGCAGCGGGACCACCACCGAGGAAGAGTGAAATGCCCGGGTTGTCATGTGCTCTGCCGACAGACGGACTGGTGGTCAGCTGACGGATCCGTGTCGCCGATGTTTACTTTCTCGTTAACCTGCCTTTTCTCTGAATGAATGCGGCGGAATGCTTCGTCGAGGAGAACCATGGTAGTCGTCAACTCGGTGCTCAAGCTGCTGCAGAGGCAGACGTACACTTGCCTGTCCCATCGCTATGGGCTTTACCTCTGCTTCGGGGGGATGGTCCTCATGATAGTTTCCGCTTTTCAGTTCGGAGAGGTGAGTTTCTTGCTGCAGACTGTCATGTTGTGGTTTGGCGACGGCCGCGTCTCGGCTCTGTTGCAGCGAGGCGGCGTCCCGGCCAGATTACGCTCGAATAATGAGCGTTTTTCTTTAAAGTTGTCCAGCTCGTTCGTAAACCTGCGCCCAATATCTAAAGCTTTTCGTTCTAGTTCGGCATTGAAATGAATCATGTAATCTCACGCATTTAAAGGGAAATCTCCAATTGTCTTCCAAGAAGTGTCACCCGTCCACCACGTTGACACTTTTGTTGAGGAATATTAGTAAATATCCCGCATATTAAGCGTGTTTTAGTTTTAGATTTTACTATCCGTTGTAATTAAACACTTGTTAAACTGAAGAGCAGCTACTAAAGCACTGCCATATATCCAGATAGTCATGTTGTGCAGCGTGTTCTTGTGCAAACATTAGGTGACAGAAACCGGTTCAGTGTTTGAGCTGGTTTGGTGTGGCCTTAATGTGATATTCTGGATGAACAACTTGTACCCTTGTGTGCTTCCTTCCCATACAGGTGGTGGTGGAGTGGAGTAGGGACCAGTATCATGTACTGTTTGACTCCTACAGAGACAATGTGGGTGGAAAATCATTCCAAAGCAGGTAGAGTGAAAGACTGCATTCACGCTTCCAACTGGGTGGGGGGGTCGGGGGTCCTTGAACTCATCACAAGAAGAAGAATACATGAAATAAACTAGTGTCACTACTGAAATCTCTGCAGATACAGTTGCACAGTGTCCTTCCCACCGGAACAACCTGAAAGAACAAGGGCCCGACGTGCAGCTATGCGCGAACGGCGACTAATCCAGACGCGCTGGGGAGGGAAATCGGCTCATGGCGTTACGGTTTAATGGGTGGAGTGTCTCTATTCGCAGGCTGTGTCTGCCCATGCCCATCGACGTGGTGTACACCTGGGTGAACGGCACGGACGTCGCTCTGCTGAAGGAGCTGAAGACGGTCAAAGAGCAACTGGAGGAGGAACAGAGAGCCCTGAGGTAGCTACGACTCCACAGCCTATGCAGATGTAGTGTAGCAGTGGCGCGTAACAAATGTAGGTTGTAACCCATAAAAGATATATTTTATGTGTTTGCACTCTATGCTCGGCTGCAGGGCTTCATTTCTGCATGAAGCCCTGCAGCCGAGCATAGAGTGCAAATACACTTGAATGCGGTCAGAAGATGAGCTGTAGCATTATCAGTTTCACTCTGATTGGCTTGTTCAGACATTGCCCCGGAGGAGAAAGCGGGGAGTCTTGAGGTCAAAGGTTAGAACAACTCTTGAGGTGAAAGTCCCAGGTTTCGTTAACGACGGTATAGGTCGCTTCGGTGTTCGGGGATGAAAATAACACGAATGCGCTGTTGTGTTGCACACAGGGAACGTCTGGGGAAGAACACAAGTGAGACAACCGAAGTGCCAAAAGAGAGGTGAGCCTGAAGAGGTGTTCATGGGGTTTGAACATGTGCAACAAAGCTGTGACACGCTACCTCTTATCTTCATTTCAAACCCCTGGGTGCAAAATGACTGTTGAAGGTGCAATGTGACAGCGGTGGGAGTTTAATCTTAAACAGGAAGTGGGGGTTTGTTAAACCACAAGCCGACTTAAGTGTAAACTGGTGGGATATCAGTGTTTCAAAAGAGTGCCGGCATTGTGAATAACTGATTGTCATTGTTGTATGTGGCAATAAAGTGAAAGCAATTGGATATTAATCTGAAATGCATTCATCTCTTTGGCAAAACGGAAAAAAAATCGCTGTGGATGTGAATCTTAAAGCTGGAGCTCAAGGAAGATTCAAAATAGGGATTTCATTCGAATCTCTCGTCTTCTCGCTGCTCTGTTTCAAAGAGGCCGTGTACTTCTACCCAAGAGGAAGCCGTGTGCTGACCCTGTGAATCTGACTCATTTCCCTCACATGAATGTCTTGGTGTGTTTCGACGTGTGTAAACCACAAAGTCAGAGTGGGTGGTCGTCCGGTTGAAGCCGCTATTTCCTTGTCCTGCTTTCAGTGTTAAGCTCGAGTGTCTGCTGTCCCACTGCATCATGGCGCCCATGCTGGCCCTGGACCCGCCCCCGCCCGCCAACCTCACGCTCAAAGAGCTGCCGTCGCTCTCGCCCGCCTTCTCCGCGGCCAAAGAGCTGCTGCTGATGAACAAAGCCTTCCACACGTCCACCACCGTCTCCGTGGTCGTCTTCCACTCGCAGGCTGAGGGTAAAAACACCCATAAACGATTCAGAAACCGAATACTTGACGCCTCCTGATTGATTCACCGTGAGGTGTAACTACGAAAACAAGCGGGCGTATTATCACTTAGCTGTGAGCGAGTAAAAGGTGGTATTTAAAGTGTGATAAATGAGTAACTAGGACGTGAGAATGCTGCAGCTGTGCTATTGCCAGTAACAGCAGCTGGATGACCGATTAATGCAATGAGAGTATTGCATTGCAAATGTAGCTCTCACGCTAATGACACTTTATGCATTTGTCAAATATTAAACCAATCAGAAAATTGAGTTTTGCTCACAATGAGTTCCTTTTTTTTTTTTTTTGCAGCTGATAAAGCCTTTACAGATGTGTCCAAAGAAGACCAGAAGTTCTCTGTGTCCAGATGTTATCTGGTGAGTTTAAAACTGTTAAATGAACTTGTCCCCTGAGCCTCTCGGTACGAGTAAACAACACAGACCTCCATCATATTTGGGGTCACAGAATGACGGACTGATGGTGTTGGGGTATAATCAAATGTACCCGTGTGTCCTGCAGACCACGGACAAAGAGGCTCCGGGTCTGATCCGCATGCAGTCTCTGGCCTACCTGAGCGGCTTCCCGGCATCTTTTAAGGAAACGGAGCAGCTGAGAGTCAAACTGCCCTCCGTCATAACAAATAGCCTCAAGCAGGTAGGACGTGTTCTATTGTTAAACACTATTAGCACTCACTGGGTTATTCATGAATAGAAGGGAAGTCTAAGTCCTTCGTGGATCTACCTGTGTTTAAATATCTTTCAACAAATGTTTAGAACATCTCAACTTATTACTTGGTTAATAAAACACTACCTGTTTCCTGGTGATGGTGCAATGACAAGGGGATTGGTTAATCATTGTTTTATTCTTACGTATTCAGTCTACCGCACGGAAGAGATCAAATGTATATTGTTTTTTTTTAATCTATACTATTATTTTGGTCTCTGTGGATTTCCCCCAAAATTCCACCTGAAAATTGAATTTTCTTTCAGTATTGTTTCTTGGGTTTCTAGTTTAAAATCTATACATTTGACACCCTTGAGGTAGTAGATTCTGTTTTATTTTAAAACTTAAACACACCCGAGCTCTGCCACCAGATGTCACTCGTACAGCGTCCTGTCACGGAGCTGCAGGGGCTCGCTCACCTCAGGCGTTCAGTGCACAGATTAAGATCTTTTAATACATAACGGCAGCATCGTAATCCTAGAAAGGGCTCAGCGCGGAGGAATGCCACTAACCAGCATGGGCAGGACGGGCACGAGTCAACGGTTTGTCCCTTCTACCAATAATAGTCTCACGTGGCCGATAAGGATTAATGGGGGGGGGTTGATGGGTTAGGATTCTTTAAGCCACTGTCAAAGAGCTGTTTATTGTAAGCCGTCTCAGTAATATGTTGCAATGTCAGTCATTTGGAAAACAAAAATATACATTAAAATAATGTTTTTTTTTATTATATGCCAGAAAACAACCCCAAAGGTCAACTATCATGTATTGGACAAAAGAAGATCCCAATCAATCACAAGCTAATGAATGACACAGTGCAGTAACACAGTGTCCCGATTACAACCTTGAAGCACTCTAGGACACTACAGCACTTTATGGAACTGTCACATATTTACAACAGGTGAAGAAGAAGCTTCAGAGGAGTCGCTTTGTAAACGATGACATGGAGGTTAACGGCGTTCACCCTGGCGCAACGTCAACGAACCCAGTCGTCCCATCGTTCCCTGCATTTGTCTGCGGCGTTGCTGCTGTAACCATAGCTGGCGGTGCGGGGGGGGGGGGGGGGGGGGGGGTTAAATTTGAAACACCGTTTGGGAGGGGGGGGCGTCTGACAGCACGCCGAAAGGTCACATGGATTTTATTTATTTTCTTACGGAGCGTCCCTGCTCTCATGGACACGCCCACTCGTCTCACGCGTGTGCGTGTGCTGTTATGAGTCGAAGGGGAGTAGAGCTGTTGCATGTGCAGCCACACCAGGCCAGAATGGAAAGTGTGACTGTGTGTTCGTGAACCACCACGCGACACCCAGTTTGCGTTTCCTGGTGTTGCCGGGCCGATTCCGTGAAAGAGGGATGATGTGCATAGTGTGGAGCGAGCGGTTCGCCGGTGTGAGGAGGAGGGTATTTATAGCCCCCACTGTTTGTGTACAGACTGCTGATGTGTTTGCATTAGGGGGCTTTTGTGTGTTCGCGAGTGAACACGGCGTCTATCTCCACTACGGAGTTGGATTCAAAGGTTCTGATTTGGCACAGAGAATGTGGCACACAATGTGGTGCATGTGATGATTGGAGAACGAGTTAATAGACAAATGGGGAAAAATAACTATTAAAAAGATGCAGCGGTTAAACCAAATCGAAAAAAAATCTCCCTGAATTATTTAAATGCTCAGGTGTTCATGTAGGTGGGCTGTGTATTTTCCCAGATTATAAAAAAGTCACACTGAAATGGCAAATATACTGCCTGAACTGAGCAAATGTCCAGAGAACAACAATTGCATGTTCCAACCGGGTTGAGCAGTCTTTCAAAAATCCTTTCAGTTTTAACCCAACTCGGGATGTGTCCGACGTCACCACGACTGGAGAGCGCTATAATAAAGTTGGCAATGCGATCCGGGGCCTGTCTGTCGTATCACGGCTGCTCCGTGCTGAGTTTATAAGACGCGGCTAATCCTCCTCACCTAAAACCGGGAGCGGAACAAGAGTCGAGTTCAGGCGAGATGTTTGCGTTCACAAGTTTGATGATGGAGTGAGACGCGGCTGCGGCTTAGAGTTTTAAGAGAGGTGAGGCCGATTGTTTGAAATGAGCAAGGCCAGGGCCATCTCACACACACACACACACACACACACACACACCCGTGCACCGAGTCCTCCGCGGTCAGACGGCTACATGGAGAAGATGACATCACAGAATTTTCTGAACTCTCACCTCCTTTAAACACACGCGTTCCGAGTGCAGCAGCCAGTAGATGCCTCCACCCGAGCATCACAACCGTTTTGCTTTAAGCTCCATAGCTGCAGGGTCAGAGGTCAGCGCTTTTGCTAGACTTCCATAAATCTTCTTGTTCACATGAAACACAGATGGGGGGTAAACTGAGGGTCAACAACGTTGCCGAGCATGTGACTTTAAAACTTTAGCTTACTGTAAAATGTAATCCAATAAGACTTTGACTCTGAAGCTATGCTAACGGCCCTTCAATGAGCTCAATGCTGACGTGCTCCTGATGGGAAAGGCCAAAACGCAGGTCCTATTTACCACGTTCACTAGCGTAGCTCAGGATGCTAACATTTGCTAATCAGCATGAACACAAAGTGCAGCTGAGGATGATGAGAACGTCTTGCGGCTATCTCGTCATGAACAAAAGTATTTTTCTTAAGCCAGTCTCTTGTTTGAACACCTTACTGCTTCTCTTCCTTCAGTTTGAGTTGTACTCTGAGGCCGGCGTCGCGCTGCTCCATCTGAAAACCCCGCAGGACTTCACCGATCTGACCCAGCAGGCGAAAAAGAACCTGACCCTGGACGGAAAAGAGTTAACGATCAGCCCCGGCTACTTGTTCTGGGACCTCACCGCCATCTCACAGGTGCGACTGAACCCGTTCGTTGTGACCAATAATGTCCCCTGAAGACGGAGGCTACATGTTTTTCCTCTCCAGTCTAAACAGGACGAAGACGTGTCCGCCAGCCGATTCGAGGACAACGAGGAGCTCCGCTATTCGCTGCGCTCCGTGGAGAGACACGCCCCCTGGGTGCGACACATCTTCATCGTCACTAACGGGCAGATTCCCTCTTGGCTCAACCTGGACAACCCCAGAGTTACAGTTGTCCCCCATCAGGTAACACGCAGACCTCAGCCTCTCACGCTGATGTCTTGAACTCACCACAAAGTTTTGACTCACTGACCTTTCAGAGACAAAGTAGAAAATACCAAAACAATCACAGCTTGACCCGTCTGGCCAAGAATATATGGCTTAATTACGCAAGTTATGTTTGTAATGAGGAGTTTTAACTGGTTTGTAAATATCCCGTTTAGCTAAATATTATGACTGTAACTGTTTTCCTTTTGACTTTAGGATATCTTCCTGAACAGCAGCCACCTCCCAACTTTCAGCTCCCCTTCCATAGAGACCCACATCCACCGTATCCCAGGGCTCTCTCAGAAATTCATTTATCTCAACGATGATGTGATGTTTGGAAAAGACGTCTGGCCGGACGACTTCTACAGCCACTCCAAAGGACAAAAGGTGTCAAAAATGCCTGACAATTTAAACCGTGATTATTTTTCAATTTAAAAAAATCTGACTTTTGCTTTCCTTACTCGCCTGCAGGTGTATCTCACCTGGCCTGTCCCCAACTGTGCTGAGGGCTGCCCAGGATCCTGGATCAAAGATGGCTACTGTGACAAAGCTTGCAACAACTCTGCCTGTGACTGGGACGGAGGAGACTGCCTCGGTAAAGGAGATGCAATCCTTATCATTTCTCCCGTGCAAATAGGCACATTTTTCTGATAGGATAAACCTTTTCTCTGACAGGAGCCGCGGGAAACGGTCGGTTTGGGGCCGGCGTCGGCGGTGCCGGGCCCGGTGGAGGTGGTGGACAGGTGTGGCAGTTTGCAGGTGGTTTAGGGGGTCTTGGGGCAACGTCGTACTGTAATCAAGGCTGCGCCAACTCCTGGCTGGCGGACAAGTTCTGTGACCAGGCCTGCAATGTCCTCTCCTGTGGGTTTGACGTGGGAGACTGTGGCCAAGGTGAGCTAAATTTAAATTTGCTATATAACAATAATAAAAAGGTTGTTGTTGGTGTTCTCTGATCAAGGGTTTTGCCTTAATCATGTAATCATTTCTGTTGTAGAGCACTTCACCGAGCTGCTTCGTGTGACGCTAATGAGGAACCAGAGCCTCTACACGCTCCCGGTCGGTGAAACTAGGCCATATTTCAGTTTTGAAAGACTGGCCCGCAGAATCTCCGAGGCCCACGTCAGCGACAACCCGGCGCTCCGCCACTCCTCCGTCGCCAACAAGTGGAAGACTATTCACCTGCTGCTCCACCCGGGTCACAACGCTACGCAGCTCCAGTACAATCTGACCTTCCAGAGAGACGACGCCACCGAGTTCGTAATGAGCTTCAGCGTGGCCGTCGACACCCGCGAGGTGCCTCAGGCTAACGTGTCCCAGGCTGCCAGCAAGGACAGCGACCAGGACCCGAAGCCGACCTCGACTCCGGAGCCAACGGTCCCGTTCGCGGACGTTCCCGAGGACCAACGCGGCCCCAGGATCCAGAAGAGCCAACCCGGTGAGCCTCTAGTTGTCGTAGAAGCGCCTTCGCTGAATGTGTCGCTTCTACCGGCTGCTGTGCAAAGCGAGCTGCAAAAGCTGGAGGAGAAGCTTCTGATCGGTGACATTACTGTGAAGGGTTATAACCTCACGAAGGCTGGACTTCTAAAACCTTACAAGGCACTGGCTCAGAAGCAACAGGACATCGATTCGCCACCAGCCAGTGAGGGGGAAGAAAAGGCCAAGGGAAAACCTGACGAGGACCTGGAGGGAAAACCACCAGCTGAAGAGAAAGCAGAAAATATCATCCAGAAAAATCCAAACTCCAAAGAGGAAATACCCTGGAAAGACATTCCCCATACTGATAAGTATGAAGAAGACGCTCCCGAACACTATGCGCTTAATACTGTGATAGAAAGGCCAATGACTTCCAAACTGCTGGGCAGTATTTCCAAATCCAAGAAGCCAGAAGACCCTGCAGAAGGAGCTCCTTTAGGGAGGAGACTGCTGCACTTCATCTCTGCAGACAGAGGCTTCCTGCCGTGGGAGAGGAGGAAATACTTCCAGAAACTGCTTGAGGTGAGTAGGACCCACTTTTCCACTTTTCTACCTACCGTAGACTTTTTGAATATCAATCTCTTTTGTTACAGGAAGAGGAGCGACTGCAGAGAGAAGTGTCGTTTGAGGCCGACGGCGACGCCACACGACGAAGGCTGCAGGACACTTTTGCCGACTCCCTGCGCCACGTCAACAAGCTGCTCAACGGCCAGTTTGGATTCACGTCCCGCAAGGTCCCCGCACACATGCCTCACATGATCGACCGCCTCATCATGCAGGAGCTGCAGGACACGTGAGTGTGGTCCAGATTCTCCGGCACTCCCGACGAGGCGGCGTCGTCTCAAACCGCTCCTCGCTCTTTTCCTCCCAGATTCCCAGAGGCGTTTGACAAGACGTCAGGCCATCGCGTCCGTCACCCAGAGGACATGCAGTTCGCCTTCTCGTACTTCTACTTCCTGATGAGTGCTCAGCAGCGGCTCAACGTGTCCGAGGTGTTTGACGAGATCGACACGGACCACTCCGGCGTCCTTTCCGACCGCGAGATCCGCACTCTGGCCACACGGATCCACGAGCTGCCGCTCAGCCTCCAGGTCCGTCCTGGTTTTGACGAATCTTCTGAGACCCCTCAGCTAATAGAGTATAACATTTCTTCCAGTTTTGAAGTCTAATATTTCTTTCTAGGACTTGACAGGCCTGGAGCAGATGTTGATAAACTGCTCCAAGACTCTCCCGACTAACCTGACCCAGCTGCACCTGGTGAACCCAACGCAGGAGGCCTACTATGACCCAAGCATGGTGAGCCACACTTCAAGTAAATGGCTCGGAACAAAACGGAAAACCTTTTTAATTCAATCATTTGAATCCACTGCAAATGCTAATCAATCCACAGCCTCCTGTCACTAAAGGCCTCGTCCTGTACTGCAAGCCCATCACAGAACGCATCCAGAAAGCCTTCAAGGACCAGAATAAGTACAAGTGAGGGCCTTTTAAGTTCTGTTGTGCAGCCTGTGTTGGAATACAGGTACTCTCACTGCTTTGCTTTATTGTTGCGCGTGCTTTGTCACAGGTTTGAGGTCATGGGGGAGGAGGAGATAGCTTTCAAGATGGTGCGGACCAACGTCTCCCATGTGGTTGGACAGTTGGATGACATTCGGAAGAATCCCAGGTAGTTTATTATTATTTTTTTATACTTTTGACCTTCTTTTGATTGCATTCCATCGGTGATGCAACCAAACCATACTGAGGTTTGTCTTTTCATAAATCCCCAACAGGAAGTTCATCTGTCTGAATGATAACATCGACCACAGCCATAAGGACGCTTCCACTGTGAAAGCTGTGCTGAGAGACTTCTATGAGTCCATGTTCCCACTGCCTTCCCAGTTTGAACTGCCAAGAGAGTATCGCAACAGATTCCTGCATATGGAGGAGCTCCAGGAGTGGTAGGATGTGAACTTTAGAGATATTTTTGAATCCTTTGTCCATGTGGGCTTGTAATTTTATCAAGCTATTTCTTTTTCCACTATCCTCCTGAGATTAGAATTTGCATCTGTCATCACGTAGAACCCAGCGGTGTCAGGTTGGACCAATGGGAAGCCTCCGGGGGCTTAGGAGGGTTTTTGCCAGGGATCTTGCTCCTGTTCACAGGGAGGCTTCAGCGGGAGAATGCCAGACTTGCAAAGAGGCTTTAAAATTAGACCGAGCTGCCTCAGATCAGTCACTAGCTGTGAGATACTTGCAAGATCATTACACAGCTCAGCCCCTCGTCTAGTCCTCTGCCCCCCCCCCATCCCCCACCTCCGGCTCCTCTCTTTGATTTCGTAACTAACTGCCAGATGGCGTTGGGTGATGTCACCGTGTCACCCTTTTGCCCCGCTGCCCTCTGCATATTGTACGTTTCCTTCTTGTTACAGAACAGCACAACTAGCCTCCCCATGCCAGATGTTGTTTCTGCACCTGCTGCTGTTTTGCCTAAAACTAACAATTTGTGGGTTTCTTGCAGGCGAGTATATCGGGACAAGCTGAAGTTCTGGACGCACTGCGTCCTCGTGACCCTCGTCATCTTCACCATCATGTCGTTCTTTGCTGAGCAGGTCGGTGTGTCCTACACACACGGTTTTATTTACACGTCCAGTTAAAGAACCCCGGACACTCAAACTCCTCTGTTCCCGTGATTCACTTTTTTTTTTTTTTTTTGTCTTCCTGTAGTCTCATGCAGTTTCTAATTATGCCATTTCCTATTCTTCCCTCTGTCCGCAGCTGATTCTGTTAAAGCGAAAGTTGTTCCCAAGACGCAGAGTAAGCAAAGACGGCAACCCTGAGCGGGTGTGAAAAAACAAACAAAAACAAAAACAGAAAAGAAACCAGGATTTCCCTCCTCTTCTTTCTGCTCTTCCAGCTCTGTGCAGCCTCAGAAGGGAGGATTTAGCCCGGAGGGGAGCTGGGTGGAAACGGGAACCCGAAGCCCTGCGTACTTGTGTTGCATCAGCACGTACAGCGGATAGACACTCACGTGAGATGGGGATGAAGTATTTTTTTCTTTTTTATAAGACAATGGCTGGGGCTGGTCTGTGAAAGAACACCAACACACATTTGAAATTACACAAACACTCCAATCTGCACCACCCTCCTCGCTCCTGCCATGTTTTATATTGACAGCAGCTGCCAGGACTTGTTGTCGTTGTTTGTGCAGCGAATGAGTTTTACTATGAAATCCACAAACTGTTGTGTTTAAAGCTCAAATGATTAGAAGACCGATATTCTGATCACAATCTGTTAATCGTTTGAAGCAGTTTTTAAGGAGCAATGCCAAACATTTGTTGTTACCTGCTTCTTACATCGGACTATTTTCTGTTTTTGTATTGCCGACAGTTGATTATCTTTGGGTTTTGGACAGCTGGTCAAACAAAACACTTTTCAAGAGATACGGTTTGTGTCCCGGGAAGGCGTGCAAAGCTTTTTGACAAAGGAGAGAAATGAAACGTGGGGGAAAACAGTGGATCGGTACACAGACGACAAATGTAGCCCTGGTTAGTGTTTGGCTTTTAACACTACGGCTTCATTTTAAGGAAATTATGTTAAAAGGTACAAACAATAACTCTTAAATGTTGGTTGTTGGTCTGTCTATGAATAACATGCAAACTTGAAGTGCCTTCGTTGTTCATTCCTGCTTGTCTGAACATTTTTTTATTTTTCTGTCACCCTTTTTCAAGTGATTTACAATCAGAACAATGGGATTATAGGATTATGTGAGTCTTAATGTGGTTTGAATTGATAAGTGAACACGTAATGCTTTTATAGCCTCCTGTATTCGTGTCCCTGTGGGACTCAACAGGCTCGCTACTGTCTGAAATTCAGACTCCCTCAGCATGATCGGTAACGTATTTTGATTGTATTATTGTGACAGTGAGCCTGGTGACCGATGCTTCTGATTTGAATGCTGCAGAATGTAAACATCGCCTCCGACTGGGCTCGTCAACCGCCCCACCTTTATTGTATTATCCTGAATTGTCAATTGTTCTTTTAAGATGACGACAAAAAAGGAAAAAGTGACATGTCGATGTCGTCAGCATTTTACCGCTGGCGTAACAGTCTTGATGTACTCTATGACGTTAGCAGGCGAGGCGATGATTTTACATTCCCGGACAATAGGAATCGCTCAGATTTGCATTGGTTCAATAACGCTCACTGACTAAAATAAAAAAGCGTGTCTTGTTTCAGTCGTCTTTGTGTTTGTCTTGCGTGAATGAAGTCTAGCAGACAGTCTCCGGGTTACAGCAAGTACAACTTAGGGTTACTTGACTGGAGTATTTCAATGTTGTGCCACTTTGCACTCCATTATATTGCAGCAGGCAATATTGTACTTTTTACTCCAACATTTCTTTTATTATTACAATTAAAATGTAGTGTATCAAGGGTGTGAGGTGTTGCAACTGTACCAACAAAGATATGTTTTGTAAATTAGTTTCACGGAACCTTATTTGATACCCAATGATTAAAGAAACTCCTAAAAGGCCATGTTAGCAGCTCCGTGAGGGTTTACTTTAGCATAACGGTGCTTTTGAGCTAACGTTACATGCTGATGACGACAGCTTGTCCCTTCAGGCCTCCGTGCAAAGCCACTCCCCCAAATTCATCAATAAACAACAAAATTCAACCTAATTAATTAAAACAACCCACATGGCTACTGCTCGTATACTCACGTTCATGAAGCTAGCGGCTCGTATAAGGCTCCGTTGTGGTATAATCGTTGCGCAAAGAGCGAACGATGGCGCCTAATAGGCAAATTGTATTCAATCAACGCGTCCTATCGCGGGATTTCAGAACGCGACTTCTGTTTGAGCGAGACTTTGATGACGTCGAGGCAGAGAAAGCTGATAGATTGTCGGACCCCAATCGTTTAGTTTTTCCAAATAAAAAAATATATGAAATATTTGTATACTTATCTAGTGATTGATTACATTTCAACCAAATGTCTTTCCAGTAGTTCTAGTACTTGATCAATTTGACAAATTGTCCCCTTTTAAATATTCAGACGCATGAGTAAATAGGGTCAAGTTGAAAAATAGTTTTCCCTTTGACTATTTATTTAAATGACGATCTTTCAGATTGCCACCTGAAGTAAATGGTTCAGCGTGGACAATAACGCATCACATGAAAAATATTGTCTTTATTACAATCTTTTCCACTCATACAGTATCTGTTAGTAGAAAGGTGTTTTACTGTATTATTGAACAGTGCAACATGGTGGTAAAATGAAGGTTGTACACTTCAATGCATAGTTCCAAAGTCCATCGTAAATTTACTGAAATCATGTTTGGGACGAGCCCATCTTTTATAGTCCGTGATCCTGCAGCAGCAGAAACTGAGAGGACACTTTTTCAAATCAAATTCAAGAGTACCATTGTCTTTTATCCTTTTACCAGCACTACTATCCCTTTTGAACCAAAATAACCTGAAATATGAATAAACCAGGTTACACAACTCAATGAGATTTAATCAGATGAAATGACTGATAAACCAACATAGCTTCAAGAACCAAAATGGATCAGTCCCCCATACATAATATACATTTGTATAAGTGAAGAAACCTTACGTGTGAACAAGTCCAGTGGCATATTATTACTACTGTTGCATCTGGTTTGATACTTCAGTGAAAAAAAGGAAAATGTACAAAGCTGTCTTAAATATTCACAAGTCAAACCGTAATTACAACAAAAAATATTTAAGGCGTTTTCAGTTGAATTCTGTACAATCACATATAATTAGCTATTAGCCCTTCAGGGAGAAGAACAGAGAAAGCAGAACAAGTCGTGTGTTAATGCTTCATCAGTCGACGGCGCTCTAAAAGGCAAAGGGGGGTGGAGGGGGAGGTGGGGGGTGTATTTTATTTTTCCAGTATTGAAGGATGAGATGAGTAACTGGGAAGGACAATATTGATTGAAAGGGGTTCGTAGGAGACGCCTGATAGAAAACCTGTCGTTGTTTTCAGCACTAACACAGACTGTCGCCCCGACGCGATGACAACCTGCCAGTCCACACTGCAAAATTCATTGGAAATTATTTGAGGTTTTAGAGGTCATGTTTTTTTTTTTTTTTACTTTTCATTTGGGTTTTTGAGCCCTGATTTTTGCCAGATTGAGTCACATTCATTTCAATGAATCAAAACAAATCAAGAAAGCTTTCAACAGCCGATGCATTTAGTTTGGGCATATATTAAAGAGATTCACCTTATTGCACTCATGATTCCGAAATATATGACAACCCCACATATTTAAATTTAAAGTAGATAATATTCTTCAATATCGGCCCAAACTATAAAGTACCTGTTAGAAAAATATTTTGGTATTCGAGTTGAATAAGCAGGACGAAGATGTAAAACTCTGAACTGTATTTTTCTGAACACATGCGATGATTTCAAAATTAAAACTTGTCGGCTACAACAGCCGATGAGCAATTCAAGGGAAACTGGTTCCACGTCACTTCCAGTTTCAACAGATCCATGCTTTTCAAAACTTTTTTTTTTTTCCTTTTCCCTTTTTGGTTTGTAGTGATGTGAGTCGTTTATATGTTTCCTTCTTGTGGAGGAGGCAGTTTTTAATCAGAAGTGGTCACTTTGTCAAGGCTGCAGTGGCTCGGGGTCGAGGAGGCTCTCTCTTCCTCCTCGTCGTCTGCTTTCAGGAGCGGGGAGAGATCCGCGTCTCCCCCCGCCTCCTCCCGCCGGGCAGGCCGTCAGTCGCGGTGGAGCTGGCTCGGCGGCGTGATGCTAAAGACGCGGATGCGCAGGTGGGAGGCGATCTGGAGGCACACGCCGGTACAGTAGCGCGTTAGATCCAGAAGGGAGAAGACCTGAATAAAGATGGAGAGGATCAAACGTCAAACGCTGCATTAATGGTCATATGCTGCTGGTATAAAATACAGACAAACCTGTAAACTTTTTTTAAAAAGCTTTAAATGAAGTGCTTCGTTCTTGCATGATCATCCACTTTAGTTTATTGTTCAATGACTAAACGGGGAGGAGAAAAGTGGTATTTTTTCCATTAATCTATTTAATTGCAGTGCTAAATTGCTTTGTGCCGATGTAAGGGTTCCCAAACGGTCATTTGAGGAATACTTATACTAAGTATTATTGAATTTGCTATTTTACCCCGTAGATATTTAGCCCTATCATAGAGATAAGGCACTGGTAGCAGTAAGAATGGTTCAAGGGTCCAGTGAGCCAGCAGGCTTTCCTGCCATAACTTGTGTTCTAATCAGCCAGTATAACTGGAAACACCAGTGTGGGTGTGTAGATCCTTTAGGGGCTCAAAAAAACAACAACTCAGTTGTTCTGTTCCAGGAATGTTAACGTATTTTCCTTCCGCCTTGTGCCCTCCTCTAGTTCTGCTTCCACGTATAAACCGTGCAAATCACACCTGATGTTGCAGCTGGTGAAATATAATACCAGATGTAGATCAATTATATATAAATACAAGAGGTGTCTTATACACAATTTAATCAAAAATAGCAGGAACTTCGTAACATGTTTAAGCTTAATGCATTTTGTGGGATTTGTGGTTGAAATGGCAATAAGACACTTCTTCGGGATAGAGCTGATCAAAAGAACGTTTGTCTCAAGTCATCTCACTGGTCTAATACATGAAATATAGCGGAATGACTCAAGTTCCCGATTAGACGGTTGATGTTTAAGCAAACGAGCCTGAGAACCTGTGCGTCTTGTTTCTAAAGCAAGTGCTAACCTGCACCGCCAGTTCCTACTTAATCCCTGGTTCAATTCAGCTGTCATCACAACGCATCACTCTAAATACAATTAGGCGTGCTAATATGCTATTTGGTGGTTTTCACTCGGTGTGTAATGTTGACAGCGTGCGTCAAACACTGACCATGGCGATCCACAGGACTATATGCTCATCGATGAAGCTGTTGAAGTACTGGTTGAGGAAGAGGAGGCCGGGGCCTACGAAGGCCGTGTCCGGGAGGTGCAACTCACTCTTGGTCATGTGTGCGACCTACACAGACAAACGAGACGGGGAAAGAGAAGCACTGACACACATGTACGTTCTGACCAAACACGAAACACGAGAAACAACTCAAAACAGGCGACGCCCCATGAATGCAACAGTGAGAGTCCATAACTCAATGAACTCTGTTAGTTGGCATTACGATTATTGACTTAGATAGTTCCAATTCTTGAGATAAACATTGCATCAAACCCAATATTCTGGTTAATTTGATATATGCTTGATACGTTTAAATTCTGTAATCGTCCCAGCACAGTATTCTGTTGTTGTCATTGCTATTCCTGCACTAGATTTAAATGGCTTCCGCACACAGTTACAAACCAAAACACTGCAAAGTAGCTGCTGAACAGCTCTCGCAACCAGAGCCGTTACCATAGCAACCGGAACAAAAGCGTCCGGTGATTTTAAACGGTTTGTTTAAAATGCGCACCGATTTAATTGAATTTAAATCAGACATGATGAACGTACCACCAGCTTGTTGGAGATCTTGGAGGTGACCAGGCCAAAGGCGAGCAGGTACAAACACGGGTGGAGCTCAAACAGCTGGCTGGACGACTTCTTGAAAATGATGAAGGCCAGGGTGAGGACGAGGCCGATGTGCAAACCGGGACTCAGCACACTGGTGTCCTAAACGGAGCCGGCGGGATTAAGCACGCGTCACAACAGAGGTACGGGAGACCCGGCGGATTGGTGTGCAGGGTGTGAATACGTTTGTGGACTTACAGCCACAGTGGAGCCGTTTTTGCCAACGCCTCCGTTCAAAATGACGTAAAAATAGTTGTAGCAGGAGTAGAGGGCCCCGCCGCTGATGCCGATGATGGGGAAGACGAACATCTGTATTCCAATGACGGGCAACTACGGAAAAAAGGGGAGGGGGAGATTAAGGCAAAAGGCACATCGCACTCTCCTCGCAGCGAGAGGGCCGGTGCTCATGTCGAAGCCGCAGGCGTGAGGAGCGGCGTGGGAGGGCGAAGCAAATAAGAAATGCGAGAGACATCATCAGCTTTTTGAGCCAGATCATGTCCGGTGGATGACCTGTTGCCATGGCGTTAGCTACAGATATTTACCTTCTCACACCTCTCATGTGCGGTTAAGTCAAGCCTCCAAAAGGCAGCAGAGTAAAAGCGAAACACAAATTCTATTCAAGGACTAGGATGACGACTACAAACTGATTCGAAATCTTAATTTGGTGTAAAAGGCGACAGAAGAAAAGGCTACACGAGGTGAAATGAAAGTGCTCCCGTGCGCGCGTCGGTATTCAAGCATCCGTTGGTGGCTTCTCGGTTACCGTTGCCTGCCAAAGGCTCACGCCTCCGAAAGCCGACATCAAATACATGATGGTGATGGCGATCTGCACCTCTGTGACGTCAATCCTGGGAAGAAGACGACAGGGAGGCTCGTGATCATCAAGGTGGCGGTGTCACAATTATACTACAGCATGGGTAATAATACGTTCATAAAATAACTCAACTAAAACGTGACTCACAGGCCGAAGCGCAGGGTCCCGGACACGTAGGTCTGCCAGTGGGCGCAGAAGAACATGAACATCCCGATGAAACCACAGAAGAACATCCAGTCCGGGTGTCTTCCTATGCCACACGAAATGCATGTTCCCACAGCAACGAAGACTGAAGGAAGAAAGAACAGACAAACTAATAATCCATTTCTGTGCCGTGATCCACTAACGCAGCGCGATTCTGCAAATAAAAGAAAAAACGGTGGCTTGGCTTTGGGTTGACTTGTGGACGCAAAGCACCTGTGGAGACGGCGTCGCAGCCGTGGTCAAAGAGCTCCCCCAGAGCCGAGCTGCTGTTGGTCCTCCTGGCCTGCTTCCCATCAATGGCGTCCAGAGACTGGTAGATGAACAGGCCCAGGGCGCTCATGATGAAGGCCCACGCCGGAGCCTGGGAGTGTGGAGGTGGGAGAGAGCGGATTTAGACAAGGAAAGGATCACGGCCTTGTCGTATATGTGAAGCAACACACGCAGGAAAACCAAGGCTAAATAATAAACTATTTGATAAATAGAAATAGTATGCGACTCATTTGATAACTGATTGCTTGAAGTTCTTTAAAAAAAAAAAGAAATCCCTAATCCTAGTCGCTTGTTATTCATATATTATATAAAGTGAACATTTTGTTGCACATCTTAATTTCAAAGATTGGAAACAAGACATTTGAAGGCATCACATTGAATTCTGGGAAACTGAGATGGACCTTAATGTAACGTGACAGTCATCAGCAGATTAGGCAATACTGTCTTATAATGACAGTGTCTTATAAAATAGTCCTATTTAAATAAAAGTATGCAGTGTTTTGGCGCGGACTGGTGAGTGAATAGACTATCACGCTTAACTAACGCTACATATTTACCGGATGAGGCTACTTTTGAAGATCTATTAACTAAATTGACTTGGACAGCCGGCCACACGTCTGTGTGCGTGTGTGTGTGTTTCCGGAGGGATCAAGGGTCTAATGCCGTCTTCGCGGGGGCCGGTTATCTCAGAGGTAAACACTTAAGTTCTCTGACCGGTGATCACTGGTCCTTATGAATTTCTCGAATATGTTTGCTCTCAAAGATGTGTGACAGAAGAGCCTTGTGAGGGAGAGAAACCGCATGCTGCACGGACTGTGGACTCGGTCGCAAGGTCGTCACGATTGGATCGGTCAAAGGTGTGAATCTGATATCACACCGGCAGTCCCGATTAGCGGGTGAACCCGGTGACAGAAGTGGACTGTGGGGTCAAAGGTCACAGCTCTGCTGCAGGGCCCGCGGGGACATTTGCCATCAGCTTAGTCATCTAAAGATGTTTTGCTGTTGTGCTCAGTTACTGAACAGTCAGCCTGCTCGCTAGCTGCGGGAGAAAGAGAGACAAATATTCCTTAAAATGTCTGTCTTTACTCTGAGCACTGCCGCATCACGTGATTCGGGGCAGACGACCGCACACGAGGACACACACACACACACACACGTCAAAGCTGACAACTTTCCAAGAGACCCACCGTGACGAGCACGTCACGTTAAATTTATTCCCTGATCCGGGGGACAGGTTAAAGAGTCCTCGCGGGATTTAGGATTCTTACACAATCATCTGGTGTCTCTTTCGGTTTAACGTTAAAACCGACAAACAAAAAATCAGGGCATGAAAACAGCAGGGCTGTTACCGTGGAGGGTGACAGACCCGCTCCACACGGTGGAGATATCATTAAAATACGAGACGCTGTGGGGTTGAAATACACGCCGAATTGCAGACCGCTGCACCGGGAGAAACCCCGGATCGTGTCCCGTGGGTCGCGTGGGGGGTCGCGCACCCGGTCGCCACGTAACGGCGAATTGCGCAATTTCCCGAACGCCACCGCCAGGGAAGGAAACTCAACCGGGGCTCGTCCCCGCGCACAAACTTTGTGCTTCTCTTAAAATGTATTATTATTATTTGCGCCAAGGTCGACACGCACTCACCTCCTCCGTGGCCGTGGGACAATAATACATCAGCACCACCGTGGAGAAGATGTTGATCAGCAGTCCGACGATAGTCAGGGTGTTCGGCGCGACCCATGTCGGTATTTGCTCCACCAGCCAGTTCCAGTAGATTTGACACGGCGGCTCGAACAGGGATCGACCGGAGGCGCTGTACTTGTGCTCCTCCAGCCGCTTAAGTTGAGCGGGCGACAGCGACTCCGACCACAAGAAATGTGGCATTGTTGTTTTCTCTTTTTTTCTGCCTGGTCACCCCACTCGAAATTACCGAAAACAAACTTCCCGACGCTCGACGGGGGGTTAAGCTAGCGGCTCCGAAGGGGTGGTGGGTGTGGGGTTAGGGGGGGCTATCTTCTCTCGGTCGACTCCGGCAGATATCGCCTCATTTGGCATTTAGAGCTAGGTGACCAGAGGAGGCCATTTCCACGGCGGAACCATGAGACGCCGACGCTCCGTAAACGCTTCTGATCGGGTTGCGTCTCGACCGGAAGTGAGAAACCGGAAAGGAATCATTTGACAGTGCACCGGGAAGTTTAAATGAACAAATGCACCGTGGCAACTGCGAGGTTGTTTCTAAAAATATTTAGCGAGGCGAATGTGAACCATTGCTAGTTAGCACGTTTAAAAAAATAAATAATAATAATTACAATATCAAATATTCACATATCCACGTTTGAATTATAATTCATTCCACATGTGCAATTTAGCTGTTATTATTTATGCACGCAATTTCCGACGGAAGTTTGAATTCACACCACCGTGAACTAATTCTGTGTGAAAGCTTCCATTGTTTTCCCCAGACAGTTAGTCATAGTATTACAATCCAAACAAAAATAGTTCTCAGAGCAAAATCACATTTAATACAACTTGTTTTTTATTGTAATGTGTGGGTCTTAATTACAAAGGTAAAATGCATGCGCACATAACTGAGCATCAATCAAACCTCAAGTCCAATATGAATCCAAAAAGCATAGTGTCATGCAGAATATGGACTGTGTGTAAACCTCTACATCAATTCACTTATTTGACATACAAACACTGAAACATTGTTTAAACACTCCCTTTCTCCCTTTTTTTCAGACCCCAGAAATAAATTATTACCTTCAACAAACACCCAACAAGAATCAAAATGTAAAGTATTGTCTCACTGTGCCATATATGGGCTTTGTATATGTTTGGTATTTTACACACTACATGTATTTATCAAAGCTAGACCCAAAACGCTGCATGCATCTCAGCTTACACAGTCTTTTGAACACAAGAGGGCGAGAAAAAGATGACCAGGATTTTTTATATTTCTATAGAGTTTTAGCTCCAAACTTGCACACAGCATGCCACACCACAGAACAGTCTCGCCATCGCTCCATCGTCCCTCCATCCAACCTTCACGCCGCTCAGGGGATAACTATCAGTGGCAGGTGCCTGCAAATCGTAAATGTCTCATTGCACTTGATCCGTTTTTTTACTTCTCTTGCTCGACGGTCTTCTCGTTCATGTACTTGTCAATCAGGTGCAGGGGAACTCCGCGTTTCATTAGTTCGTAGAACGTGAAGCCTCCTGAGGGACGAGAGGAAAGATTCTCTAATAATATTCCTTGGAGGGACAGGGGTGGAAGTGGGGAGTGAAAAAACAGAGAGGAAGAGGAAGGAGGATAGGGAAAGAAGAGCAAGAATATGACAGAACAAGAAAGAATGCAAAGAAGAGAGGAGTTCAAACCACTGGGTAAAGAGTGAGGGGAGGACAAGTATGTTGGCAATGCACACTCAGTTTGTAAACGTCTGCATCGGCTCAGGCTTGCAGCACCAGAGGCACAGTTGATACCACTGAAATAAAATGCAGGTCAAACGTCTCTAATGTAAATTTAGTCTAGTAATAATGCATTGTATATTGTACTGGGAAAATGCAACAACATTAAAAGTACAACAAAATTGCACTATTGTGGCTAATTGAGGAGGAGCACTTAAACCGAAAATACACATTCATATTTTAGAGGCTTATCTGATGTTGAATGAATACAGTTTTTGCTGAGAGAAAAAAAATACAAGCTGTTAAATCTGTCAAATAAATGTAATAGAGTTAAAATACGTAATACAAAAATAAGCACAATACCCAAACAAGATTTAGTATGAAGCGGTATGACGTGGAATTACTCAAATAAAGTTTCTAAAAACTGTTGCAAGAGGAACAAAACACTCCATGAAGTTACTGTACCGATCTCTGAGATATTCTTTTCTTCCTATTTTCTATTCTATTCAGGCTTGACTTAAACATTGATATCCTAACTTTGTAAAACTAATACCAAATAAAACTTTGTTACAATAATAATAATAATTGTGCACCAGCAACTTTAAAATAATCATAAGAAGTTTAAACTTTCTCAATGCAGCAACCAACTACCAAAAATATAAAAGGAATTATAGTTCTAGAATATGTACATAGTATATAAATCTATAATTTAATTGAATATATCTGCACTCTCCAACTATTTGAGCCATTCAGCCTGCCCCACATGAGCGTGCCATCCCTAAATGTTAAAAGATTTCTTTAATTACAGTATTTCCGTACATTGTACTCTTCAGCACTGTAAGCTAAGAGATTCCACTTGAACTATAATGGACAACTCATAAGTCAGGTCCACACAGAATGTGGAAAATATAACAGTATTAGAAGCTTTGTTTGGATCCTGTACAATTAGAAATTAATAGCGGAAAAAAAAATCAACAGAATGTAAAACTAAAGCTCTGGACTTCTTGGCAAAGGTTAGCAAGTTTTGCAAAATAAATTACTCACCTTATCTGCTGCACACAAAAAATGAGCGGTAGTCTTTGAATTCACTCCATTGCACAGCAACAACTATGGGATCAGCTAAAGAGATTCCAAAATGGGGCTGTTAAAATTCAGCCAGGAAGCAGAACTGGGGAATAATTTGGCAATAGTTGTCATGCAGCAGTCGTCTTGCTTTGTTAATGCCCCCTTTCACATGTTCTTTTTCTGGCCCCTGCTTTGATAGTGAATAAAAGCTGCCGCAGTCCAACCGACTGAGAAAATCCACAAGCAGGCTGAAAGATGCATAATGGATGACATAAGCTTCATATGCCAAAACCATATGAAAGCTTACCTTATATGAGAACATACATTCACAATTCTTGAGTTTGGACTGGGGGAGAGAGAAGAGAAGAGGGGTTAACAAAATGTTAACGTGGAGTTATAGGTGTGCACCAGGGAGTACTGCTGAGTTATTACTGAACTCTTTTATATGAGGAGTTAACTGTGTGGAATAAAGAGGACAGTGAAATCTGTGGAGAATAGTTTACACAAAACACAAAAACATCACAGCTCTTCATGTTATGCCTACTGAGGAGTGACTGGTGACAGACTGTGTGTTGTGATGATGAACAAGATGACCGGAGAGAAAGCACAGGGGATAAACCTCTCCATGTGGTGGTGATGGAAATGTGTCACCAGATATTATGTGCACTGCACACAAATCAACGGATTATTGTTGGTTCATTATTTGTATTTATTTAGAAAATGATGTCCAGGAGTTGACTGCACCAACTGTTCATAAGTTCCAACAGCAATTGGTAAGTGGAGAGCAATTAAAACGGGTTGCTCCACACAAGTAGTTCTTACTAAGAGAATAATGTAACTTGAAGATCCAAGTCATTTCATACAAAGGAAATTTAGAGTTCACCTTAACTGGTCATTTTGCCTGTGTGTTTACTCTGGATTCTCCTATTAAACCATTTTACAACTTAAATGGCCCAATTATTTATTTAGGTGTTTTCCAAAAAAGGTGATTTATAGACATCTCTTTGCCAATGTATGTTAATGGTAAAATAACATGTCTAGGCCCCATGGAATCATAATAACAGACCCAGAATTTGTAATGAGTTTGGCAACTATGTAAACTATTTACTGTTTTTACAGGAATGAACAGGGCCCAACTTCCACTGCTGAATCCATTTATCTTTACACATCTGGTTTAAGAGTCAAGAGTGAAAGAGATCTGATACTTGATTTAAATGCTCTGAAATTCCACAATTATACTACCAACTAAATGATTGCTTCTTGGATGTTGCTGCAGATGTTTCCTGGCAACCAATTTATACCATTCTAATATCTGGGCTACTATAAAAGTTTTTCCATAGTTCTAATGGTGCAACCCAATTAAGAAATCCCCATAATCTGGTTATGAAGGATTTCCACACAACCGTAGCCATTAATTTATGAATAGCAGGTGCAGTTCAACCCAAATACTTACATATCCAGCGGCAATGGGGTTACCCTTTTGTAGACTGCTAACAAACTACAAACCCGACTGCACTCCAGTGGAGTTGGTTTCCCAGAGTCACACTAAGACATTGATTATTTTAAATAAAAATGATTCTTTTGTATGTGTTTGTAGATAAAGAAAAAAAGATTTTTTTAGCAAAGGCACAGGCAAGAGGCAGTAGAAATTAAGAAATAAAACATTTAAGGTGAAAGGCTTTGAGAAACCAGACCTCAGACAGGTTCCCAGTATGGCCCACTGAGCTGCCACCCTGGTCCGCACTGACCTTTGACCTCCAGCTTGCAGTCCACTTGGGCCTCTCCCAGGTCGTTGATGGCCTTGCAGGTGTACATGCCACCGTCATAGGGGCTGGGCTTCCTGATCTCCAGCGTGCACACTCCCTGGTTGCTAAACATGCGGTAGCGCGGGTCGTCAAGGATCGCCATCTTGTTCTTCATCCAGATCACTTTGGCCTGCGGTCAGATAGCAAAACACGTCAGCAGCAAGAAAACAATGATTGTGTCCCGTCATAAAACACTCGTAACCCCCGCGCATGCGCTCTGAGCTTCTGGCACCTACCCTCGGGTTGGCTCGGACGCTACAGTTGAGAGTTGCGTTGTAGCCGGCGATGGCAAAAGTGTTGATCAGCGGCTGCGTGAACTTTGGCGGCTCCATGAAGTCGTGGTCGTTGTAGTCGTGCGTTTTCAACTGCATGCCTGTCGGGGTAAGGGTAGAGGAACGGGGTTGTGCATGATACTGTCTCTGAGCGGTATCATGTGGGAAAATCCCTAAGCGATGAGGGAAGGACAATATTTCTTTGTTTATCATCGTCTGAGTCTACAACACCGCTGTCAAAGGGCCCGTCGGTGTCACAGCCCCTCCACTTGCATTTTAAAGTGGCTGTGCATCAATTCAGGCTCACTTTAATCACTGACTGCCTTTCAGATAACTGTGGAAAAAGAACAGTCGGCAAATAAAGTACAACTTTATTGCCATTTGACACGTTAAATGCATGTCATTTGCTCCAAGTTTTTCCCTTTGGAAGCATACTTCCCCATCAGAAATTGTCAGTAACCATCGCGATTTGCCATCGTTGTTACCTTCTTTGACGATGAGTGCGCTCTTCTTGGTTTGGGTGGCAGTTTCGCTCAGGCCACACATGTTCTCTGCAAAGATCCTGAAGAAGTACTCGTTCCCCACCACCAGCTCTGGGATGGT